TCTCTGTCTCTCTTTCTCCCTCTGTCTGTCGTCCCGCCCTCTGTGTCTCTCTCCTTCTTTGTCTCGTTTCTTCTTACTGTCCCACTCTTTTTCGCTCTCTCTCAATCTCACTTTCTCTCTCTTTCTCTTTCTCAGTCTCTATGTATCATGCGCTCTCTTAAACCATCTCCTTTCAGCGTTCGACATATACAGGACCTCTCTGCATGGTTTTTACTATCTCTCCTCTTCGGGGGATGAGTGTTGGTGGGGTGGTGATGGAGTGGGGTGGGACCGCTGCTCTCTTTTTGTTCTCCATTATTGCCCCCACCTCTCCATTCTTACCATACATTGAGCCTGTTGTCATGGATACCATGGATTAGCTACACCAGATGCCCACTCTGTCTGTGACGGCGCAGGCCTTCTCTCTTGTTCATGTCTCCTTACATTGTCCTGGGAGAATAGATACCCGCACACCGTCGAAGGGTTAGAAGAAATCCGAAACAAAGGCTTAGATTAGAGGTCTTCACGGGTCCAAAAAGTTGGACCCGTTCCAAAATGGACCTGGGGCTTTCCCACCCGAGCCCGATAAGCATTAAAGATATATATAACTATATGGAGATCCCGAGGACAACTAGACCCGTTCCATATAGACCTGGTTGGATCCAGACCCAGTCCTATTTGATCCAAGGAAAGCAGCAGAAAAGTCATTTTTTAAGATACTTAATTAACCGGAGCTGATAAAGCGTGTGGGAGAGGAGGGAGAGGTGCTGCTCTAGCAGGCGGGAGAGGGGCCGTACTGTGTGAGCGAGTGAAACGGGGAGCAGGGAGGGAGAGACGAGAAACAGCAAACAAACTAGCCGACTCGCGCTATAGTAGACTAATACCTGCCATAGCTAGGTTATTTATCATCAAATATGATTATGTAGTACCTGTCTTGACTGCATCAAACCGGGAGAAGTTAGTTAAGATAGCTAATGTTAGCAAGCTAGGCTAATTGAGGCTGCAGTGCATGAGCGTTCTCATCCTACAGTTACAAATAACAACAACTCCATTCAGAATAGCAGCCTACCTGTTGGCTCTTGGTCATTGTAGCCTATCCTTCTCAATTAACTTTTAATTCCATCTTCCATTGATTAAATATCTCCTAACTTTTGCCCAACATGGAGGCTCTATGACTGTAGCCTATTGCCGCTTTGATGACTTATGATTGGCCAACAACAACAACAAGCTACCTGCTTGGTTCCCGGATCGGGCCTCGGGTATTCGGGTACAGGTAGATTTGTGAAGACCTCTAGCTCAGATGCAAAAATATGGGCAAGACAAAAGATTTAACTGCCTTTGAACAGGGTATGGTAGTAGTTGCCAGAACTGCAACACTGCTGGGTTTTTCACTCTCAACAGTTTACCGTGTGTATCAAGAATGGCCACCCAAACGACATCCAGCCAATTTGACACAACTGTGGGAAGCGTTGTAGTCAACATCGGCCAGCATCCCTGTGGAACGCTTTCTATATGAATTGAGGCTGTTCTGAGGGCAAAACAGGGTGCAACTCAATGTTAGAAATGTATTCCTAATGTTTTGTACACTCAGTGTATATAAGTCAAGGAAAACATCAGTGCTTATTGGGATGTAAATGTAAATGTAGTCCATCGTTCAAACTTGAATATAATCTGCTGATGGGAAAACAGCACTCCCTGCTGGTGAATATTATACTAAGAAAAATGCCCAAATGCACCTGTTGGATTCTATGCTGCTATAAAATGTATCGGTACTGTACATTAGAGGTCTTCAGGGCTCCACCTGTACCCAAATACCCAAGACCCGATCTGGGAACGAGCGGGTCCGGATCCAGAATTCTAAAAATGTCACGGGTCTGGGTCGGATCTGATATGATTGTCAGGTCTCGTATATGTGTAATTTTAACTGACTTGTCCGGAAGGACCCATACAGATCCGAACGCGACTACTGCAGTAGAGAGATAGAGAAATTACATAATTTATGCTGCTGCTCTTTGCTTGTCAGGAGAGCGGTGTGTGTAGCTTGTGGTTGTTGGCCAATCATAAGTCATCAAAGTGGCAATAGGCTACAGTCAAAGAGCCTCCGTGTTAGGAAATATCTAATCAATGGAAGATGGAATTAAAATGATGGAGTTAAAGGAGAAGGATAGGCTACAACGACCAAGAGCCAACAGGTAGGCTGTTACTTTATATTCTGAATGGAGTTGTTGTTGTTTGTAACTGTGTAGGACGAGAAAGGGCATGCAGCCGCCTCAATTAGCCTAGCTAGCTTAACTAGCTTCTCCCGGCTTGATGCAGCCAAAACCGTTACTACGTAATCATGTTGGATGATAAATAACCTAGCTATGGCAGCTATTAGTCTACTATAGCACGAGTCGGCTTGGTTGGTTGCTGTCTCTCCCTCCCTCCTCCCTCCCTCCTCCCTGTGTCACTCGCTCACAGTACACCCCCCCTCCCCCGCCTGCTAGAGCAGCACCTCTCTCTCCCTCCTCTCCCTCGTGTTTTATCAGCTCCGGTTAATAAAGTAGTTTAAAAACTTCACTTTTCTGCTGCGGACTGGGTCTGGATCTGACCAGGTCTATACTGAATGGGTCTAGTTGTCTTCGGGTCCGTTTGGAATGGGTCTCTATATTTATTTATGCATATAGGTTCCGGGTGGGAAAGCCCCAGGTCCATTTCGGAATGTTTCCAATTTTTTGGACCCATTAAGACCTCTACTTGGCATTGTTATATACTGCCCCCTAGTGTAAAATCAAAACAGGGAGGAGGGGAGGGAGACGAGAGACAGCAACCAACCAAGTCGACTCGTGCTATAGTAGACTAATAGCTACCATATTAGAGCATGCACTCGCTCACACTCACAGTAACCTACACACACAGCACGGCCCCTGCACCTCTCTCTACCTCCTCTCCCTCGTGTTTTATCAGCTCCGGTTAATTAATTAGCTTAAAAATTGATTTTTCTGCTGCTTCCCTCATTCGGACCGGGTCTGGATCCGACCAGGTCTATACGGAACGGGTCTAGTTGTCCTCGGGTCCGTTCGGAACGGGTTTTATATTTTAAAAATTAATTTATGCATATCGGGTCCATTTCAGAACGGATCCAATTGTTTTGGACCCGTGAAGGTCCTCTACCATACATTTCAGCTCTGATGACTGCATTCAAAATGGATGTCTGTTCTGGCTCACAATGCATGCACACATGATGAAACACTCTCAATAAAAATACATTTTTAATTAAAATAAATGTTTATTAATGCCCCCCCCCCCCATTTCTCTCTCTCTCTCTCTCTCTCTCTCTCTCTCTCTCTCTCTCTCTCTCTCTCTCTCTCTCTCTCTCTCTCTCTCTCTCTCTTCCTCTTACTCTCTGCCTGCAGCTGACACAGTTTGACTAAAGCCTCAACATGCCTGTGGCGTCAACTGGCACAGAGCCTGGTGAGTTTTGTTTTCCTCTCCCTTCCTTTCCTCCCTCCATCCCTCCTTTCCTTCCTCCATCCCCATCTCCCTCCTCTCCTCCCTTACCCAACCCATCTCCTCTGTCCATAGCTCTGATAAATGGGGCCGCCACACTTTCTATATGAAACCCACATCCATAAACACACCACACAGCCATTAAGACCCACAGTTTCTCACTGTCGCAGCCAGCAAAGGTCTACTTTAATGAAGCCATATAATGTGGCCCCTAAATGGAGATTGAACTGACACTGTTACTTCCTGGAAGTAGACCCATTTTTCACTGCTTGTCCAGACAACAGCCGCCATCTTTTCCTGCATGTTTTGGACTTTGGTGGAGGGAGTCTTGGGTCACACTTTACATTAAAGGGCAATCTGCAGTTGCTACATCCATTTGTTGACTTATAAATGAATTATATGTACCCATTGATTCTTGAAAAATATAACCTATAAATGCCTCATGAGCTTAGTTCAACTGCCGTACCCCATCACAAACCAAAATAAGCTTGTTTTACTCCAATATTTTTAAACAAAGTAAATGTAAACAAACACTCTATAACCTCAAAACGTGGTTAAAACTATAATTTTATAATATAATATAATAATATAATATAATATAATTTTGATATAATGGATGGGCAGTCCTTGCATCCATAGCTCTGTGTATGAATTTGAGAGTGGTTACATTTCTCCAGTCTCATTCCCTCAGCTTTTTACTGAAACAGTGGTTGGAAAACGCTTTGTTATTGTTTCAACTGCTGAATGCCCCTTTAAGATACACAAATACTACCCAGTAGTGATATAGAGAGAAGATACTGTATGAGCACTTTTATTTTCTCTGTGAGAAAGATACCACAAAATGGACTGTTTTTAATCAATAGCAGAAGATGGTCAACTGAGACCTTGGGCAGACCATATATTAGATACAATGACATTGTAGGATACGGCCATTGATTGTGACTAACTATATATATATATTTTTAAGTCCTTATATCCTATACTGGAGAGCGACATGCTAACGACATGCTGATGCCACTCATTGTTAGTCACTCATAGCTTAGTCACTCATAGCTTAGTCACTCATAGCTTAGTCACTCATAGCTTAGTCACTCATAGCTGGGTGCAGAAATGCATAGGCAGCATACAGTTAAAATTATTGTTTAACAGGGGGAGCTTGCTGACTGGGGTGTAAATTGAGTTGAAAGCCTGTAAAACAATACTTTGCTTCATACATTTAGCTGCATGCTAAAGGTTTTATGAGATAAAGCTCAAACTGATGATCCATTCAAGGTTCTTACAGTATTTGTGGGGCCCACAAATAGATCACATCGTCCGCTTAGATCACATGGTCCGGAAAACCTCCTGAACCTTGGCAGTAGAAATGCGATAACTCCTCCAAAACTGAAACGATAAGTTTAACTTGTCTTCGCAAAAGGGCGAGTCTTTCCTCTTTCCAAGGGCCAGTCCTGAACCCTATGTCTCTGTGTGAAGCTGGGTGTAACTCATTCCTCTGAATCTGTATCTGTGTTTCTGTGTCTCTGTGTGTAGCGGTACCCCCCCAGGTCCTGGATACCCTGAGTGACAGCAACAGCTCCACCACCGCCAATGACCTGGACCTCATCTTCCTCAAGGGCATCATAGACAGCCCCGTGGTGAGTCAGAGAGACCTAGTACACACGCACTCAAACATGGCAGGATGTATTCACACGCCTACAGAGAGCCTCGTGGTGAGTCAGAGAAAGGGGAAATATGTAGGCCTAGTATGTAGGGTCACACACACTCATACACACACACACACACACACACACACACACACACACACACACACACACACACACACACACACACACACACACACACACACACACACACACACAACCCAGAGAGAGTGATTGAATAAGGCCCACAGTCCTAAAACCAAGAAATTCCAGCGCCAAAAAGACACTGCACGTTCCCAGAAGCTATAACTCATTCAAGCCTTCACAAACTCACAACCCTGTATGGCAACAGAGACAATGTCATGTGAACTGACACCTTCCCTCTGAACATGCGTTCTATAAAAGGTGAGAGGCATCACAGCATGTAATTGCAACTGAAATCCCCCTTCAGCTGGCATGCATTTAAAAAAAGGTGAGATGCATCAACCTTTGCAAATCCGTTACAGGATTTACTACCAAATGAAAATAGCTGTGAGAGCTGTAAGTCATTACAACACTCTTCATGGCTGAGGGGAAATGGAAACCACGGCTGTGACCAAAGGAGACAGAAATGGGAATCATGAAATTGCTTAGGAAATACATTTGGTGTTTAGCCTTTTGTTTAATTAATGGGTTGGGCACCTTTTAATTGAAGTCTTGCTCAGTGATAAATGGGGAAGTGTCTGTGTACTGTTGCTGGAAATACAGGGGATTGGTTTGGAACAAAGGCTACCAAGACACAAATCTTTAAAAAAAAGCCCAACAGGTCTTTTATCATTTTGTTATTCATTTATTCGTGATTAGTTAGGGCAAGTAAATGTCATTATTTAAATGAGGTAATCTCTTGTCCCAAGGAGGACTGATGAAGAGGGTAATATGATCTCAAACTAGTCGACATCTGAGGATGTGGAACTGTCATGCCCAAGCACTAATGACTCCTGCTGGATTGCTTTGATGTCAGATGATGAGAGGAGTTTCTCTCTCTCTCACACACACACACACACACACACACACACACTCTCTCTCTCACACACACACATGGCTCTTCCCTACAGGGGAAATGAGAAGTGACAGCCCAGACTAAAATTAGCACTTCTAAGGGAGGCCTGGCATATTGATTTGCCTTGAACCACAGTTTGTCAATGAACCAGATATATGATGTAATTGCACTACTAGTCCACCAGGTGGGATGATTCCCAAAGAGTTTCAATGACAGTTTTGGTCTGTCAGTGAGGCCCATATACTCTGTGTAGGTGGGTCACTTTGCCCTTAAGTGTTGATCCCAGTACAGATTTGCTTAATGCCTCTTCATAGTAAGTTTACATTTAAGGAAAGATAGGTGGATCCTAAATCTGCTCTTATGACAACCACTGGGCTGGAAGCCTAAACTCCTGGCTGGTGCCAGATGCCACTCAGTTCCAGAACCCAGGGTTAATGTCCACTAATTCTCTCAAGAATTACTATCAAGCATCTGCTTTTACATTAAAGACATAATCAGCTGACTTTCAACTCATTTCCCTCTGTGAATGAACTTCAAACAGAAAGTCAGCCAGCCATGCATTCTTTATAAGGAACATTTGGGCGGATCTTGGAGACTCTGTGAAATATTAATGGCTTCCACTCTATTTTGATGAAAAATACTTATTTAATCAGATGAAAGTCACAGAGAACTAAAAAAGAATGATTTTGAAAGATTTTTATGTATATTTTAAGGTGCAACGTATGTGTACTTACTATTTTTAGAGTACGCAAAACCATTCTCAAACATATTTGTTTTCATCTTAAAGAGATTCTCCAGTACTTTTCTATAATTTTTAGCCAGTAGTTCTGAACAAAAGTGGTCCTGAAAATGGTGTGCATTTTGCTAGCTGTCACTCAAATGGCGAGGGGCTGAGGGCTCATGGGCTAGAACTCAAATTGCTAGGGGGCTGACCCATGAGAGGGAAAATGTAGGGAAAATGGCGCAGCACAGCTTCCAGAAAAACAGTCGCTTTCAAACTAGGGATTTTGTGGCTTATTGAGGTAAAACAGTAATTCTGCTCATATTTTATTCATGTATGAACTACACATTGACACATCCAGCCCAAAGCGGGAGGTAAAAAAATTAAATAATTCCTGAGCATGTCTTTAATAAGTATACATTTCTATTTCAAATATGTATTCACATAAAAGTATACGTGTGTGTGTGTTTCCTTATGTCACGTAGGAGCCAGAGAGTCTGGAGGAGACCAGGTTGGAGGCGGTGAGGGACAACAATGTAGAGTTGGTCGAGGAGATCCTCCGAGAGCTGAGTCCCTTCACACACCAAAGCAACACCGCAGCAGAGCTCACACGAATCCTCAACGAACCCCACTTCCAGGTACACACACAGACGCACACGTAGTGTGCACACGCATACCCATACACATTAAACCACACACTCACGTGGACATCAATGGACACATACACCTACATAGACGTGCAGAGAAGAAATATCCTTCATCACATAATCCACTATTTAGTCTCAAGAAAGTATTTCTTGTCGCCTTAGTCTGCTGTCAATCTAATGTTCTCCTTCTGCCGAGTGGTTCCCAGTCTCTGCTGGAGACCCATGACTCGGTGGCGTCCCAGGTGTGTGACACCCCTCCCCCCAGCCCCTGTGCCTACATGGAGCTCCCCGTCAGCAACCAGCCCGTGCCCCCAGATGCCGTCCGGATGGTTGGCATCCGCAAAGTGGCTGGGGAACACCTTGTTAGTACCACCTTGCACTTTGCCTATCACCAATCTATTATCGATAGCATGGCACTCAGTTTTAGTCAACTCTTCCCTCCTTTGGCTGAATCACAACCAGGCTAGTGGTTTTAACCATAGTGTATAATTGTAACTGTAGTGTATCATCATTCATGTATTTTTTTCAAGAGAGGGAATTCCAATTATATTGTCATTTAAGATATTTTATTGAACATATAGGATAGTGTAGAAGAACAATGAAGAGAGGAGAGAGTTTGTGCCAAAGTAGCAAGACCCCACACATCCTCATTTGGTTTCTATGTTTTGAACCTGTTCAGGGCGTGACTTTCCGTGTGGAGGCGGGGGAGCTGGTGATCGCCAGGATCCTCCACGGCGGGATGATCGACCAGCAGGGTCTCCTCCACGCGGGTGACATCATCAAGGAGGTGAACGGGAAGGAGGTGGGCGAGGACCCGAGGGTGCTGCAGGAGATTCTGCAGGATGCCAGCGGCAGCGTGGTGCTCAAGATCCTCCCCAGCTATCAGGAGGGCCACGCGCCAGGACAGGTACGAGTTAATAACAAATGGAAACACTTTTTGGGGGGATAATCCATCTGTAGATGCTCAACAGACTATGGACAGACTATCAGTAACATTTCAACTAACTATCTACTAAACCTAACCTAAACCCTTATCCTAACCCTAAACTTAACCCTTACCCTAACCTTAAGCCTTACCCTAAACCTTATTCTAAACCTAACCCTAACCGTAACCTTAGCAAGCAGTTGCTTATCAACAGATAGTTTGTTGATAGTAGAGAATCTACAGATGGACAATCCGGACGATCCAAATAAAGTGTGACCTAACAAACTACCAGTGGACAGGTAAGGGTTAACATACACAACACGTACTTTAACAACATGCTACCAGCCCAACAGACAGGTAAACGTTAAAAACAAACAAGAGCCCCATGCTTCAAGACAGACAAGCTATAAGACCCACAGACAGGTCCCCACTATTGTACCCAAATACATGTACATTTACATTTTAGTAATTTAGCAGACGCTCTTATTCAGAGTGACTTACATTAGTGAGTTCATACATTCTTTTTTTATTTTTCATACTGGCCCCCCGTGGGAATACTAATCCAGTACCCCGCGGTAGGTAAAAGCATTAATCTGCCCCTGCCAATGAACTTCAATCTACTAGACAGTTTGTACATCATTTACTGGCTCTAAGAATATACTTTGAGGGGTGGATTATGACGGTGTCACACTGTCTGCTAGTGCTCACCCCCTCTTCCCCGGCTGGTTGTCATGGATACCACCAGGCAGAGGGAGCTGAGTTATCCCTTACGTCTTTTGGGGGGATTTCTTCCCTTGTATCTTCACTCGTTCCGTGGCTGGTGGGACTGTGGAAAAGCCGAGATGGGAAGATAGTCTGAGAGTAAAAACAAGTCGTCAGCAGAAGGGTGTTATGGCTGCTGAGGAAGTGTTGATGTTTACAGTAATGTAGGTTCAACTGAGGATTGTAGAAAGTGGTTTGTTTTCATGCATTCTGGTTGATAATGGCTTGCAGTGATCAACTGGAATAGTGTATACAGCTGTATACTCTGAATGCACATACTGCATGCTCTAGAGCAAAACTTCCACTTCGATAAACAAATGTAAACTTTGCATTTAGAAGTGTGCACGACTCGAGCTTCTGCTTTTGAATTTGGTACGAAATGTTCAATTCTATCCAACAATAACAGACTCGTAACCATCTGTATGTATCTTCTTCCTGTTCCCCACAGGTGTTTGTGAAGTGTCACTATGATTATGACCCAGCCAATGACAACCTGATCCCTTGTAAAGAGGCGGGGCTTAAGTTCTACACCGGTGACATCCTGCAGATCGTTAATCAGGATGACCTCAACTGGTGGCAGGTGGGTCCATATGGATTATTTTGCCATGTACTGTACTGTATGTAAAAAACCTGAAAAACATGCGCACATCCAGGTACTTTCAGCAGGTGCTGGAGTTGTAGGTAAATTAATGAAAAACAGAAAGGAAAACGCCGCACACTGCTGCTCATGCTCCCAGGTGATATTTATTTATAACAACGTTTCGACCCTTAGGTCTTCATCAGGCATCCATATCCCAGGTGGGGGTGGAAGGTCATATATATAGGGGCAGTACTCAGTGACATCACTTCCTGAAACAGGAAGTAAAAATTGTATGACAGGTTAACAATATTAACATTCAATGTATCAAAATATATGATCATATACAAGGAATGTGATCAATATTTATAGTAATATACATAAAATATTCATACAATGTTCAATTAGGAAAAAAACAAAAACACAATTTGGACATTGAAACTATAAAATGGTTTCAAGTCAAACTCCTCGTTAAGGCCAAGAGGAGACAGTGTGTTGAGCCTGTGGATCCAGAAAGATTCCCTTTGAAGAAGTTTCCTCTCAATGTCCCCTTCCCTGCGTGACATCTTGACCATTTCTATTCCAATGTATCTCAGAGAACTAATAGGATGTTCATCTTGTACAAAATGAACAGTAACCAGATTTTTTGTCTCACCTGTCCGTATATTGCTGCGGTGCTCACAGATCCATATCTTAAGGCTTCTGCGGGTTTTCCCTATGTAAGACAGACCACAAGGACAATTCAACATGTAAACAACATTGGTGGACATGCAGGTAATCTTAAATCTTTGTCCTGTGCAGGGGTGGGTAAATGAGTTGCATTTGTACGTGAAGCTGCATTGAGCACATTGGCCACATTTGTAATTACCCTCCGGAACCTTGTCCAAGAAAGTTTCCCTTTTCTCTGGTGGGTAATCAGATTTAACCACAATGTCTCTCACGTTTGGGGGTCTTTTAAAGACCATACGTGGGGGATATTTAAAAATGGGTTTCAATTGTGGGTCAGTGTCAATAATGTACCAGTGCTTCCTGATAATTTCCTTAAATGCCTTCCCCAATGTTGAGTATTGGGTAAAGCATGAGGGGACATGCTTTTTCTTTAACTTTTGGTTGAAGGCTTTCCAGCTGTGTTAGCCCTTCAAAACGATCATTGGCATGTTTTACCCAATTGTCTTTGTACCCCCTTTCCTTAAACCTCTGTGTGAGGTCCGTGGCATCAGAGCTGCATATTCTTCTGATGCGACTGAATTGACTTATAGGGACACTTTTAATAAGTGGACGTGGATGAAAGGTGTCACCTCTAAGGAGGGTATTCCTGTCCGTAGGTTTCCTACAGAGATCTGTAGAGAAGGAGGTTTTGTCCTTAATAACATCAAGAAAACTGATTTGTGATAGGTCATAGTTAATGTTGAAATGAAGGTGTTCATTCATAGAGTTTAGATAAGCATGCAATTCCAAAAGTTCTTCCTGGGTCCCTGTATAGATCACGAAAATGTCATCCAAATATCTCAGAATTAGGAGAATATTGGAGAGAAAGGGGTTAAGGTCTGGATTCAGCACCACCTGTTTTTCAAACATTCCTAGATATAGGTTAGCATAATTAGGAGACATAGTGCTCCCCATCGCTGTCCCTTTGGTCTGGAGGAAAAAGTCTCCTCTGAAGAGAAAATAGTTGGAGGTTAATACCAGTTCAGCCAGGTCCACAATACAATTGGTGCTGGGAAGAGCATTAGGGGGAAGTTCATTGAGGTTGAACTTGAGGGCCTCTAGGCCACCCTGATGGGGGATGTTAGTATATAGACTGGTAACATCAAAAGTACACAGAATAGAATTACGTCATTTAGCAGACGCTCTTATCCAGAGCGACTTACAGTTAGTGCATACATTATTCTTTTTTATTGTGGGTTCAATTCCCCCAACCCACAACCCTGGCGTTGCAAACGCCATGCTCTACCAACTGAGCTACCTCCCTGCCAGCCATTCCCTCCCCTACCCTGGACGACGCTGGGCCAATTGTGCGCCGCCCCATTGGTCTCCCGGTTGCGGCCGGCTACAGCAGAGCCTGGATTTGAACCAGGATCTCTAGTGGCACAGCTAGCACTGCGATGCAGTGCCTAAGACCACTGCGCCACTCATATATGGTCCACAGATTTAAAAAAATTAATAAAATCAATAGAGTCTCAGGTATACGTGGGGAGGGAGATCGCCCAGGGTTTCACAACATAGTCTACAAAGGTACAGATATTCTCTGTCAGAGGTACGTTACTACTCAAAATGTGCCTGCCTGGTATAGGTGATGTCATGCTCTGCTGCAGAAGCCTTAAGATACGGATCTGTGAGCACCACAGCAATATACGGACAGGTGAGCCAAAAAATCTGGTTGCCATTTTGTACAAGCTGGACATCTTATTAGGTCTCTGAGATACATTGGAATAGAAATGGTCAAGATGTCACGCAGGGAAGGGGACATTGAAAGGAAACTTCTTCAAAGGGAATCTTTCTGGATCCACAGGCTCAACACACTGTCTCCTCTTGGCCTTAACGAGGAGTTTGACTTGAAAACGTTTTTATAGTTTCAATATGTCCAAATTGTGTTTTTTTTTATCCTAATTGAACATTGTAAGAATATAGTATGTAAATATTGATCACATTCCTTGTATATGAACATATATTTTGATACATTGAATGTTAATATTGTGAACCTATTTTTTACCTCCTGTTTCAGGTAGTGATGTCACTGAGTACTGCCCCTATATATAGGATATTCCACCCCCACCTGGGATATGGATGCCTGATGAAGACCTAAGGGTCGAAACATTGTCATAAATAAATATCACCTGGGAGCATGAGCAGCAGTGTGCAGCGTTTTCCTTTCTGTTTTTCTGTATTGTATGTAACACACATTGTTTAGTGTATTGCTTCTGTTGTCAATACTATCACCTCTAAATGTGGCTACTTGTGCCTATCGGTATACAGTGTGTGTACTGGTGGGTCTAAGTATTGATGAGAGTATCATCCTGTGGGTCTGTCAGGCTCGTCGTTGTGTGGAGGGAGGCAGTGCTGGGCTGATCCCAAGTCAGCTGCTGGAGGAGAAAAGAAAAGCCTTTGTCAAGAGAGACGTGGAGCTGGCCCCCACAGGTAGGACCAGTGCATAGGGCTGTGGCAGACATGACATTTTGTCAGACGGTTATTGTCATGCAAAAGACTGCCAGTCTCACAGTAATTGACCGTTAATGAACATAATCACGTTTAGCATCTCCATGCCTCCACGCATACAAGCCTCTGATGCGCGTCTTTGGAACATCTACATTTAAAAAAGTTGAATATATCAATTTAATATACACCATCACAATGAATCCATTATTTAGATTAGTCAGGTCTAAAGAAACATTATCATATGAAAATGTATTTCAGAAGAAGAGAATAGGAGTTGGCCTACTGTAGGCATATGTTATCTGGCTATGCTCCATGCCATATGCTGTAGGCTGGTTCATTTAGCTGACAAGATATGCTTATACACCCCGTGCTATTACATTATTTTATCTGATTTTATAGTAAGAATATATTTTTCCCATTACAGAGCGTATGAAGTGGCTATGTTGAGCGTAAAAGTGATAATTTGAAACAGGTCCTACGGTGCCTTCGGAAAATATTCAGACCCCTTGACTTTTTCCTAATTTTGTTAGGTTACAGCCTTATTCTAAAATTGATTAAACACATTTTTTCTCATCAATCTACACACAATACCCCATAATGACAAAGCAAAAACTGTTTGTTATAAAATATAAAAATAAAAAATGCAAATATTGCATTTACATAAGTATTCAGACCCTTTACTCAGTACTTTGTTGATGCACCTTTGGCAGAGATTACAGCCTCAAGCCTTCTTGGGTATGACGCTACAAGCTGGGCACACCTGTATTTGGGGAGTTTCTCCCATTAATCTCTGCAGATCATCTCAAGCTCTGTCAGGTTGGATAGGGAGGATTGCTGCACAGCTATTTTCAGGTCTCTCCAGAGATGTTTGATCGGGTTCAACTCCGGGCTCTGGCTGGGCCACTCAAGGACAGTCAGAACAGAAACTTGTCCCGAAGCCACTCCTGTGTTGTCTTGGCTGTGTGCTTAGGGTCGTTGTCCTGTTGGAAGGTGAACCTTCGCACAGTCTGAGGTCCTGAGTGCTCTGGAGCAGGTTTTCATCAAGGATCTCTCTGTACTTTGCTCCGTTCATCTTTCCCTTGATCCTGACTAGTCTCCCAGTCCCTGCCGCTGAAAAACATCCCCACAGCATGATGCTGCCACCACCATGCTTCACCGTAGGGATGGTGCCAGGTTGCCTCTAGACGTGACGCTTTGCATTCAGGCCAAATAGTTCAATCTTCTATTCATCAGACCAGAAAATCTTGTTTCTCATGGTCTGAGAGTCTTTAGGTGCCTTTTAGCAAACTACAAGTGGGCTGTCATGTGCCTTTTACTAAGGATTGGCTTCCGTCTGGCCACTCCACCATAAAAGCCTGATTGGTGGAGTGCTGCAGAGATGGTTGTCCTTCTCCCATCTCCACAGAGTAACTCTAGAGCTCTGTCAGAGTGACCATCGGGTTCTTGGTCACCTCCCTGACCAAGGCCCTTCTCCCCCAATTGCTCAGTTTTGCTGGGCGGCCAGCTCTAGGAAGAGTCTTGCTGGTTCCAAACTTCTTCAATTTAAGAATGATGGAGGCCACTGGGTTCTTGGGGACCTTGAATGATGTAAAAGTGTTTTGGTAACCTTCCCCAGATATGTGCCTCGACACAATCCTGTCTCAGAGCGCTACAGACAATTCCTTCGACCTCATGGCTTGGTTTTTGCTCTGACAAGCGCTGCCAACTGTGGGACCTTATATAGACAGTTGTGTGCCTTTCCAAATCATGTCCAATCAATTGAATTTACCACAGGTGGACTCCAATCAAGTTGTAGAAACATCTCAAGGATGATCAATGGAAACAGGATGCCCCTGAGCTCAATTCCTAGTCTCATAGCAAAGGGTCTTATGCAAATAAGGTATTTCTGTTTTTCATTTTTAATACATTTTCTAAAAACCTGTTTTCGCTTTGTTATTTTGGGGTATTGTGTGTAGATTGCTGAGGAAATTGTTTTATTTAATCCATTTTAGAATAAGGCTGTAAAGTAAGAAAATGTGGAAAAAGTCAAGGGGTCTGAATACTTTCCGAAGGCACTGTATATGCTAGATTTAGAGTTATTTGGCAACTTTAGTTGTGAATGATACAAACCTTAGAATGTCTTAGAAATCAAAACATATATGGGCTGCATGATGCGACCTATAGGATATTGATGATTTGAGAAAATAACAAAAGTAGCTTGTGCTCTGTTCCTTACCTTAGGCAGCACAGCTGTTGTCTCATCAAATGATCATATTTTCACCCATCAGACTATTCTAAATGTAATATTTTCTTTACTAATATGTAAAATTAGTTTCGTTTTAGAATGGGCAGGAGCAGGGGAAAACATGCATGTCATCTGTATGCACTCAAATAGCGAATGGAGGCCGTGCTTCCCGTCGATCCGTTTTGTAGGCTACTTCGGTTTTATAGCGGAGCATGTGCTTAATATGAGCAGCTGAGAAATAAATATAAGAACACTTATTTCACTCCACGCATCCAATACTGTTTGTGGAGTATGCTCTCTCTGCCCGACAGGTAATATTCCGCCCAAAGTCTGTATACCATGGGCTCTCAAACCTTGTTCCTGCAGCTACCCAGTGCTTAATTTGGGAAACCAAGTGAAATCTGTTAGGGAACATCAATAGTAACATGTTTTTGCAAAACAAAACATATTTATTTCACTAAACTGTTGAGAGCCCGTCTGCGTGCCCAATAAAGGAATAAAGGAGAGCGAGGAGTAGATGGAAACGCATGGTGGTGAGATATTCTGTATAGCTGAAGGTAATGTGACACTCAATTAATTATAATTAAAAATCCCTATTACTAGGCTATTCAAAATCAAAAACAAATTCACTTATTGTAGACTAACTGTAAGCCGCCCTGCACAATCAATAAACCAACAGCATCGCCTAGGGCTGGACAAACATTCTCTCCCAGACTCATGGATAGACATTTTGCAGCGGAGCATAAGGTAACTAGTCCATCCAGTATGCATAATAATATGGTCCACACTAAAAGGCGATTACTCAAATTTGTTTTATTTTGGAGTATAGGCTAAACCCATTATGTACCAAAGACATCTTAAATCAGTTTAGTTTTATTAGTTTTCTGCCATGCGCAATATGCGGTAGGATATGTATTGTATAACGGCACAATCATGTTGGGTACTACCAAAGCATGTCTAGATTGCATAAAAGGAGATTACCGTGACGCAATGATCAAATGGAATTTTACTGCGGTCATGACTCATGACCTCATGACTCATGACTTGTTTTCTGCCATGCGTAATATGCGGTAGGATATGTATTGTATAACGGCACAATCATGTTGGGTACTACCAAAGCACTACCAAAGCATGTCTAGAGTGCATAAAAGGAGATTACCGTGACTCAATGATCAAATGGAATTTTACTGCGGTCATGACTCATGCCTACCAGTGCAGCCCACATTATTAACTCACCATAACTCTTACCCCCTGTCTGTCTGTCTGTCTGTTTGTCTGTCTGTCTCTCACTCTTCACAAATGAACAGACAGCATTTAATATGAGGCAGATCGTCAGATCCTAGATGTGTAGCTTATTATGTAGAGGGGAATGATGGGTGCATTAGAAGTCTTCATAGATCCACCTGTACCCGAATACAGAGACCCGATACGGGACCCGAATTCGAAATAATGTCACGGGTCTGGGTTGGATCTGATATGTTTGTCAGGGGTCTCGGGTATGTTTAATTTTAACTGACTTGTCTGAAAGGACCCTTACATACACTACCAGATCAAAGGTTTGGACTCACCTACTCATTCAAGGATTTTTCTTTATTTTTACTATTTTCTACATTGTAGAATAATAGTGAAGACATCAAAACTATGAAATAACACATATGGAATCATGTAGTAACCAAAAAAGTGTTAAACAAATCAAATTATATATTTTATATTTGAGATTCCTCAAATAGCCACCCTTTGCCTTGATGACAGCTTTGCACACTCTTGGCATTCTCTCAAACAGCTTCACCTGGAATGCTTTGCCAACAGTTTTGAAGGAGTTCCCACCTATGCTGAGCACTTGTTGGCTGCTTTTCCTTCACTCTGCGGTCTGACTCATCCCAAACCATCTCAATTGGGTTGAGGTCGGGGGATTGTGGAGGCTAGGTCATCTGATGCAGTACTCCATCACTCTCCTTCTTGGTCAAATAGCCCTTACACAGCCTGGAGGTGTGTTGGGTCATTGTCCTGTTGAAAAACAAATTATAGTCCCACTAAGCCCAAACCAGATGGGATGGCGTATCGCTGCAGAATGCTGTGGTAGCGATGCTGGTTAAGTGTGCATTGAATTCTAAATAAATCACAGACAGTGTCACCAGCAAAGCACCCCCACACCATAACACCTCCTCCTTCATGCTTTACGGTGGGAAATACACATGTAGAGATCATCCGTTCACCAAAAATCTCCAATTTGGATTCCAGACCAAAGGACACATTTCCACTGGGCTAATGTCCATTGCTCGTGTTTCTTGGCCCAAGCAAGTCTCTTCTTCTTATTGGTGTCCTTTAGTAGTGGTTTCTTTGCAGCAATTTGACCATGAAGGCCTGATTCACACAGTCTCCTCTGAACAGTTGATGTTGAGATGTGTCTGTTACTTGAACATTGTGAAGCATTTATTTGGGCTGCAATTTCTGAGGCTGGTAACTCTAATGAACTTATCCTCTGCAGCAGAGGTAATGCTGGGTCTTCCATTCCTGTGGCGGTCCTCATGAGAGCCAGTTTCATCATAGCGCTTGATGTTTTTTTGCGACTGCCCTTGAAGAAACTTTCAAAGTTCTTGAAATGTTTCTGATTGACTGACCTTCGTGTCTTAAATTAATGATGGACTGTCATTTCTCTTTGCTTATTTGAGCTGTTCTTGCCATAATATGGACATTCTTCTGTATACCCCCCTACCTTGTCACAACACAACTGATTGGCTCAAACGCATTAAGAAGGAAAGAAATTCCACAAATTAACTTTTAAGAAGCCACACTTGTTGATTGAAATGCATTCCAGGTGACTACCTCATGAAGCTGGTTGTGAGAATGCCAAGAGTGTGCAAAGCTGTCATCAAGGCAAAAGGTGGCTATTTGAAGAATCCCAAATATAAAATATAATTGGATATGTTTAACACGTTTTGGCTACTATATGATTCCATATGTGTTTTTTCATAGTTTTGATGTCTTCACTATTATTCTACAATGTAAAAAATTGTAAAAATAAAGAAAAACCCTTGAATGAGTAGGTGTGTCCAAACGTTTGACTGGTACTGTGTCCGAAAGGCGACTGCTGCAGTAGAGAGAGAGAGATAAACTGTATAATTTATGCTGCTGCTCTTTTCAAGATAGTGGCACGTGTAGCTTGTTGTCATCATAAGTCATCAAAGCGTCATAGAGTCTCCATGGCAAAAGTTATGAGATATCTAATCAATGGAAGATGGAATTAAAATCACAGAATTAAAAGTTAAAGGAGCAGGATAGGCTACAATGACCAAGAGACAATAGGTAGGCTGCTACTTAAAATTCTGAATGGAGTTGTTATTATTTGTAACGGTAGGACGAGAAAGCAGCCTCAATTAGCCTAGCTAGCGAACATTAGCTAGCTTAACTAGCTTCTCCCGGTTTGATGCAGTCAAGACAGGTACTACGTAATCATATTGGATGATACATATGGCAGGTATTAGTCTACTATTGCACGAGTCGGCTTGGTTGGTTGCTGTCTCTCCCTCCCTCCTCCCTGTGTCACTCGCTCACAGTAACATCCGCCCTCCCCCGCCTGCTAGAGCAGCACCTCTCTCTCCCTCCTCTCCCTCGTGCTTTATCAGCTCCGGTTAATAAAGTAGCTTAGAAAATTCACTTTTCTGCTGCGGACCGGGTCTGGATCCGACCAGGTCTATACTGAATGTGTCTAGTTGTCCTCGGGTCTGTTTGGAACGGGTCTCTATATTTAAAAAAAATATTTATGCATATCGGGTCCGGGTGGGAAAGCCCCAGGTCCATTTCGGAATGTTTCCAACTTTTTGGACCCATTAAGACCTCTACTTGGTATTGTTATATACTGCCCCCTAGAGTAAAATCAAATGGATGATTAATAAGAAAACCATGTGAATACCTGTGGATGCATGTGGATAGATGGAGTTTGTATGGGATCATGTTTTAATGGGATCATCGTTGTTTACATGTTTGTTATTGTGACAGGAAATCTTTGTACTGGAGTGGCGGGAAAGAACAAGAAGAAAAAGATGATGTATCTAACCACAAAGAATGCAGGTGGGAATTCCTCTCTGTGAATTCTGAGTGTTTCTGTAAGTTACATTGAAAGGTTAACAAATAAACAAAGCTATCAATTTGTCACTGTATGTCTCTGTCTTTATCTGTCATTGTTTTTATTCACCCTCTCTCTCTCTCTATTAATCTATCTCTCAGAGTTTGACAGGCATGAGTTGCTGATCTATGAGGAGGTTGCCAAGGTGCCTCCGTTCCGCAGGAAGACGTTGGTTCTGATTGGTGCACTGGGAGTGGGCCGACGCAGCCTGAAGAACAAACTGCTGCTGTCTAACCCACAGCACTACGGCACCACCATCCCCCGTGAGCGTTGCTAACGCTAACTTTCCAACTAATTAACAAAAAAATGCTAACATGCTAAAGCTAGCCCTTGATGTATAGTCCTAACAATCAGAGAATATTCTTTGGACTTTGGATTGAATCCATTGTGTTAGGACACCTTCATATAGTAACTAGTGATTGTTGAAACAGTTTCCAGCAAGTCGCTCTGGATAAGAGTGTCTGCTAAATGACTAAAATGTAGAAAATCTTCTTGCATCCTTCAGACACCTCCAGAAAGCCAAAGTCAGGGGAGCGGGAGGGCCAGATGTATGCCTTCACCTCGCGGAGCAAGATGGAGGCAGACATCAAGAACGGCCGCTACCTGGAGCATGGCGAGTACGACGGCAATCTCTACGGCACCAAGATGGACTCCATCCACGAGGTGGTGGAGGCCGGTCGCATCTGCGTACTGGACGCCAATCCTCAGGTAGGAGCAACTGACTACATTGTGGCCCCACAATCTGGAGCCCTATATGGGTGAATTCAGGGTTCTAACTGTTATAGACATTGGTACCTCTTACAGACATTGTATTCCTTGTACTACTTCCAGGCCTTGAAGGTACTGCGGACGTCTGAGTTCCTGCCTTACGTGGTGTTCATCGAGGCCCCTGACTTTGAGGTCCTCAAGGCCATGAACCAGTCGGCTGTCGAGACTGGAGTCGTCACCAAGCAGCTGACGGTAAGCACCAGGGTGAAGCCAAACAGAGGATAATGACTGAATGGAAAAATCAACGACTGCTATGTATTTCATTCAGGAATCCCAACATGCCTCACTTTGTTTAGCCATTATACACTGAGTATACAAAACATTAAGGACACCTCCTCTTTCCATGACATAGACTGACCAGGTGAAAGCTATGATCCCTTATTGATGTCACTTGTTAAATCTACATCAATCAGTGTAGATGAAGGGGAGGAGACAGGTTAAAGAAGGATTTTTAAGCCTTGAGACAATTGAGACATTGATTGTGTATGTGTGTATGTGTGATTGGGCAAGACAAAATATTTAAGTGCCTTTGAACGGGGTATGGTAGTAGGTGCCAGGCGCAATGGTTTGTGTCAAGAACTGCAATGCTGCTGGGTTTTTCACGCTGTTTCCCGTGTGTATCAAGAATGGTCCACCACCCAAAGGACATCCATCCAATTTGACACAATTGTGGGAAGCATTGGAGTCAATATTAGGAAGGTGTTCCTAATGTTTGGTATACTCAGTGTAAAGACCCTTTTTGTAGCACTTACTACTTCGAGACCTGATATGTGTGTCAAAAATGAGTTAGTAACATATAATAGATCTTTAGATAGTTATTCATACTGTATGTCTGTGGAGTTAGATTTTCGAAAAAGTTAATCTTAAGTGATTTTTTACTTTTTTTTTACTAGAAAGTTCTATCTGCATAAACCATTTGAACGTGGAGCTATCCAATCACAAGCCTGAACAAATACAGACGGACCAATCATAACACATCTTTGCCATCTCACTTAAGTATGGCCTAGGCTAGTCTAACCAGCAATAATGGCATGCAAGCAAAACAAAAACAACACTGTCAGAAATCTTAAAGTAAATGATGTCACATCGTTGCTCACTGATGATAGTAATTAGTCTGATGATCATAATACATTTCTTAATGTATTTGATGATGTGTTCTGACTATCTGGATAAAATAGTGTTATTCTATCATTTATGTATTCAAATAGCTACAATCTTCTTAAAAACTGAACATGTCTAATTCAGAAGTATCAGATAGAACCTTATGGCTGAACCCAGATTTACATTTCAGAGCCATAAGGTTCTATCTGCTATTGCAGCCGATAAAAAAACAGATTTACAAATGTCTCAGGATTTTAATGCTCTCCACTTTAGGTACCTTTAAGGTGAGGACCTTAATAGGTTATTAAAGACACATTTATTACAAAACAGTTTCTGAGATCTGTGATGTGAAAACTTTGATTCTCAATATCTCAGAACTATGCTTTGCGCAGATATAACCTTATAGTGCCAAGGTCACAACTTGCTGTAAAGCTGAAAGGCTGTCTGAGCCTCCAGGTTCGTAGCGATTGCGCCTCATGAACATAGCTAATTAGCTTGTCCAGGGCCTGTTCCCCTCCTGTTACTCTGAGTTCTAACAACCACCATCTTTGTTCTCTGTAGGACTCAGAGCTAAAGAGAACAGTGGACGAGAGCACCCGCATCCAGACGGCCTACGGACACTACTTTGACCTCACCATCGTCAACGACAACCTGGACGAGAGCTACAGGAACCTGAAGGCAGCCCTGGAGAAGGTCTCTGCTACCCAGCAGTGGGTCCCAGTCACCTGGGTCTTCTAGCGGGAGACAGAAGGACAAGAGGGTGGTGTTGAACACTTGTTCTCTCACTCATCCCCACAAGACATCCGACGGTACTGTCTGGCTCATCATCACAGTGACCTCTGGACCTCTGACCTTTGGACTCCATACATAAGACTGAACTGACAGCATTATTTTTGCTGTGTACGTATTGCTTTTGGAAATTTGTCAACAAAACATGAAGGATTTTCTTGTTTGGGCATTATGTGATTCTGGTGTGTGTGCGGTTGCAGAGTGTCTTTACCATAATCATGTTCACTACATTGACTCTTTAGGTCAGCAATAGTTCATCTATGTTTACATGAATCATTAAATGGAGATTCAGAATATGAAATACATAATCTTACATCAAAACAGTAAACAGTGGTAGATAGTTTTCTACTGTTTATGTCTTCACTGCAGGTCTGACACACACACACACGCGCGCGCACACACACACACATGCGCACACACACACACAGACACACACTCGCTCAAAGAGAGCCAGCTGTCTTATTCCCCAAATTCTATTTTTAATACCACATTCTATTTTTTTGTATGGGGCGTTCAAGTTGAGACACTTTTTGACACCTACTGTTGGGATATTCTTTTCTATCATTTCAAAAAGGCAAGCCACTAAGGTGTGAACATAAAACATAACATGTAGATACATAGAGAGATGTGTATGATAGATGTACTCTCAGTACAACCTTTATAAACGTGACTACACAGATACCTTTTATATACAGTGGGGAGAACAAGTATTTGATACACTGCCGATTTTGCAGGTTTTCCTACTTACAAAGCATGTAGAGGTCTGTAATTTTTATCATAGGTACACTTCCAACAAAAATCCAGAAAATCACATTGTATGATTTTTAAGTAATTAATTTGCATTTTATTGCATGACATATGTATTTGATCACCTACCAACCAGTAAGAATTCCAGCTCTCACAGACCTGTTAGTTTTTCTTTAAGAAGCCCTCCTGTTCTCCACTCATTACCTGTATTAACTGCACCTGTTTGAACTCGTTACCTGTATAAAAGACACCTGTCCACACACTCAATCAAACAGACTCCAACCTTTCCACAATGGCCAAGACCAGAGAGCTGTGTAAGGACATCAGGGATAAAATTGTAGACCTGCACAAGGCTGGGATGGGCTACAGGACAATAGGCAAACAGCTTGGTGAGAAGGCAACAACTGTTGGCGCAATTATTAGAGAATGGAAGAAGTTCAAGATGACGGTCAATCACCCTCGGTCTGGGGCTCCATGCAAGATCTCACCTCGTGGGGCATCAATGATCGTGAGGAAGGTGAGGGATCAGCCCAGAACTACACGGCAGGACCTGGTCAATGACCTGAAGAGAGCTGGGACCACAGTCTCAAAGAAAACCATTAGTAACACACTGCGCCGTCATGGATTAATATCCTGCAGTGCACGAAGGTCCCCCTGCTCAAGCCAGCGCATGTCCAGGCCCATCTGAAGTTTGCCAATGACCATCTGGATGATCCAGAGGAGGAATGGGAGAAGATCATGTGGTCTGATGAGACAAAAATAGAGCTTTTTGGTCTAAAGTCCACTCGCCGTGTTTGGAAGAAGAAGAAGGATGAGTACAACCCCAAGAACACCATCCCAACCGTGAAGCATGGAGGTGGAAACATCATTCTTTGGGGATGCTTTTCTGCAAAGGGGACAGGTCGACTGCACCGTATTGAGGAGAGGATGGATGGGGCCATGTATCACAAGATCTTGGCCAACAACCTCCTTCCCTCAGTAAGAGCATTGAAGATGGGTCGTGGCTGGGTCTTCCAGCATGACAACGACCCGAAACACACAGCCAGGGCAACTAAGGAGTGGCTCCGTAATAAGCATCTCAAGGTCCTGGAGTGGCCTAGCCAGTCTCCAGACCTGAACCCAATAGAAAATCTTTGGAGGGAACTGAAAGTCCGTATTGCCCAGCGACATCCCCAAAACCTGAAGGATCTGGAGAAGGTCTGTATGGAGGAGTGGGCCAAAATCCCTGCTGCAGTGTGTGCAAACCTGGTCAAGACCTACAGGAAACGTATGATCTCTGTAATTGCAAACAAAGGTTTCTGTACCAAATATTAAGTTCTGCTTTTCTGATGTATCAAATACTTATGTCATGCAATAACATGCAAATTAATTACTTAAAAATCATACAATGTGATTTTCTGGATTTTTGTTTTAGATTCCGTCTCTCACAGGTGAAGTGTACCTATGATAAAAATTACAGACCTCTACATGCTTTGTAAGTAGGAAAACCTGCAAAATCGGCAGTGTATCAAATACTTGTTCTCCCCACAGTATGTTTTTGCCGTGTCAAAAGCCTTCTTTCTCTTTTATTTCATAAAAATACTATTTATACCCAGGTCAGCTGTACAGTACAGTACACACCAGTTTGACAAGTAAATGGCTCCAGAATTTTACTTGATGGGTTCCTTGCTGTTGGTTACCATTTGGTAAAATAAAAATTCTGGAGCAGGCCTTTTTATTACACTTTCATAACAGAGGGTCTTGTGATGCAGTAGTACAGGATGCATGGTCTATTAGGTCAGTTGAAATCGATGCACCCCAGGCTTTGGGAAATGTGGTGATAATTTGTTTTGGGAAGAGAAAGATAAAGGCAGATGAACCCAGAGTTCTGGGTCGTATTCACTAGACACGAGGTTGTTGTCGTTTTCTGTTGTGGAACATTTAGCTGTAATGTGGCCTAATGAATACGACCCTGGAAACTCCAGAGGAATGACACATGACACACAACAATGACAAGTTTGTGTACTCCAGATTAGTGTAAGGTCATAGTTTCTTCCTTTTAGTATGGTTTCTACTTTCTATGATGCTCACATGTATCCATGGCATTTTCAAATACCAAGAATATGAGTTTGGAGATTCATGATTGAAGGATTTCAAGAAGCTTCTGTATTTGACTGTGTATCAGTCACATTTTCTAGACGTACTGTAAATGACAGACTGTGAATGTAGATATACAGTAGACTAGAGGCAAATGCTAACTACAGTAACAGTGTGTTGTTTATAGGAAAATGAACTATACATTTGATGATGTCCACAATTAAACGTATAAAATCAATGAGACCAAATTGACGTCTGATTCTATGGAAGGATCGAAGAGCATCCCAGTAAAGCTACATTTATTAGGGGGTTTAGGAAACAACAGAAACTCTCCCACTTTTTTAGAAGGCCCATGTGCAAGGGATTTCCAGTGTTAAGGACAAATCTGGTGGCCAAGCCCATAATAACTTATCAGGATGATATGCATTCCAAGCCATGATGACCTCATCTGACTCCATTTTCAACTTTCACTAAAAAGAATGGATTGCTCCAACTAACTGATATTCAATTAAACTAGCAGAAAATATTAGATTAACAATGCCTCATCACATAATATTGATAGAAACAGTCCCCCTGGGTTTCTAAGAGCCCTGCCCATTGACACTCCTCATGCCCAAAGGCTAAAGCACAAATGGTGGGTGTTTTCTATATATATAATGATCTTCTTTCTTTCCATCCCTCAGTTCCCCCACTGCTTCAACCTTCAGTCTCTTCCGCAACAGACAGGGAATCTCTTTGCCTTTGTAGGGCAGAGAAGTTCAGGTATCTTTAGGTTATTTTCCAGCTCAGGACTTTCAGGCATCTACCAACAAACAAAGACAATACTAAAAACAGTTCCAACAAACGTTGCTGTTCCCTTCAGGACGTGACGGATAGCTGTGCTCCCTGTGCCTGTAACCTCCTGCCGACCTGTCTGGGATGTGGCCAGTGCTGCTAGGTGTGTTCACTGCTCTGGTGGTGGCCTGGGTGACCATCTACATCCTAAATTATTCCAAGAGGAAGAGGGTATTTTCCCAGGAGTGCCTGCGACCACCAGGGCCGTTGGTGACAGACAAGAAGCAGAGAGATGGGGTGCTGAAGAAAGGTGAGTCATGGTTGTCATGGCTACAGGACTCAATGTTGTTTGCTGACATTTTCACTAAGTAAGATGGGGGAATAGTTAGCTGTGTTTTTGAACCGCTGTTGAAAATGACGACATGCTATGACTAGAAGAAACAGGAAGATATCCATATCTGGATTGGGTTACTGTATACAATGTGAAATCTGATCTGTCTGAAAAAGCCATACCTGACATACTGTAAGCTTCAACATTATGTGCTTAAACAATGAATGGTTACTTGACTGCAACACCCTAACTTTACAAGGGTACAAATATGACTAAGCATTTGAATGACATATTAAAACAATAGGTGTGAGGCATGTGCATGGTGTGACAAACGTAGCTCTTGGAAATATCACATTTGAGTTCAACATTTCCTTAAATTTCCTTTTCTTTGTGAGTGGATGACGAAAAAGGAAGAAGTCCATTCACGTTGCATCAAGTTTCTGCCAGACTGGTTGATTCCCCAGTGATCGTCTGTCTAAATCACTTTGATGTTATTCTGAATGAGTGTTTTAAGAATCGACTTCAACACTAACGTGAAAATGACAGAGCAGAAAGTACACAAACACACTTCACTTATGAATATGATATCCTCTTTCTGCCTATGTCTATGATGATATTAACGCAGCCCCTCCCCCTATCAACATTTCCAGGTTTCAGAATGGACCGTGTCCCGGAGAACCTTGACGCTATAGTGATTGGCAGCGGTATCGGGGGTCTGACAGCAGCGGCGGTTCTAGCCAAAGCAGGGAAGAGGGTTGTGGTTCTAGAACAGCATGACCAGGCTGGAGGCTGCACTCACAGAACCAGGGCTTTGAGTTTGACGTAGGTAAGAGCCACTGTGACAGAACCGACCATGGACTACACTCATAAGGCCTTAATGTTTATGTACTCAAGTTGATCGCTCTGGTAAGGTTCCTCTTCTTTGTTCATCTCAGTGAAAAAGCAGAGCTTGTTTCATTGAGTACTTACAAAGCGAAAACTAGTCTCTGGTGAGTGGTGACAGACGGCCAGCGCTCACGCAATAGTTGGTTCAGGGTTGCAGAGATTAAGCAAGAAGTAAGTGGTGTTTGATAAACTCAATCTAGGCACAATCATAAGGGAGGATCATTGGGTAGGATAAGCTTCTAATACATACACAAATGATCCAGCAAATATTCTCTCACCACCTCCACCTCCGTCAGGGATCCACTACCTGGGCCAGCTCCATGAGAACAGCATGTTTCGTGTGGCCCTGGACCAGATCAGTGAAGGTCAGATCCAGTTCACCAGGATGGAGCAGCACTTTGACACACTGATCCTAGGTCAGGGTGAAGACCGCAGGGACTACCACATCCTCTCTGGGAAGACGGAGATGGCAGAGAGCCTGAAGAGGCAGTTTCCTGATGATGTGGAGGCCTTGAATGAATATTTCAAGTATATGAAGGTACTGTGTGTGCGTGTGTGTGTGTGTGTATGTGTGTGTGTGTGTGTGCATATGTGTGTGTATGTGTGATCATAACCCCTCTCATGTCTCCCCATGCTGCAGAAGGCAGCTCGTCGCATCAATCTCCTGGCCGGACTCAAGATGATGCCCATATGGCTGGTACACTTCCTGGCTCGGACCGGCCTATTAGAGCGCATCTCCTCAGTGTTCCGCATGGCCATCACCAAACACACAGAGAAGATGGCCACTCTGACCAAGAACAAAGACCTACACGCCCTCTCCGCATACCTCTTCTATGGTCAGTCCCTATACACATCCACTCCCAGGGTGAATTCCAATACGTTTTTATTGGACAACTATTTTCCCGAACTGAACATACACACTCTTGCTAGTTTACAACCTAGTCCTGGAACCTACAACTGAGTGCTGTTATGTGAAATTGAACTTTAATTGGATGTCCCTGACTGTGTTTCCCCTGCTGGTAGGTGTTCCCCCTAAGGAATCCAGTTTCCTAATGAATACTCTACTGCTGCAGCACTATAAGAGGGGAGCCTACTACCCCATTGGAGGGGCCAGTGAGATCGCCTTCCACATCATCCCAGTCATCCGGAAGGCAGGTGGCGCTGTGCTGGTCAGAGCCCCTGTACAGAGGGTCCTTCTGAATGAGGAGGGCTCAGTGTATGGTCAGTATCTAGTTCAGGGGGGAAAGCACTAAAGCAATGACTCATTTTACTATTAGATATGCTTACTGTTGACCATCTTCTATGGGAGTATTTGGCGTTACATTAGACTCATTGTGTTGTGAGTAGTTGGCCTATGACCCCTGACCTCTGGTTGACCACTGGTTGTCAGGTGTGATGGTGAGGAAAGGTCAGGAGGAGGTGGAGGTGTTGGCTCCAGTGGTCATCTCCAACGCTGGCATCTTCAACACCTTTGAGAAGTTCCTGCCCCCAGAGATACAGGCCAAGCCGGGTGAGTGGTGGTGGTCATGAATTGTACTGAACTCTAGCCATGCTGAACTTTTACTGAAACATCAGGAAACAGGTTGAAGCGTGAGAAGACGTGTGACGAGTAGACAGTGTTTGACTAATTTGGACTAATCAAGATGTGTTCTATGTTCCCAGACATCCAGGCCCTGCTGGGGAGAATGCAGCATGGAATGGGCAGCTTCCTGGTGTTCGTGGGTCTGGACGGCACCAAGGAGGAGCTGGGCATCACCTCTATGAACTACTGGATGTACAAAGATAACGACCTGGACACACTGTTAGTACAGTATCGGGTCTCTTGAATTGTATTCTCTTTGATTCTTTAATTTGCTTGTTCATTCGGTTTTTGTTCACACCATTTGTGTTCTATTGTGTTCTATTTTTAATTCAGGGATGGGCAACTCCAGTAATTGGGGGCCTGATTGGTGTCACACTTTTGCCCCAGCCCCAGCTAACACACCTGACTAATCAACTAATCATGATCTTCAGTTTAGAATGCAATTAGTTTAATCAGCTGTGTGTGCTTGGGATGGGGGGAAAGTGTGACACCCATAGCCGCGAGAAGTAGGGGCGCTGAGGGTGCTGCAGCACTCCCTGATAAATCACCCTAAAAATATATTAATATAAAAACAAAATACAAAAGTTTCCTACCAAATTAGTGCACTAGGCTTTAATTACTTACTTCTGTATGAGCGGAGAAAAATACATTAAATTAACTGCAGTTGAGGTCCCTTATACTTTGAGGGCCTTAACCACAGTATTATATGCCTTTATTTTGAAATCACATGTAGTCTTTTTTTTGGGGGGGGGGTGGATCAGCTTAATATTGCAGATAGATTGTATCTTCTATCAATGTAATTGTCTGCATCACTTCCAATCCCCCATGTTTTTTATATATATACTCCCCTTTATTACTTTTCAACCCCGCCATCCTTTCCCTACTTGGAGTAAATTAGTGAACAACAATGCCCAGGCCTCTACTTCCGATCTATACTTACTATCTACACCTTATGGACAGAGTTAATTTTACAATAATTTTATTATATATATATATTATTTATTAATTTTTTGTTCCTGAACTTCTTCTACTCTCAACCTCTCCGATCATTTTCATGATGTCCATCCGGTTTGCATCTATATGCCATATCTTTCTGACTGTGCTCTTTCCCAAAAGCTCCCAACATACAACCTATATACTTATTATGGACACAGTATGCTTACATTATAAGCTATCTTTGTTATTATTTGTTGTTATTTGTTATTAGTCCCATCCTTCAACTCTATTCAATACCTGTAGTCTTACTGCATGTGGAATGTTTTGATTGTAGGATGGAGCGCTACAGCTCTCTGAGCCGAGAGGAGGTGGTGGGGAACATCCCCATGATGTTCATTCATTTCCCCTCTACCAAAGACCCCACCTCCAGTACCCGCCATCCAGGTAGCTGCCTCAACAACACACCTGCACCAATAATAAATCAATCACATTTTATTTGTCACATGCTTCGTAAACAACAGGTGTAGACTAACAGTGAAATGCTTTCTATATAGACTATAACACAGTATTTGAATTCATAGAGCGTTCATCACACCCACGGAAACTCTGAAAAGACTGAGAGTAAAGCATGGTAAATCAAATAAAACATTTGAGATGAACAGTGATGAACAGTACTTCAATGCTGCTGACTAAGGTCTATTTTCATACAAAAATGGCAGATAGTTTCAGACATTAATTATGCAGAGTTCAAATGATTGTGTTCTAAGACTCTCTCTCCACCTCCCAACAGGGAAGTCCTGTATGACTCTGTTGACCATGGCCAAGTTTGAGTGGTATGAGGACTGGAAAGATACCAAGGTAAACAAGAGAGGGTCCAATTACGAAGACCTGAAAATGAGCATGGCCAAGGAGCTCCTAGACTGGGCACTGGTCATCTTCCCTCAGCTCAGGGATAAGGTACTTTAAAAATCTAGCGTCATTTGAACATAACTTGCCAAAATATATTGTCATATTAAATTTACTGATGTATACAGTAGAGTAGAGTTTCTTGGACAATCCAAAGAGGCATTATAATTCATTCATTGTGCTTGAAATCAATCTTATTTGAGCCAATAAAGTCATCCAATTGTAATGATGTCTCATACCTGCTGGCTGCCTCTGTGCAAGATGTTGAAAAGACGTTGAAAATACATATTTTTGGTTGAAAGTCATTGAAAAAACATATTTAAACCAATTCTGCTCACTGGATACCTTGTGTCTCTCTACAGGTAGTGTATATGGAGGCTTCCACGCCCCTGACCAACATGCACTACCTGGGTGCCCCGCGTGGGGAGATGTATGGGGCTGAACACAACATGGACCGCTTCAGCCCAGAGACGGTGGCCAGAACCCGGCCCACCACGCCCGTCAAGGGACTCTACCTCACCGGTGAGAGAGAAATTGGTCACTGTGCTAGTATTTGAGTTGTATTTGAGTACATTGGTCACAAAGGCACAAGGTGATGGTTGACTGTGGCAGTTCTATGAGTTAGTCAGTAGAGTAATATGCAAGAACTGAAAGTCATTTTAAGGTACTACCATGGATAATACTGTTTCTGGTCTATGCTAGACGGTTCTACACATTGTACAAACTTACCGTCAGTAGTTTTCATATCAGCAAACCCTTTGTCTTGTTCTGAACCCCAGGCCAGGACGTGTTCTGTAACGGGATGGCCGGTGCTTTGCACGGAGGAATCCTGTGTGCCTCGACAGTTCTGGACCGTATTCTCTACATGGACCTCCTGGCTCTGAAGAAACAGCTCAAAAAGCTGACCTGTGAAAAGGCTCGTAACAAGGCCTGAGAAACCATTTGGACACAGCACTGACCACAGTCAAAATCATTATATAAACCAATATCATGTAGTTACGTACGTTATGTCAAATTCCTTCACCCTATCAATTTCATGTAACAGTGCCAATTTGTCTAATATTGAAATAAAATACTGTATCTTTCTTTATTACCTGTTATGGTCACGTGTTGCCATCTCCTTAGCCTTGTTTGATGATGTTCGAAAAAAAAATGGCATCACTGGATTCCCCACAGTTGTGAATGTTTACTACTCTTTAGTCAGATCACACCAGGCAGAAACATGGGTGTGTTTTATGCTTTGTTTCCATTGAAGTGCTTCTGTAGAACAGACACAACTCATTAAGGTGCACTTTGCCCCCTGAAAATCTATTACATTTATCCCCTCCATTGTAACCACGTAATGCTGTTACTGTACTACCGATCACTGTTACACCGTTGTTACACTACTGTAACTTTTGCACCTAGTACTGTAGCCAGCCACCAGGTAGGTTTCAGCTTGTTCTGTTCTGTCGACTCAAATGCAGATAGGAGAAAATAAGTCACACTCACTGCACCTCACGTCTCAGTACAAACACTGTGCTGGGAACTGGACTTTGAACTCCCATGCCTTTAAAAACACTTAAACATTCACAAGTATTATTACAGTACATTCGGAAAGTATTCAGACCCCTTGACTATGATTTTGTTACGTTACAGCCTTATTCTAAAATTTATTAAATTGTTTTTTTCCCCTCATCAAGCTACACACAATACCCCATAATGACAAAGCAAAAACAGATTTCTAGATTTTTTTGCAAATTTTATTTAAAAAAAAAAACCAACTGAAATATTACATTGACATAAGGATTCTGACCATTTACTCAATACTTTGTTGAAGCACCTTTTGCAGCAATTACAGCATTGAATCTTCTTGGGTATGACGCTACAAGCTTGGCACACCTGTATTAGGGGAGTTTCTCCCATTCTTCTCTGCTTATCATGTCAAGCTCTGTCAGGTTGGATGGGGAGCGTCGCTGCACAGCTATATTCAGGTCTCTCCAGAGATGTTAGATCAGGTTTAAATCCGGACTCTGGCTGGGCCACTCAAGGACATTCAGAGACTTGTCCCGAAGCCACTCCTGCGTTGTCTTGGCTGTGTGCTTAGGGTCGTTGTCCTGTTGGAAGGTGAACCTTTGCCCCAGTCTGAGGTCCTGAGCGCTCTGGAGCAGGTTTTCATCAAGGATCTCTCTGTACTTTGCTCCATTCATCTTTCCCTCTATCCTGACTAGTCTCCCAGTCCCTGCCGCTGAAAACATCCCCAAAGCATGATGCTGCCACCACCATGCTTCACCGTAGGGATGGTGCCAGGTTTCCTCCAGATGTGACGCTTGGCATTCAGGCCAAAGAGTTCAATATTGGTTTCATCAGACCAGATAATCTTGTTTCTCATGGTCTGAGAGTCTTTATGTACCTTTTGGCAAACTCCAAGCGGGCTGTCATGTGCCTTTTACTGAGGAGTGGCTTCTGTCTGGCCACTCTACCATAAAAGCCTGATTGGTGGAGTGCTGCAGAGATGGTTGTCCTTCTGGAAGTTTCTCCCATCTCCACAGAGGAACTCTAGAGCTCTGTCAGAATGACCATCGGGTTCTTGGTCACCAAGGCCCTTCTCCCCCGATTGCTCAGTTTGGCCGGGCGGCCAGCTGTAGGAAGAGTCTTGGTGGTTCCAAACTTCTTCCATTTAAGAATGATGGAGGCCACTGTGTTCTTGGGGACCTTCAGTGCTGCAGAAATGTTTTTGTATCCTTCCCCAGATCTGTGCCTCGACTCAATCCTGTCTCGGAGCTCTATGGACAATTCCTTCGACCTCAAGGCTTGGTTTTTGCTCTGACATGCGTTGTCAACTGTGGGATATTATATAGACAGTTGTGTGCCTTTCCAAATCATGTCCAATCAATTGAATTTACAACAGGTGGACTCCAATGAAGTTGTAGAAACATCTCAAGGATGATCTATGGAAACAGGATGTACCTGAGCTCAATACCTGAGCTCGAGTCTCATAGCAAAAGGTCTTTCTGTTTTTCATCTATAATACATTTGCAAACATTTGTAAAAACCTGTTTTCGCTTTGACATTATGGGGTATTGTGTGTAGATTGATTAGGACATGTATTTATTTAATCCATTTTAGATTAAGGCTGTAACATAACAAAATGTGGAAAAATTCAAGGGGTCTGAATACTTTCCAAATGCACTTTATACTATATAAAAGTTGTTGAATCACACTCACATGATGAGTGAGTAACTTTGCACTGAGACCTGTCCTGAAGACTTGTGTGAGTTCCGCAAGTTAATGCCTCATCGGGCTAACACGGTCCACAACAAGACAACGGTCCACAAGCACACAAGAGACCCAGGTTTCTAACCCAGTCTGTCATATTTGCAAAATGCTCGTATTGTTCATGATGTTTCATAAAGTAACACAACACACATTTTTAGACCAAAAACAGTGTTGGTGTCACGAATTCAGCCGAGGCTGCCCGTCCTCCTTGCTCGGGCAGGTTCCGGCGTTCGTCGTCACCGGCTTACTAGCCACTACCGCTCCATTTATCATCACTCCATTTGTCTTGTCTTGTCAATCACACACGCCTGGTACTCATTCCCTCATTAGTCTGTGTATAAGTGTTCCCTCTGCCCCCTTTTCCTTTGTGAGTGATTGTTCATTGTGAGAGTGAGTAGCTCGGTTGAACTACTCTTTCCTTGTATGTAGCCAAGGTGGATTTTCCCCTTGTGCTAGTTTCGTTTTGACGCTTGCTGCGCTTTATTCATGTACACTGAATAAACTCTGGATTTCGGTGTTTTACCTCCTGCGCCTGACTCCGTCATTCACACCTCATCACAGTTGGGTTAGTAGCATTGAGGCATCTCAGTAACAACTGCTCAACCTCTGGTGTCGGCAGGTAGCTTAGTGGTTAAGAGCGTTGTACCAGTAACCGAAGCCGAGCCGACTAGGTAATAAATCTGTTGATGTGCCCTTGAGCAAGGCACGTAACCCTAATTGCTCCTGTAAGTCGCTCTGGATAAGAGCGTCTGCTAAATGACGTAAATGTATAGTCTTAGATAATGAATGACAGAGGTGGGCCATATATCTGTTTTAATCATAGTTTCCAGTCATAGAAAAGGGGGGGGCGTTACCATTTTACTGTCACATCATCAGCCAAAGACTTGTTCCTATTCATGTAAAGATATATGATTGGGCAACTGGAGTAACAGGAAATAACATCTTTATAACCGAGAGGTATGCCAACAATTGTAAAGTCCATCACATAGTAAATTTTTATCAGTTTGTCTGTTCAATATCTTACCAGTGTTTTACAGAACAGCTTCCTGGTTAGGGCTGTTATGTAACCTATTGGGCCAAAGAGCACGGACGTGTGTTACAGCATCAGACATGACTAATACAGGACTGATTGAATCTTTGATAACGAAAACAGACCTGTACCATATTACACAACAAGGTCCATGACACTGATACTAATATTAATAAACTATTCTGAGTTACACTTTGAAAAATAAGATTTGAAAGATTTCTTTAATATTTACACACTGGTATGTACAGATTGGTAGCTATAGCCACTACGCAACCCCATTCGATCTCTTGTCCCCAACTTCTGCTTTACAGTACACACTTTCATAGACGTCCAAACCCTTGCTGAAGTCATAAGTTGCTTTTTGTTATGGTCTCCAAACCTTCCACCTCACACCCCCATTCCATAATCCCAAGGACCAAGTCTCTGGGGTATCCATGTCCAGCTTCAGAATCCCCACTCCACATACAGTATCTGCCATATTCTGTGCTATTTATCCCTTAGAGTCTGTGGCCTCAGGCCTCCCCCTCACAGGCTTCCCAAGGTGGTACAGTCCTATGGTTGGGGTTCAGGAGGCGCCGATTAAGGTTGCAGGGGGAAAACAGGTGTGTTGGAGACCTCAGAGTACGCTGGAGGAAGCTCTGGGTGGATAAATTCTGGCTTCATCTCCACCTAGACAAAATTAGATCAGAAGTGGATGAATAGATGAGAAACACTGAGATTCCAAAACACTTAGAATACAGTGTCAAGTGTGAATAAAACGTCATTTTAAAGTTGTAAACCGCACTGTACGGTACAATTGGTACGTCATGTTTAGGATGGACTTTTACCTCATTGTAGGCTGGAGGTGGGCCGTAGAACTCTGAGGTGCTGTAGCGAGGAGGCCTGTGGATGTCTTCGTTGTCATAAGATACTGCGGGGAAAGGAATGACATAGATGGAGGGCCTGTCTCGTCTCTCCTCCCGGTCCAGTTGCTCCTCGCGGGCCCGGCGGAAGGCCTTACAGAAGGCTGTGCAGCAGATGATGGTGATGCCAAGCGAAATCAATGGCATGAAGATTCTGAGGGAATGAATTTCTCATTGCTGTAGGAATGCATGACAAGATACAGGCAAGGTCTATTTCAGTGTGTCCTAGACCGATATGAATGTGGACAGGAATGGGACACTTACTCTAAAATCAGCATCTTGTGAAGTTAACAGCTGCACCTGAGCAGGGAGAAACACAGCACCTTATTTTGACATGCCCTTTTCTCCTCCCAATCGAATAATCAATGATGTTTACATGTACTGTATAGAACGCAACATCTACTTGATGTCATCATCTTTGCAATCCAATTATTTGCCCGCTAATGTCAGCCATCTGATAAACTGAATGGCTGTTGAGAAACAACAGAACATTTGGTTATAAATACAATACCCTTCTGTCCTAAAGTAACATTCCACTGTTTGATCACAGCCAGTTACGATGGAGGTATATTCAGTTCACTGTGAAGCACTGACCTACTACTGATAATGACTTGGTTATCTGTTAAAGATCTAATTGGTTAAAAGTCAACAAATATAGGTAATTGGTGAGTCAACAGATTGGATATTCCACAATGTCAAGTTGGCTTTATTAATTGGTCCCTCTTCTTTGACCCCTTCACTGTTTGTCAGTCATGAATGTAATCTGGAACCATCCACTGAAGTAGCCTACTGATAATAGATCTCTGTTGCCATTTCAACTGAGGGCACTAGTGTACAAGAACAGAAGGTACTTGAAAATAACTTTGAGAAGCCAAAAGCCTGTCTGAGGTATTTCCGTTGTTAATAAACAATGAAAATTGGGTAAAGTTATGGTTCACATTTTCATATGGGATTGAGGCACATAGCTGAATCTACATAGCAGATTCTGTAGAACGGGGACTTATCTCGTTAAACTACATTTAATTTAAAAATACCTGACAAACTTTGATTTTGGAATGATTCATCATGTTACATTTTATTGGTGGGCACACAACCAAAAGTTAACTTTTATTGGTGGGCACACAACCAAAAGGCTATTGAGGTACAGCCTAGTGTTACATTGAAAAGAAAAGATTGGTAAATGTATATAATCTTTGTATTATTATCAAGTAATAAAACATAGAATACGTTTATTGACTGATAAAGTTTTTGGCACCAAGTGCCTCCCTCTGGATGAAAAATAACCAAGAGAGCTGATATATGATTCTTTAATCACTGGCCACATAATAACCAACCAGGAAATTCCATACCATTTAGTGTGAATAGAATTTAGATCATCAGTAATTTGGGGTCCGTGTTGTTTGACCATTTCAGCTCCTCTGAGATGTGTACGCCAATGAACTTGAAGTTTTTGACCGTCTCCACGGCGGCCCCGTTGATGAGGATGGGGGCATACCCAGCATGGTTCCTCCTGAAGTTGAGGGAGAGGTTGTTTACCTGGCACCACACCGTCAGAGTGCCTGCCTCCTCTTCAGTCCCAGAGCTTAGAAGGCACTATGGTATTGAAGGCAGAGCTGTAGTCGATTAAGAGCATCCTCACATATGTATTCCTTTTGTCCTGGTGGGTGAGGGCAGTGTGCAGTGCAATGGCAATACATCGTCCGTGGATCTGTCGGACAGGCTCGAGTGTGTCTGGGAGGGAGGAGATGATGTGGTCTTTGAATAGCCTCTCGAAGCACTTAATGGAAGTGCGTGCTAAGGGTCGGTAGTCATTCCGTTCCAGTTCATTCTTGGGCATGGGGATGATAGCGGACATTTAGAAACAGGCATAGCCTCGGTTCTGGTTCTTTTCTATCTGAGTGTGGCAAAGGTACTATTTCCTGAGTCATGTCTATGACCCTTACAGAAAAACCACATGATTTCACATGCCTTCGGGAAGTAGGGGCAAAGAATAATGCTCTGTCACCCTCAATTTGAATTGGTCAGTATCAAGGTACAGTTAGTATCGACATTCTACTGTAGAGCTGTGTTTGGTTTATATAATAGGTTGTTTATGGATATCTATGGCTTGATCGAGAGGTACTCACAGGTGATAGTATATCATGTTAATAAGTCCACTGGTTGATAAAATCACAAGTATATAAAACCACAAGTGGAAGTGAAGTGAAAGAACAAGCTTCCAAAGAATAGCATACCTAACCGCATTGTCAATGTGTAAAACACAGAGTCAACACCAAGAAGAATCTATTCAATTCAGTCTGTCAGAGTAGATATGCATCATACATTCATACTAACAAAGTTCTGTTGACCTATAGTCATATTATACTGCATGTAAACCCATTGCAAAAATATAAATCCAAATAAACGTTATCCTACCTTAAAGACAGCAGCCGCTTCAGTGAACCTGGGACTTCAACGGAAATCAATAAGGACCTGAACCTATGTGTACTGTATGTGTGTGTGACTATAGAAGACCTGAGTGTATGTGTACTGTAATGTCTGTGTCAATGTGTGTCTTATCTGGCAAAGGGTGTGCTATGGGACTGAAGGTTAAGGTTACAGGTTTATGGCAACCCTTTGCTGTTTAAAGGCACAGCACCTGAGCTGCCATTGCCATGATGAGGCCAAACACAATGGTAAAGTTCACTAAAGTGGAAGTTACTGTATGTATCATTCTGTCTTAGCATTAGAATAAGACCTATCGGGGCACGTTTTAGACAACGAAATGATATGGACTTAGTTTGTTACACCTCTTAACGCTCTTCATAGCACATCACGTAGTAATATTTTTTCTATAGTTGGTTTCTAGATTAGCATGAGAATATTGGAAGAAGAGATTAACTTTATCTGAAGGGGGTTAAGGTTTTATAATTGAAAAAGGAGTTATAATTGGACAAGTTAATTAGGAAAAGCTAAGCATTTATTGAAAGACATGTAAATAAAACATTGTTCAATCTAAACGGATATACTAAATATCAAAATGAAACTCTAACTGAAAACATTAACAAGTCTAAAATCACTTTCAAAAACGTCAATCTCATGACATCACTATAGTAAAATATTTTCTCCTATCATTTTCTCTATAATCCATATATTACTTCATCTTAGTTTGAATATTACAAAATATATTAGTGCAAGTCTAATTAAGAGACCAATATCATCCTGCAGTGCCAAAAACTGCAGCAGCAAACAGTGGCTGGTCTCATTGACAAAAAACGGAAGCAACTCTACCACATCATTACGCAGCGTTCAGGGCTTGTCCTACTGAGCACAACAGTAAGGACAAACTATTTCACATACTGTTATTACAGTACTTGTAAAACAATACTGAACAGGACATAGAGCTATTGTATAACTTGCAAAGCATTTTCCCTCTTTACCAAGTATTCACTAACTTCATGGTTAATAAGCAAGCTGACTTTTTATCTTTTATCTAGTCTTGGTTGAAAGATATTAGATATTAAGTCGTCCTACCTACTGACCCTCATGGTAATATATAGCTAGCCCGGCACGCTATATAGTGGCTATATTTCAGAGTCCTGTCATCATTCCTTGTGTAAATATTGCCTTATTTTCTGTTCATATTACTATGACCTGTAGGGGTCAGTAGAGGTCTTTCTACAAAGCTAATAGTTGACTACGTCCCCATGAAGAAACAACCCAACAACCACTAGCCCTAAACTCTATACCTGAGAGGTAATATGGTTGAAATTCCATCTGGCCTATCAAAGGGAAAGGTGAAGCTACAATAGTTCATGCTTATACCAATTATGTGAATAGGTATGTTTATACCCGTCCAATTCTTCCTGATCAACATGAAGTGCCTAGGTTGACCTAGGGTATAGGGTTACCGGTTGTTTGTGGACAGAGCCTACTTTCCCTCTTCATATTAAAGGTAGACTAAGTGAAATGACATTGCCACAAGCAGCACCGCAGATATTGCGATAAGCGAGATGCACGACTCCGCTCTCACACAGTCACACATAGTATCTGCGCATACTGTATGTACGGGTTCGCTTCACGCTTTTACAACATGGACCAAAACAGAGGACAAGTTGAGCCTCGGGCTTCAACACTCTTAGTTGTAGTGGAAATTGACCCACTATGCTGCTTACTCTCTGCATCTACGCCATATCGCTGAGTCTACTTTTAAGTGGTCTAATATCTTAGCTGGTGGAGGAATCTACGTAGTTCCCAGGGAAGAATCCCTCTACTCCGTTGAGCAGTCCCTCACACCAGCCATCTTCATTCCTCTTGGTCAGGTAGATGACTTCTCCCTCTTGGAATACCAGGTCCCCAGGCTTCCCTGAGTTGTAGCTGTACAGCGCCACCACTGGGAGGGAACGTGAATTGCAATGAAACAACCAAGACACCACATAAACATAGGCCATATTTTATGGTATGATTCGGTCAGACTTTGAATAAGTACTGTAGAAGTATGCATGCAATTTGGGCCATGACAGCATTTAGTAATTTATCTATTGGTGAATATGCATGGAGCACTATCATACCTTTCTCTAAAAAGTCTGTAGGGCCAGTCGTGTGATAACCCACAGGGGGAGGTAGGGGTGGCATGACGTCATCAAAGCCCCCCACGCTGTCGGTAAAAGGCGGAGGAGGCGGGGCTGGGATCACCAGATCTACAGGATTGGACAAAAGGCATATAAACCCAAACTGATAGGCTGCACCACTTGCCATACAAGTAATTCAGCATATGTTCCAAAGTGTATGAAAACTGTAGTGCATAACTTGTTCTGAGGTCTCTTTAAATGAATTTACAGTACTTCTTTGAAACTATTTTCTCCACATAATGTGTTATCTGTTATATTGAAAAACATAAGCCATCATATCTATCAAGGACAAAACAAAGACGTTACCAACCCAGTGTCTGACGGACTTTTAGAGGACAGAATCTGTCCATGGCTTTTCCTTCCAACACAGTAGACTCAACAGCAATAGCAGCAGCAGCAGCAGCAGTGATGCAGTCATTTGGACAGAAGTCACCCTCTCACCACCCCCCCCTGTGGCCTGGAGGGTGTATTGCGGTCTCACACAGTCTCCACTTACCCAGGTGCTCCAGGTGGGCGGGCAGGCTGGACAAGGGGCTCAGCGACACGGTAGGGGCGAGAGGAGGAGGGTATGAAGGGGGAGGGGGGATCATGACTGACAGGTGAGGTCACAGAGGGAGAGGTAGGAATGGGTGACGGGGAAAGATTACATCAGATCAACCAAAAGGGGTCTTTAGAGGGGACTCCAAATGCTAATGCTAGCACTAATATGAAAGCTAACACTATAGCTTAAGCAAGGCTTGAACTTTCATCATGCATCAAAAACCTAAACAATGGTGGTGTAATATCAAAGCAGTTTCGCATTAGCCATGTTCAGCTCATCATGAGCTAATGATTGGTATATTAATGCTAAGTCATGAGGCCATATTGGACTACAGCTGAGGGCAGGACCTGGGATGGGTGGGTTGCCAATGTGGCCTTACGTGATTGGATGGTTGGAAGGAAGAGCGAGCGAGTGTAGAGCGAGCGAGAGCTAGGGCCCGTGCGGACCCTGAGGGACATGGAGCGCGAGCTGGGGGGGTGACGACGTACACGAGACCGCCTGGGCTGCAGAGCTGAGCCGGAGAGAGACAGGTCACAGGTCAAAAGGTCAAGATGAAGCAGACAGACACAAAGAGAGAAAGAGAGAGGAAGACACTGAATAGAGTCTAATAACAGAGATAAGGACAGGAAAACACCAAAGATCAGCATCAACGAGCGTGCTCTGCATAGACAGACAGACAGACAAACAAACCCCAGACAGACAGCTAAACTAAACAAATAGATACCAACATTTCAACAAATCAGATCCTTTGCGGCATTAGAATTGGATGTGAGTCCTTTCAAAACCACTTGTTGAAAGACCATTAAAAGTACAGTGTGACACATTTAGGGCTGGGTGTTGCACCCAACCAACCCGCTCCTTTTACCTTCATCCACCTCATCACTCGGTGGAGGGGGCGGGCCAGGGAGCTCCAGGCCCTCACTGGTTGGTGGAGGGAGAGGCTCGTCAGATGGTGGTGGCATAGGGGGCGGGAAGCCGTTCTCTTCAGCCACTAAGAAAATAGAATATTCATGAGGAGAATATCGGCTTCATCAGTCGATATTCAGCGTTTCATACCGTGTGAAATCAGTAACACAATCATGCAACTAGGCCCGAAAAAAGTATTTATTTCTTAGTATCACAGCAGGCACAAGGTTGGTTGTTCCTGGTTTTCTGCCTCTAGATGTTTCAGCATGTGCGTGTCTCTGGGTGTCTGTTTGCACACAACGTGTTCTCATTTCCTCTACTATACTGTGCTGTGCAGTGTGCTAAAGCTGTCTCACAGTGTGGGAAACACAAAAACAAGCAATATTTTCCGCCTAGATGTTTGATATTTATTTTTATCTTTCACCTTTATTTAACCAGGTAAGCCAGTTGAGAACAAGTTCTCATTTACAACTGCGACCTGGCCAAGATAAAGCATAGCAGTGCGATAAAAACAACAACACAGAGTTACATATGGGGTAAAAAAACATAAAGTCAAAAATACAACAGAAAATATATATACAGTGTGTGCAAATGTAGCAAGTTATGGAGGTAAGGCAATAAATAGGCTATAGTGCAAAATAATTACAATTAGTATTAACACTGGAATGCTAGATGTGCAAGAGATTATGTGCAAAAGAGATACTGGGGTGCAAAAGAGCAAAATAAATAACAATATAGGGATGAGGTAGTTAGGTGGGCTAATTTCAGATGGGCTGTGTACAGGTGCAGTGATCGGTAAGGTGCTCTGACAACTGATGCTTAAAGTTAGTGAGGGAGATAAGAGTCTCCAGCTTCAGAGATTTTTGCAATTCGTTCCAGTCATTGGCAGCAGAGAACTGGAAGGAATGGCGGCCAAAGGAGGTGTTGGCTTTGGGAATGACCAGTGAGATATACCTGCTGGAGCGCAGACTACGGGTGGGTGCTGCTATGGTGACCAATGAGGTAAGATAAGGCGGGGATTTGCCTAGCAGTGATTTATAGATGGCCTGGAGCCAGTGGGTTTGACGACGAACATGTAGTGAGGACCAGCCAACAAGAGCGTACAGGTCACAGTGGTGGGTAGTGTATGGGGCTTTGGAGACAAAACGGATGGCACTGTGATAGACTACATCCAATTTGCTGAGTAGAGTGTTGGAGGCTATTTTGTAAATGACATCGCCGAAGTCAAGGATCGGTAGGATAGTCAGTTTTACGAGGGCATGTTTGGCAGCATGAGTGAAGGAGGATTTGTTGCGAAATAGGAAGCCAATTCTAGATTTAACTTTGGATTGGAGATTCTTAATGTGAGTCTGGAAGGAGAGTTTACAGTCTAACCAGACACCTAGGTATTTGTAGTTGTCCACATACTCTAGGTCAGACCCGTCGAGAGTGGTGATTCTAGTCGGGTGGGCGGGTGCCAGCAGCGTTCGATTGAAGAGCATGCATTTAGTTTTACTAGTGTTTAAGAGCAGTTGGAGGCTACTGAAGGAGTGTTGTATGGCATTGAAGCTCGTTTGGAGGTTTGTTAACACAGTGTCCAATGAAGGGCCAGATGTATACAAAATGGTGTCGTCTGCATAGAGGTGGATCTGAGAGTCACCAGCAGCAAGAGCGACATCATTGATATACACGGAGAAAAGAGTCGGCCCAAGAATTTAACCCTGTGGCACCCCCATAGAGACTGCCATAGGTTCAGACAACAGGCCCTCCGATTTGACACACTGAACTCTATCTGAGAAGTAGTTAGTGAACCAGGCGAGGCAGTCATTTGAGAAACCAAGGCTATTTAGTCTGCCAATAAGAATGCGGTGGTTGACAGAGTCGAAAGCCTTGGCCAGGTCGATGAAGACGGCTGCACAGTACTGTCTATTATCGATCGCGGTTATAATATCGTTTAGGACCTTGAGCGTGGCTGAAGTGCACCCATGACCAGCTCGGAAACCGGATTGCATAGCGGAGAAGGTACGGTGGGATTCGAAATGGTCGGTGATCTGTTTGTTAACTTGGTTTTCAAATACTTTCGAAAGGCAGGGCAGGATGGATATAGGTATGTAACAGTTTGGATCTAGAGTGTCACCCCCTTTGAAGAGGGGGATGACCGCGGCAGCTTTCCAATCTCTGGGGATCTCAGACGTTACGAAAGAGAGGTTGAACAGACTAGTAATAGGGGTTGCGACAATTTCGGCGGCTAGTTTTAGAAAGAAAGGGTCCAGATTGTCTAGCCCAGCTGATTTGTAGGGGTCCAGATTTTGCAGCTCTTTCAGAACATCAGCTGTCTGAATTTGTGTGAAGGAGAAGCGGGGGGGGGGGCATGGGCAAGTTGCAGCGGAGGGTGCAGAGTTGGTGGCCGGGGTAGTGGTAGCCAGGTGGAAAGCATGGCCAGCCGTAGCAAAATGCTTGTTGAAATTCTAGCCTCAGTGCAGTGGGCAGCTGGGAGGAAGTGCTCTTATTCTCCATGGATTTTACAGTGTCCCAAAACTTTTTGGAGTTAGTGCTACAGGATGCAAATTTCTGTTTGAAAAAGTTATATTGAGTGTGATATGTTAATGTACTATAGTTCCGCATACAGTATGTTTACAGTCAACTACTAATAGTATGTACACTAGTTACAAATGGTTTATTCATATCTATGAAATTCATGATACTTACCAGTCTCCAGTGGGGGTGGGACAGGGGGAGAGGGGATGCTGGCTAGGCTGGTATGGGCAGGTTCAGGGGTGCTGGTTGTGGTGGTGGGCGGCAGTGGAGGGGGAGGAGGGACGTCCAGCAAGGAGGCAGCAGGCGCCATGGGAGGAGGAGGAGGGGCCGGAGCTGTCATGGCGGCGTCACCATCCTCCATCAGAGACAGGGGCGGTGGTGGGGGCGGGGCCTCCTCCAGCAGGGTGGTGATGATGTCAGAGTCAGGTGACGCGGGCCAGCTGGGGACCACGGGGGGAGGCACGGCCTTGCCGAAGCTGGACCTGATACAGGAGGGGGAGGGCAATGTAAACTAGAGGTATATTTCCATGTCTGGGTGGAGATATTCTACAGGCTTCTCTACACACAAAATATATAAATCCAGAAACACCACACTTAACTGAGGTGTCTGAGTAATCGTATGGAATGGAGTGTTTAGTAGTAAGTGTCAAAGCTTATGTGTGTACAGTATAAACTGTGTTTCCAGAAAGTGTTTTTTACCCAATGGAGCGATCATGGAGAGAGGTGAGGGATGCCCCTCGAGACAGAGAGGGGGCTATGGGACACTGGACAGGCTCTGGGGGTGCTCTGGAAGTGCTCCTGCTGAAAACACACACACAGCTGTAAGCGTCACATACATTTAATAATATTTAATATGCCATTTAGCAGACGCTTTTATCCAAAGCGACTTACAGTCATGTGTGCATACATTTTTACATATGGGTCGTCCCGGGGATCGAACCCACTACCCCGGCGTTACAAGCGCCATGCTCTACCAATTGAGCTTACAGAGGACCACAGATGCATTATCACAAATGCTGACACTTGAACTCACACAGACCAGCTCTATCAACTCATAGTGAGAAACATGCAGAAAGCTTGACTGAGAGATTTTGTTCTCTTCTCTCACCTAACAGTTTAAATATGCTACTCAGTGCAAATGATACCCGCACATTTGACTTCTATACTTCCTGGTTTGTTTTTGGCATAATCTCATTGTGAAAGCTCTGTGCTCTTTCTCCTGCCCACAGTAAATCTCCCTCTGGCTGAATGGCATTCAATCCCCTACTGAAGGAACACAACAAACATGATTGGACAGGAGGTGTGGTTAGTCATGAATACTGTTTACCCTCATTCCCCTACCCACAGCACACACACACGCACACACACACACGCACATTATTTTAAGGATTTCCTTTGCTGATGTGTCTGGTCTTGAATAAAAGTTAAATAAAGGTTTTTTTGTGGGCCACTGAGCATAGAGGATGTGCGGAAACTAGGCTTCCTGTCTGAAATACTTTTACAGGAAGTGAAACAGTTACAGTTAGACTGACAGTGTGAGAGCAGAGCAGTCAAATGGAGTCAGCAGTGTCAGAATCATACCTGATGGTGCCGCCATGTTTGCGCATTGATGACCCTGCTTTCCCAAGCATCTTACCAGAATCCTGTGGGGAAGTGTTGAGAGAGAGAGAGACAGACAGACAGACAGACAGACAGACAGACAGACAGACAGACAGACAGACAGACAGACAGACAGAGACAGACAGACAGACAGACAGAGAGAGAGAGAGAGAGAGAGAGAGAGAGAGAGAGAGAGCGAGAGAGAGAGAGAGAGAAAGAAAGACAAAGGGAGAGCAGAGTGAAAAAGGAGAGGTAGTTTATGTGTGTGTGTGTGTGTGTGTCCGCTGTAGATGAGGGAATTGTGTTGGAGCATCAATGAAGCGGCTTAGCCTTGGCAGCACTAATTAGTGTGTCTAGCCATTTTCCCACGGTGCACAGTGGCTGGCTGGCTGCTTGCTCTGTGTGTGTGTGTGTGTGTGTGTGTGTGCATGAGTGCGTTGCATCCGTGCATGCTTGTGTGTGTGTGTGTGCTAATCGAGGTCAGCCCTACGCAACAAGCTGCTCCTCTCTAACTGGATGTGGTGTAGACTAGAAGCACAGTGGTAAAAAATAACGGCTGCTGCCCAGCTGCATCTGAAAGGCTTGTCTAGAGAGATAAGGAAACCTACGGAGCCTTTGTTTCCAACCATAGTACCCTGGTAACACAGCCCAGGTTTTAAAAAGTAGTTTTCACCAACTTTGCATTATGTAATTACATTTCCACATAAGTAATTTCCAACATTACTATTGAATATTGATTGCAACATACAGTAGTGTACAGTTTGTAGATGTATAGTAAGACACTTCCAGGAAAATTATTTATTTGAACCTTTGACCATTTGAATATCATGGGAATGTTAGGTAAAACATGTGTTGTGAGTAATTGCACTTGAACTTGAGAACACAGTCTCACCTTCATGCCATGTCCCAGTGTGTCCAGGTCAGAGTAGGTGATGGGACTACGGGTGTACTTGGGTTTGGGCTCCTTGCCTGTTGCCGGGGGGATAATTTTGTGACTGCGGGGAACCCTCTTGGCTGTGGTAAAAGCCCCTATCTTTCTCCGGGCCACCTTCTCTCTGTGCATGTCCACTGTCTGCAAGACAGGAGGCAGAGGATGTTGTCATCAGGGTATGAATCAATAACACTTAAATTGATAACAAACCTACAGATAAACGTGCCATTCTTAATTCCTTCCCTCTGGTAAAATGTAACCTTTTCCAAAATACTAAAGAAACCATATAGGATGGAATAGCATGGTACCCTTTCTCTAACAACATCATTAGCTCAATATAGCTCATTCACGAAAGTGGTAATATTCTCAAACCCTCTTTCCTCCCCCAAATAGTGAGCCCTATCATTTAGTATACAGTTGTTAGGGACTCTTCATGGGTGCCAGCAGACAATGGAAGACATCATTCAGAGGTTAGCAGGAAGGAACGCTCAGAACAGAGAACATTGGGGTCTTTCATTCCATCCCAGCCCCTATGATGCTCTGTGTTGAAGGTCAAAGTTCACCCTGTAGCCTCTCAACCCATTCACCTCTCCACCCCAACCCCCTCCTCAGGTGACCTGGTTCTGTATGATAATGCTGTGCACGGAGCATGCAGGAATGCCTGGGATCTGTGCCAGCTTTGGGAACAGTGGGGCTACAGAGAGGGGGAGGGGAGGGGGGGGGGGGGGGGCAGTGGGGGACAGTTGGGCTGGTGTAAGAGAGGGAGAGAGGGGAGGCACGCGGTGTACTGGGGATGGAGAAATCAACTATTCTGCATGGAAGAAGGCCAGGGTCCCCAAAGAGTCCCTGGAAACCAGCCCAGGTCAGCGGAGAGGTAGACCCTTCATATGCTGAACACCAGGGGTAAGGAGATGAGGGAGGAAGAGATGGTGGGAAGGAGGGAGGCGTAGGGGATAGAGGGAAAGGAGGGGTAGAGGAAAAGGAGGAAGAGAGGGAGGGGACAAGGAATAAGGGAAATTGGCACAGTGGGTACCAGTGACACTCAGAGAACCGTGCTGATCTAGGTGCAACAACGCATCAACCTCGGACAGAGGGTAAGACTCATGAAATCAAATTTCCTTTTTTCCAGTCACTGCCTCTGATGGGCCTCCTCATTCTAAAGTCCGGGTTCAAGCAAGCAAACCTCTTTTTAGCAAGGTTAACTGTACATTTCTGCTAACCAGTGGAGGCTCCTCAGAGGAGGAAGGGGAGGACCATCCTCCTCAGTGAATTTCATTTTTATAGTGAAACACTAAAAAAGTTATCCTTTTTAGATAAAACTATGCTAAATATATTCACGTCACCAAATCATTTAATAAAACACACTGTTTTCCAATGAAGGTCTACAGTAGCCTCAACAGCATTCTGTAGGGCAGCACCATGGTGTAGCCAGAGGACAGCTAGTCCAAAACCTAGGAGGCTTGTGGTTCTCACCCACTTCCATAGACTTACACAGCAATTATGACAACTTCCGGAGGACATCCTCCAACCTATTAGAGCTCTTGCAGCATGAACTGACATGTTGTCCACCCAATCAAAGGATCAGAGAATGAATCTAGTACTGAAAGCATAAGACACAGCTAGCTAACACTGTAGTGCATGAAATATGCTGAATAGGTGACTCAATGAGAGAGAAGGACAATAGCTGAACAGTTTTGAACAAATTCATTTATTCAAAAATGAATGAGAAGCAAGAGAGAGAGAGAGAGAGAGAGCTAGCTATATTTAATTGTATTTTTTTTTTCACTTTCACTTTCACTTACTTAGCTAGCGAATGCAGCTAGCTAGTTTAGCCTACTCAAACAACCGGCTCAAACAGAGCGGGATGCTATGTTAGCTAGCTGGCTATGGCTATCCAACACTAAAACTCTTCCAAGTCAAGGTAAGCTTTTGGTTTTATGAATTTATTGCCACCGGGGCTCGCCAGTGTAACTAAACTGCTTGCTGCTGACTGTACACTGTACTGCATGATTGTAGCGGGTTTACTAACACGTTAGTTCTAGTAGCTATCAGTGGCGGCTGGCCGATAGAGGGCGCTAGGGCGCCGCCCCCTTAAATAAAATTATTTAAAAAAATAAAATAAAAAATAAATAAAAATAATAATAATAATAATAAAAACATCAGTATGTCAATATTTGTGTGTTTGAAATATGGAATGCACACAGTAATATGTGTAAGATATGATAGAAAATCATATTCGCAACCTTTCCTCTGCCTGTCAAACGCCTCGTCAGCTCTGGGCGATACAGAAAGTGCCCCGAGGAGGCGGGTCTACGTAGCAGTTAAGCCAATTGCTAATTTAAGATATGAATGTATGACATAAAATGTAGCTAATCAGCGATTTTAATTCGAATCCAAGGAGGGCGATTATTTTATCGCCCCAAGCTCGCCCCTGATAAAATAAGGACCGGGCTCCAGTGGCGCCATTTTTACTAGACGACAATGGTGAGCGCAAACGTTACTCCTCCAAGACCCAACCCTAACTCGGTGAAATCTCTCCTCCAAGATCCGTTTGAGAGGAGAACTTTGTCAGAGAAAGTTCGGGTGAAAGAGCTGGGCCCAGATCAACCTGACCTCTCAATCAGACAGCAGGCTAGCGAGAAAGGGAAGCAGTATATGCGCGGCTTCTCCCGTAGCTGGTACACCAGGAAGGCTTGGCTAGCTGGGTGCACTGATGCTTTATTTTGCTTTCCGTGCTTGCTTTTTAAAACGACGGGCCGGACGGGGTCAGATTCAGCATGGACAGGTACCGGAGTGAGGGATATGAAGCACCTGTCAGAGAAGGTAAAGAAACATGAGAACACCAGGGCACACATGGACAACTCTGTAAAGCTAGCTGTATTAGGAAGGGTGAACATTGCTACGCAGCTGGATGACGGCCACAGGATTGCGGTGAGGAAACACAATGAGGAGGTGGATAAAAACAGGCACATTCTATCCAAAATTATCGATTGTGTGAAGTTCTGTGGGGCTTTTGAGTTGGCCTTGCGTGGGCACGAGGAGACTGACTCCTCGGACAACCCCGGCATTTTCCGGGGCTTAGTGGATTTTGTTGCCTCCCTCGACAGTGTGCTGGAGGAGCACCTGAAGACAGCTACCGTTTTTAAGGGCACGTCAAAGACGATACAGAACGAGCTGTTGGAATGTATGCTGTCAGTGCTTAAGGATTACATCCTGGAGGAAGTAAAGAGTGCTGATTTTATCGCCATTCAAGCTGACGAGACGACTGACGTTTCCACCCACTAACGTGTTTCCAGACCATCAGAGACTCTGGGAACTTTGATGCCCCGACTGTCAGAGAGGCGGGGGGCTTTGTGAGGATGCTCGAAGACGAGGCTTTCTGTTTTTTCCTGGCACTGTTCCACAAGATCATGCCAAATGTGGACATGCTTTTCAGCCAGCTGCAGAAGAGGAACATCGACCCTGTCTTCATTAAAGCACTTGTCCAGAGGTTCACAGACAGCATGCTAACAATCAGGTAAATAACTATATTTACTATTGGCTGATAAAGATGTTGTTAGAAAGATGAATAGTTCACTTACAACAGTTTAAAAGCCTAAATGTGTCTGGTCATCAAAGTGAGTGATTATCATAGAGCCGTCACAATTATATTTGTTTTAGTATTTTAAAAGGAAAGAGAAGACACAATCAGACGTTGATAATAATGCAGGAAAGTACTACACAGTTTGTAATAATTATTCAGGTGTCCACCAGGTCAATTTCTAGAAGAGGCCTAGTTGTTATTGAAGATTAACTTTATTGCTAAGTGCACAGCAGAACAAAATGATATGTGTGTATATACACACTATCTGTCTGTCTGTCTGTCTGTCTGTCTGTCTGTCTATATATATATATAAAATTCCTGTACAAATAAGATGACAGACACACACACACAGAGCAGCTCTGGCCGCATGTTTCTTTGTATATAGTTGACCTTAGCATAAAAAATCCAGTTATATATGGTACTCTAGAAAGTCTTAATAGTGTCTTTGCTAATATTACTGTATATATGTTGTTTTGTATCAATTAATTGTTGCAGTTCTGGAGCACATTAACAATTAGTCACATTTAGTATGATCATAAAATACTGTATGCTATTCTTCCAGTCAAAGGTTTGAGTTCATCCACTTGATATCAATTTCTATATTATACATCCTTTTATACAGTGTAAGATTTCCTATAAACTTTATAATAATTTCATGTTATTGTCCACTTTCCACTCTGTTCTGACAGCATGCCTGTTGCGTTGCCTGTTTACTACCAATGGTGAAAAGTTCACTTTAAATGCAAATGAAAGGCTTGGGTTTGTGTAATATGTTTTTGTGTAAGAATGCCTCAACTTTTTAATATTGGCATTAAATAATTACTGAATGTTTCACTGAGCACTGCTTTCCTGCAGTTTGTGTTAAAATATATCGCGATGGTTACAGGAAAAAAAAAGTATGGCACAGCCCCACCGAGAATATTTTTCACCAGCCGCCACTGGTAGCTATGTTGACTATGACAATATGGTCACAACGACTGTGTGTAGCGGTTAGCGGTTATAATAAGAAGGTTTGGATTGCACTGAAGTCCACAAGCAAAGGGAATATGTGAGGAGATTGCGTAGATGCGAGAAGGAATTATACAAAAAGAAAATTGATCATGCTGTTTGTATGTGGCTGCTATGAAAGTGAACGGTGTTTGCGTGTGATTATGGGTGCATTAATTCCACCGATTCTGTTGAAAAACGTTTCGCAAACATTTAGCAAACGGAGCAAAATGGGTATAAACATACCTGAATTTGTCCAATAGAAACTCTTGTTTGCATCTGTTGGACTAATGATTACACCCTAGATCAGCTAGATGGAGGCAAGAGTGTGCAAGGCGGTATTGAATGTGTTAATGTCTGTCACCTTGATTACTCAAATTTCTCTCGACCTGTGCACCTACGTTGTAAACTTTCATTCATAGGCTAGGTTGTAGCAACCTCATGATGGGTATAGGGGAAATGTAGTAGCCTAAACCTATCGATGTTATATTGAGCTGGGTGAATGGAATATGAATGACAGTCAACCAATATGCTGTAATAGAAACAAGGCAATGCTCATAAAAAATATTATCGTCCTCCCTCATCTTAAACGGCACCAACCGCCACTGCTGCTAACATACACATGCTTGTGTTCTCTTCCTGAAACTGAATCGGGGCCTAACACACAAGTGTGTACGGAGACATGCTAGTGACAAAAAAGTGTGGAGACATGCTAGTAACCCCTGCCGTGTTCTGCTCTACCTGTCCGATGAGGTTGACAGAGGACTCCATGTGTCTGAGCTGGGAGTTCTGTGCGTCCAGCAGCTTGAGCACGTTGGAGGCCAGTGTGCTGATCTGGTAGGCCACACTGGCCAGAGACTGGGTGGTGAAGTTCTTAGTCTCTTCCAGGGCCTTGACCGCATCCGCACCTGCCTAACGGGAGGGATAGAGAAAGAAAGAGAGAGGGAGAGAAAGAGAGAGAGAGAGAGAGAGAGAGAGACACAGAGAGACACAGACAGAGACAGAGAGAGAGAGAGAGAGAGAGAGAGAGAGAGAGAGAGAAAGAGAGAGAGAGAGAGACACAGAGAGACACAGACAGAGACAGAGAGAGAGAGAGAGAGAGAGAGAGAGAGAGAGAGAGAGAGAGAGAGAGAGAGAGAGAGAGAGAGACATTGGAAGACTAACAGTCATAAAAAACAAAAACATGATGCTCATGTCACAAATACCAAACAATAGATTAATGATTACTTGGGGATCATAACAATCATGATAATAATAGCATCTGATTTTGACATTTTCAAATGACAATGTAGGATGACTTTTTCATATGATGCTGTTGAAGTGTCTGAGAAGAGCAGTGAAATCCGACCTCTCACTTCCTGTTCTAATTCTTGGAAGCTGTCAAAGACTGTGTGTGTGTATTTTGATATTATGGAACCATAATATCGAAATACACACACAGTCTTTGACAGCTCAGTGCTAAACACATTACCCCTTTTTTAGATAGCCAGTGAAAGCACTTATTTACTAGCCTGGAAGAAACAGCCTGATCGCTGCGTTCACAATTCTATTTAATTTCATGGTGAATGTACACAGCAATTTCTCCAGTGTTAAATCAACATTGACAGTGTTACATTTAACACTGGGCCAGTGTCTACACAGGTCCACACTTTTGCGCGTTAAATGAACACTGTGCTTAGTGCTGACGCTGTTACACCTTGTCAGTGTTAGGGAATTAACACTTTCAGTGTTATGCAATAACTCCTCATATAGCATTTTTATCCATTACACCAAGAGGTCTGTATCTCTTGACAAGGTCATTCAGTGTTGGACATTATAATATGTCTTTATTGCCACATGCTCTTATGTAAGGTTTTACAAAGACTTCAGAATTAGCAGCAGACGTGCTCAAACTTTAATTACCATAACCATAGGCCACTTAAATTGATACAACACTTCTACTCACGGGTGGCCAAAAATAAATAATTCAAAGCCACGCCGCGACTAAGCCACGACCCCAATATAATTTCACAGTGTGCGTTGCCTTTTCGAGTGAATTATAGAGTTACCACCCTTGACTGTATTTGTTAGTGACAGAGACATGATTGTTGAATTCGTTCATTCTCAGTCCTGTGGACTTCACAGAGTTCCTACTGTTAAACTGTTTATTACAATACAATACATTACATACAGTATATCATAAGGCCTTACTTTGATGACCATGTTTTACCTCAACACAGTGGTGTTATGAACCTACTGGTTTCCAGGCCACATCAGGCCTGCAAGTCACATTATGTTGGCTTGCAATGTGATATGTAATTCCTATGTGAATCCAGCCTATGTGAATTTTTTATTCACCTGCAACCTGCATTAAGAATGACTGTTAGGGTTAGGAACATTGATAAAGGAGCCTACCTAAATCATTTAAACTGGAACAACCATTTCAGTGATTGGATTAGTTTAGAAAAATGTATGCTATTTATCTTTGTGTAGCATAAGACTGCTAAGGGGACAGGACAACTTCACCGCATCAAAGGGACGATGGACAGGGCCATGTACCGTCAAATCTTGGGTGAGAACCTCCTTCCCTCAGCCAGGGCATTGAAAATGGGTCGTGGATGGGTATTCCACCATGACAATGACCCAAAACACACGGCCAAGGCCACAAAGGAGTGGCTCAAGAAGAAGCACATTAAGGTCCTGGAGTGGCCTAGCCAGTCTCCAGACCTTAATCCCATAGAAAATCTGTGGAGGTAGCTGAAGGTTCGAGTTGCCAAACGTCAGCCTCGAAACCTTAATGACTTGGAGAAGATCTGCAAAGAGAAGTGGGACAAAATCCCTCCTGAGATGTGTGCAAACCTGGTGGCCAACTACAAGAAACGTCTGACCTCTGTGATCGCCAGCAAGGGTTTTGCCACCAAGTACTAAGTCATGTTTTGCAGAGGGGTCAAATACTTATTTCCCTCATTAAAATGCAAATCAATTTATAACATTTTTGACATGCGTTTATCTGGATTTTATTGTTGTTATTCTGTCTCTCACTGTTCAAATAAACCTACCAATAAAATTATAGACTGATCATGTCTTTGTCAGTGGGCAAACGTACAACATCAGCAGGGGATCAAATACTTTTTTCCCTTCACTGTAAGAGCCTACCCGTATATGTGCACTCCTTCACACTCACATAAAAATGAGCACATATGCATGCTCACTTCTAACACACAGATGCTCAGAGACTTCCTGTGCTACTTGCTGTGCTCAGATTAACCCTATTTCTCTCTCACACTCAAATGCAGATAGAGACATGTCACACACATACACAACCAATTAGGATGCAGTCTATTGTGTTTCTCTTCAAATTGAAACACTCTCTTTACACTGAAATATTTGAAGGAGACGGGTGTCACCGGAAGCGCACAATCTAGCAGCATCACTCTCCCAGTGTGCACACTAGAATACAAGCACAGAAATGCTCTTTGTCAATTTTGTAAGCTTTCTAAACTAGTGCGAGTACTTCTAACTACGTAAACTAATCTGTTCCTCTTTCTTCGACAGGAATGTTTCTTAATGTATACTGAATAAAAATTCAAAATTTTACTGAGTTACAATTCATATAAAGAAATCAGTCAATTGAAATAAATAAATGAGGCCCTAATCTATGGATTTCACATGACTGGGAACACAGACACATCTTCTTTGCATAAAGTTGATCAGGCTGTTGATTGTGGCCTGTGGAATGTTGTCCCTCTCCTCTTCAATGGCTGTGCGAAGTTGCTGGATATTGGTGGGAACTGGAACACGCTGTCGTTCACTTCGCACCAGAGCATCTCAGACATTCTCAATGGTGACAAATCTGGTGAGTATGCAGGCCATGGAAGAACTGGGACATTTTCAGCTTCCAGGAATAGTGTCCAGATCCTTGCGACATTCCATGCATTATCATGCTGAAACATGAGGTGATGGCAGCAGATGAATGGCACGACATTGGGCCTCATGATCATTCAAATTGCCATCGATAAAATGCTATTGTGTTCGCTGTCCGTAGCTTATGCCTGCCCATACCATAACCCCACCGCCACCATGGGGCACTCTGTTCACAACATTGACATCAGCAAACTGCTCCCCCACACGACGCCATACACGTGGTCTGCGGTTGTGAGGCCGTTGGACATACTGCCAAATTCTCTAAAACGACGTTGGAAGAGGCTTATGGTAGAGAAATAAACATTCAATTCCTGGCAACAGCTCTGGTAGAGATTCCTGCAGTCAGCATGCCAATTGAATGCTCCCTCAAAACTTGAGACATCTGTGGCAATTGTTGCATTGTGTTTATATTTTTGTTCAGTATATGTTAAATGCATCAAACAATTGTCACATGTATTTATCGATATATTTGGTAAATATATTTGGAAATGAATTTGGAAATGCTTTGTAAAATATATTCCAACACGCATTTAAATGTATTTGTAAGAAATATATATATATATTTTTTATGTATGGCAAATATTTAAGAAATCCACCAAATCATATTGTAACAAAATGGCAACTGTCTTAACAATAAAACGTTATATACTGGCAATGTACAAACTTCACCTTTAATCATTGAACACAACATAACATATTAACTGGCCTAAAAATCAGTCTCATAGGAGGCCAAAGCCACGCCCCCAACAAGCAACACCTCCAAAGTTTCCAATAGGTTGCAGACACTACAATATATTTTGTCAAAATGCATTTTTATTGTACTTGACACATACCAAAAGCACTAACATGTATTTAAATGACTACAATCATGATACATTATCGGTCATGTAGTGACTGTATGTCTCTCATGTGCATATGACAAATAAACAAAGGAACTTGACGAGAGTGTTGCAACCAACATCCAAAAGGCAGAACATAACGTGTACTGGGTTGTTCCAGTAGAAATGATGCACATATTTAATTTTAAAAGCCAGTTATATGAAATGAAGTGCCCTTTAATATAGACCACATGGAGAATTCAGTCAATGGGAATTTCAGTATGAATAAAGACTTGCTAAAGTGCCAAAATTCAGCATTTTGACATGTCCCTCCATCCACCCTCTGTGACTTCTAGGAAGATTTTAACCGACTAATCTCAAAAAATACTCCCAAGCTTTCACCATCATTGTAAAGCCCTAGTTATTGTGTTGCTTTGACAAAGTTATTTCTGAAGATGATTATTTATTTCATGTGATTTGTGATTAATTTACGTCTGTCCCTCATTTTAATGTCAACCATGTTACGTGAACTGAACTCTCGTTTTAATATGGTGAAACTATTACTTTTGAAATATTTATTTCAAAAGAAACATTGAACATCTAATAATCAAATCATAGTGTAAAAGCAGGTGAACTGGTTCTACTCTTTTTGGACATTTTCTGGTGTTTTGTGGTGAAAAACTGAGCGTGTCGAGAATAACACGTCAACCCTGTTACCCAAAGATAGACAGGCTAGAAATGTTTTAAAGTTTGTTGTGAATCTTGCATTCAATTGTCCCTCCCTGTTGCACACAACAAGCTTCCATTCCCCTATCACAAGGGGATTCATGGCTGATTTAACTAGTAATTAGCAGTTGGAGGGGCTTTCAAGTGGATTTTTCCTTTTTTCCCAATTCCCATTTCCCACTTGGTTACGTAAGCAGCATCACACTGCTAAAACCCCACTGTAGAGGTGTATAGTAGTATAGTAATAGTATAAACACTCATTGGAAGCACAAGACATACACCTACACTTTGACATATTGTGGAGCGTTGTACAGTTTTCATTTAAATCAGGCACTCAATTTATTTTTCATTATTTAACTACGCTGAAGAGAGGCACTTACTAAAGTCATTTTTTTTACCTCTTCAGATGGGAATTTTTTTTCTCACAAAGTTGAACATGTGCTCTTTATGACATAATGTTAAAATTAGGTGAAATCAAACATATTGTTTTTACTCAACATTACAATTTAAATGATATCACTGCCAAAGTTTTGGCTTGGTGGCCCAAAGCATTTGCTCCATTGATTAATATGTAAAGAGTAATTTAATAGGCCAAATTAGGAACCACTTTGAGCACCCTGTAGACTACACTCTTAGAATTAGTGGTGATTCAAGGAACCCTGGAGATCCTCAAGGAACCCCTGGAGTTCCTCAAGGAACCATTGCTAGTCAATGGTTCATATTTGCACCTTCGGTTAGTTGAGGGGTTCTTTTAGGAACCTTGAATGGTTCAATGTAGCAACGGGTTTGTGGAGGAACCCTGGACTGGAGGCATGGCTTAGTAGGGGCGTGGCTTTAAGATATATATTTTGGGGGGGATGGGCCACCGTTACATGCTGACCATACTGCCCACGTTGCATATTTGAGCGTTGCAAAATAAATGTACACATACATGTTATTCAATCATTTCATCCAAACTGCTCGTGCGTGTCAACGAGCGTCTGCGTAATCAGGCGCTAAAATAGAACTTGGTTCTATTTTTTACGCTTGGCACGGTCCAAGTCCTGCCTCTGCCATCTCCTCATTGGTTTTTAGGAGCATATACAGTTGAAGTCGGAAGTTTACATACACTTAGGTTGGAGTCATTAAAACTCATTTTTCAACCACTCCACAAATGTCTTGTTAACAAACTATAGTTTTGGCAAGTTGGTTAGGACATCTACTTTGTGCATGACACAAGTAATTTTTCAAACAATTGTTTACAGACAGATTATTTCACTTATAATTCACTGTATCACAATTCCAGTGGGTCCGAAGTTTACATACACTAAGTTGACTGTGCCTTTAAACAGCTTGGAAAATTCCAGAAAATGATGTCATGGCTTTAGAAGCTTCTGATAGGCTAATTGACATCATTTGAATCAATTGGAGGTGTACCTGTGGATGTATTTCAAGGCCTACTTTCAAACTCAGTGCCTCTTTGCTTGACATCATGGGAAAATCAAAAGAAATCAGCCAAGACCTCAGAAAAAAAAGTACCACGTTCATCTGTACAAACAATAGTACAAAGTATAAACACCATGGGACCACGCAGCCATCATACCGCTCAGGAAGGAGACGCGTTCTGTCTCCTAGAGACGAACGTACTTTGGTGCAAAAAGTGCAAATAAATCCCAGAACAACAGCAAAGGACCTTGTGAAGATGCTGGAGGACACAGGTACAAAAGTATCTATATCCACAGTAAAATGAGTCCTATATCGACATAACCTGAAAGGCCACTCAGCAAGGAAGAAGCCACTGCTCCAAAACCGCCATAAAAAAGCCAGACTACGGTTTGCAACTACACATGGGGACAAAGATCGTGCTTTTTGTCCTCTGGTCTGATGAAACAAAAATATAACTGTTTGCCCATAATGACCATCGTTATGTTTGGAGGAAAAAGGGGGCTGCTTGCAAGCCGAAGAACACCATCCCAACCGTGAAGCACGAGGGTGGCAGCATCATGTTGTGGGGGTGCTTTGCTGCAGGAGGGACTGGTGCACTTCACAAAATAGATGGCATCATGAGGAAGGAAAATTATGTGGATATATTGAAGCAACATCTCAAGACATCAGTCAGGAAGTTAAAGCTTGGTCGCAAATGGGTCTTCCAAATGGACAATGACCCCAAGCATACTTCCAAAGTTGTGGCAAAATGGCTTAAGGACAACAAAGTCAAGGTATTGGAGTGGCCATCACAAAGCCCTGACCTCAATCCTATAGAAAATGTGTGGGTAGAACTGAAAAAGCATGTGCGAGCAAGGAGGCCTACAAACCTGACTCAGTTACACCAGTTCTGTCAGGAGGAATGGGCCAAGATTCACCCAACTTATTGTGGGAAGATTGTGGAAGGCTACCCGAAACGTTTGACCCAAGTTAAACAATTGAAAGGCAATGCTACCAAATACTAATTAAGAATGAACCCACTGGGAATGTGATTAAATAAATAAATTCTGACATTTCACATTCTTAAAATAAAGTGGTGATCCTAACTGACCTAAGACAGATAATTTTTACTAGGATTAAATGTCAGGAATGGTGAAAAACTGAGTTTAAATGTATTTGGCTAAGGTGTATGTAAACTTCTGACTTCAACTGTACATGCATCTCTGGAATACATTTTAAGGCATTACATGCATTTTAGCAAACATGGCAATTTATCAACTTATATTTTAAATACATTTTACATAACATTAAATACACTACATTAACAAAAATATGTGGACACCTGCTTGTCAAACATCTCATTCCAAAATCAATGCCATTAATATGGAGTTGGTCCCCCCTTTGCTGCTATAACAGCCTCCACTCTTCTGGGAAGGCTTTCCACTAGATGTTGGAACATTGCTGCGGGGACTTGCCACAAGAGAATTAGTGAGGTTGGGCACTGATGTTGGGCGATTAGGCCTGGCTCACAGTCGCATTCCAATTCATCCCAAAGGTGTTTGATAGGGTTGAGGTCAGGGCTTTGTGCAGGCAAGTCAAGTTCTTCCACACAAATCTCGACAAACAATTTCTGTATGGACCTCGCTTTGTGCACATGCTGAAACAGGGAAGGGCCTTCCCCAAACTGTTGCCACAAAGTTGGAAGCACAGAATCGTCTAGAATGTCATTGTATGCTGCAGCGTTAAGATTTCACTTCGCTGGAACTAAGGGGCCTAACCTGAACCATGAAAAACACCCCCAGACGATTATTCCTCCTGCACCAAACTTTATAGTTGGCATTATGCATTTGGGGAGGTAGCGTTCTCCTGGCATCTGCCAAACCCAGATTATGCCAGATGGTGAAGTGTGATGCATCACTCCAGAGAACACGTTTCCACTGCTCCAGAGTCCAATGGCGGCGAGCTTTACACCACTCCAGCCGACGCTTTGCATTGCACATGGTGATCTTAGGCTTGTGTGCGGCTGCTTGACCATGGAAACCCATTTCATGAAGCTCCCGACGAACAGTTCTTGTGCTGACTTTGCTTCCAGAGGCAGTTTGGAACTTGGTAGTGAGTGATGCAACAGAGGACAGACGATTTTTACACGCGCTACGGGCTTCAGCACTCGGCAGTCCCGTTCTGTGAGCTTGTGTGGCCTACCACTTCGCGGCTGAGCCGCTGTTGCTCCTAGACGTTTCCACTTCACAATAACATCACTTACAGTTGACCGGGGCAGCTCTAGCAGGGCAGATATTTTACGAACTGACTTGTTGGAAAGGTGGCCACCTATGACAGTGACACGTTGAAAGTCACTGAGCTCTTCAGTAATGCCATTCTACTGCCAATGTTTGTCTATGGAGATTGCATGGCTGTGTGCTCGATTTGATACACCTGTCAGCAACGGGTGTGGCTGAAATAGCGGAACCCACTAATTTGAAGGGATGTCCACATACCTTTGTATATATAGTGTATGTTGAAATTTATTTTTTCCCGTATGGGATATGCTTTGTGAAAACAGTTGTGTTATTGAATGAGGTGAGAGAGAAACAATTCTCTTTCACTATTTAGCTGGATCGATGCATGATGTAGGGCCTTGATTTGAATAGCCTACTCTCGTTGCTGTGAAGGTAACGGTACTGTGGGCTATTTGTTGAACTGTACAAGTAATTGATAGGCTATGCCATGTCTACTAGCTACCGTATAACTCAGGCAGTGTCCATAATGGACACTGCCGGAGTTATACCTTAGCTATGCCATGTCTGCACTACATTTTCATCTCACCTGCAGGTAGTTGCTCTCACAGTATTCGGCCACATTCATCAGGTTGTTGTAGTTGTCCAACAGGGCTTGTCTCGCCGACGGAGCCTCTTGGAAGATTTTTGTAATTGCATCAGTACAGCTTTGGTCCTTCATGATGCCCCTTTGCCCGCAACTCTCTTCCTTGGAAACCCGTGGCGACTGCAACCTCTCCGTGAGGCACTTGTGGGAACTTGTTAGTTGAAGTACATCACTTTATATGTCCAACACGCAGAAACATCATCACTTTGCAGAAGCAGTACCAAAAGTAGGGCTGGAGATTCTCCCAATTTGCGTTACCAAAAAAGAGAAGCTGTTTTACTTACCACTTGGCTGTTTGTGTGTGTGGTGTAGCTCACTTGATCTTCCTCTTTCTGCAACGCCTTGACATTTGCAAGGCGTGCTGCTGATGGTGTGCGTAAGCAATAAAACCTTTGATGTTGTATCAGCCCAGTCAAAGCTATTCGCTGCTCTGGAACCCCAATGGTGGAACAAGCTCCCCCACGACGCCAGGACAGCGGAGTCACTGACCACCTTCCGGAGACACTTGAAACCCTACCTCTTTAAGGAATACCTGGAATAAGTTGAATGCACCAATTTGTAAATCGCTCTGGATAAGAGCGTCTGCTAAATGACTTAAATGTAAAACCTGCCGCGCATTATCAGTGCGCATAATAAACAGGCCTAATGTATGCAATTGATCCCTAAATGACCTCTTTAAAACCAGTGAGTAATGGAAATCAAGATTTTTAAATGTATGCATGTCAGTTTAGTCTACATACCGGTAGTCTACTGTAAAACATGTCTTCAATGAGCTGCCTGCCAGCATCATAGGGTCAGCGTGAGCATCCATGCTAATGCATGCAGCATTAGTGCCACCTATTGGCTATAAGGCAAAAATCCAATAGGGTAGGCAATAGCAGAAGTTTTTTTTACACATATACCTACATCATTAACACACTTTCTTTCTTTAGCTAAAATGTAGACAAATTGGAAGTAGAGACAATTCTACATTTCACAAAATTATTTATTCAAAATAACTCAAAAACAAATCTCATCAAGTGTCAAGCACATCTCTAGTATTTGGCTACTTTTGGTCTTACTGTGCGCCAGGTATACTTCAACAGCACTATCAAAACAAATACCCCAGTCATCCCCCCATAGCAGAGGAGAATAATCCTCAGGGCATAGAGAGACTCAGGGTCAGAGAGCAGATGCTTGCGGCCCAGACGGTAGTACACCCCCAGCCTGATCTGAGCAGCCCTCTTCCCCTGGATCCAGCAGTAGTAGGACCCTCTGTCCTCCTGTGTTGCTGGGCTGAAGTGCAGGTGGTGGCCTGTGTCTATGAAGAGATGGGAGGTCTCATTCATGCCCTCCATGTACTGGGAGCGGTCCCGAGACCTAGAGCCTTTGGTCCCAGGCTACCGCGTGCTGAGGTTTGGCCCCAGGGCAGGAGAGGATGAGTGGGGTGTCCACTGGGTGGTTGTGGTAGTAGACAGGGACTCCTGGAGCTGCTGGCTTGTTGTAGCCCAGGAACTCCAGCAGGGCCTGGTGTTCTGGCTGGGGGATGAACCTGGGGGGGCAGGGGACCTGGCAGCTCCGCACCCCCAGCTCTGCCCCCTGATGGTTGGCTTGGGTGAGGCCAAAGCACTGGGGCACAGCGGACGAGCCGCAAGAGGCCACCGTCGGAGATGTCCGCCTGTAGCGCACGTGGAGGTAGTTGGTCTTCACGTAGCAGAGCCCTACGCGGGTCTGCTCACCCTGGACGCCACAGCGGTCGCACACGGACCACGGCCAGAAGCTGGTGAACACCTGGTAGAGTGGAAGATCCTGGTTGGATCTTGAAGCCGCCCTAGCCGCCACTGCTGCTACTCTCCCCCATCTCTGGGCACGACTCCAGGGAAAGGACACCCTGTAAGCCTCTTGGACGTCCACGTCATAACCATAGAATAAGTCCCCCTTGGTCGTCCTACAGAGGTAGTGGCCTGAGTCTTCCTTCTGGGCTCTGAAGATAAGCAGCCTGAAGAGGCGGATGGAGAACCTGCTCCGGAGGTCCCCTCCCCGGCCCACTTTGGATGAGTCTACCACAGAGGTGCCCTGGAAGTCAGTGAGGGCCCTGGTGTCTGGGCTGCCCAGCTGTTTTTGGTAGTACCACACCACAGAGTGGGCCTCCTCAGGCTTACAGTGACAGGGCAGCTCTATGGTCATGTCAGCCAAATAGGCAGCGTTGTCAAACACAAGGAAGGCAGGACAAGCCCTACTGGCAAAAATGTCCTCCTTGTCTTCAGGGGCCTCATAGGCAGACAGGACGGAGAAAGAGAGGGTCTGGAGGAGTAGCAGTAGCAGTAGGGACAGGTGTTTTATAGGGAACATCATGTTCCTTAGCCCCATCGTTGTCATCTTCAAGTTATCCTTAGTCTATCTAGATATGCTATGAAAGGGCCATTACGTGTTCTAGAATGTTCAGAGATCCACAAACAGATTCTCTGGTTACTATGGTAGTTATTGTCATTTCACTCTGACACTGCATTGCATTGTAGTGAACATTGTCCTTCATATAACTTATACATATTATACATTTCAGAATAAAGAACAAACAAACAAATGATATTCAAGTTTTTGCAACCACATAAAGCTCTATAATGTATAGTAACAGTCATTGTTATTTCTGAAAACAATAAGTCCAATATGGGTTTGTGTAATGTTTCTTACTGAGGAGGAGAGACAGTTTGAACCCCATACAACTGCATTATACCATTTAAAGTTTCAGTATCACTGCTTCCTCCGGCAGCCTCACTGGTCTGTCCTGGTCCTGGACACAGAGTCTCTGCCTCATCATCATGTGCCTCTTTAATCTCTTCCACATAACTTCCATGGACAATGACATCACCTTCAGGTCCTCTGACACTGCTATTCCCTGCTGCTGATGCTTTCCTCAGGTTCTGAAACAGCTCTCCACATGCCTCCCTCTCAGCCCGGCTCAGGAAGGACATATTGAGGCCAAACCTGGGGGTCTTGGACAGCCCCTCCAGGACCCCTATCACCGTAGCCTCATCCCCTGGCTGGAGACCACTGGATAGGAACACAAGGAACTCCCCCAGTAGGCCGAACCCCACCTTCAGCCCTGAAGATGTCCTGAAGGCCCTCTCCACCTAGGGAGAGCAGGAGGCTGTATTTATCCTCTGGGTTTTCACTGCCGAACCTGCGCCAGTCCCGGCTGAACTCTGACGCTGTCTTGGGCTGGAACTCTGACAACTGAGGCTTAAAATAACATTCGGGAGACATTGTGTGTCAATTACCAATTTAATGAGATTGTCAGATTGCGTTAATATGCTTTGCATGCCTGTTTGGTAACATCCCTGCCATATACTATGAATACAACTTGTCTAATTTAAACTAGGAGTCCATATCCAGGGTTCTCCGTAGGATTTTTAACAAGGTGGTGCTGCTGAGTATGGCAATCTAGAAAAAATAAAACTATTATAGTGTGGTGCCTGGCCTTAAATTATAACAAATATAATTAAATTACAGTGGCACAGCCAGTCCACAAGGTGGCGCAGCACCACTCTTACATTCTTTAGGGAGAACCCTGATATTAGAATGGAGAGATGTTTGTGTTGGTGTGTGGTGGCAGAAGTCTAACCTTTAGGCCTATTTCATCACAGCTAGTCTGGTTCTGTCCTTTGTCAGTGGAGGCGAGGGCATTCCAGAGCTGTTTGCGAGGAGCTCCAGCTTTATCCTTCCTGTCCAGTGGTTTCAGGTGGGATGCCAGGACTATGTCCCTGAGAGGTCTGAAGGTCAAAACAAACCATAAAACTGTCTGCTGTCTGGACTTCATTGTTTCAAGACAACCTTTTATTTCTAATGGGACATTATTTTTAATGATGAAAAAACATACAGTACATATGTTGTCTATTAATTTGTGTAACAACAGTGCGCAGGATATTAAATTAAAAAAGAATCAACCTAGCTATCTCACCTAAACTCCTCATAAGTTCCAACCTTCTGGTGTAGAGCACGAAACTTTGCATCATTTTCTCTTTGATATTTCTTGTCTGCTTCAACAGCAGACTGCAACTCCTGCTCCAGCGCTGAGAAGTTTATAACCTCAGCAGTCATCCATCCTGTCAGACAAGCCACGACCAGTGAACCTATGGAATCTCTTTTTAGTTCCGTGACACAGACACTGTACTCAGAATTGCCTGACAATCAGACTGTGATACTGTAACTCTGATTCAGTCTGAGATTAATGCCATACATTTGTTTGGAAAAAAATTATATTTTAACTTACTTTATCGGTTGTCGGTGCGGTCTTTCTGCAGGTAGGAATGTGAGACAATATATCCACAGGAAATTATAATGAAATCAACTTTTCAATGCGCTGGTAGTGACTTCAGATGTCTTTCACCTGAAGCATGCACAGAACCATGCACCCACTGGGCACAGACATCAAATCAATTCACATCTATTCCACGTTGGTTCAATGCAATTTTATTGAAATTAAGTGGAAACAATGGTTGAATCAACCAGTGATTGCCTTGTGGGTAAACACATGCATGAGCTTGGCAAGTATGAATGCGTCCCGTGTATATGTTTTTCATGTTGTGCACGTGCTTCAGGTGATAGAAATCTGAATGGACTAACTTACCAGGACTTTGAAAAGTTGATTTAAATATACATTCCTGTGGATGTCTTACATTCCTACATGCAAAAGAACCAAGCGCATGGACAACCGGTAAAGTAAGTGAAACATCATTTTATTCAACATTCTGTCTTGAGAGGAAATGTTCCTGATTCAAACACTTATTTATACCAGACATAAAATGCTATCCAATTCAACGTCGCCGGGTCTTCAGGCTAGACGTCTCAGAACTGCTTGGACAATAAACTCCTCCAACTATGTTGCCAGATAGGAACCTTTATAGACTACATTTTCTTTCATTGATTGCGGGATGGAGAACTAACCTGAGCTTTAGGTTAGCTAGGTAGTATTAGTTTGATGAACAATCTAAATATCTGGACGTTCTTGTTGGTATGTTGTTTGTGCTGTAGCCTGATGGTCTTGTTGCAAGTCCGTGTCCCCTTCCTCAAACACGCGTAGTCACCATGACAACTTGGGTACGAAAAAATTTTCCGGGATCGTTGGAACTTGAAATGTAGGTAAGGGTTAAGGTTAGGTAAGGGTTAGGGGTTAAGATTAGTGTTTTAGCAAAGATGTGTATTGTTATATCTGTGGTTTTAGGGTAGGGACGTTCCAAGGAACCCGGATTGCACGATCCGTGTGAAAAGGCCATGTGTAACACAACTTCAAAATAAAAGTCCCCCAACGAAATGTATCTTTCTCCTGACACTCCTGACATTCATTTTTGTCAACACTAATGGACATTGGTTCTTGGTCAGAATCATTGACGTCATACATTTTACTGTGTTCAGTCCTGTTGTACCTTTTGAGAGTTTCTGGGCTTTTCAATGATATCACGTGTGTGTCAGGGATGTGACATTGATAACTTTCTCTTACTGGTTCTTCAAATTGGCTGCCAATCGCAATTACCACATGGTAAGACAAATGTATGTGTAATTATATTTTTTGTGAGTTTGATATAAAAATTGTTTTAGTGAGGAAATATCTCAGGAATAGATTGGGGAGTTATAAAAAAGTGTCATAATTTCTTCACATTAAATAAGAGCTAAATATGAGCTTGTTTATAAATGTCTAATGTAGTGGACATCAGGGTGTGCTAACTGTTTTTTACTGTACACATTTACTAACCAAGTCCTAATTATTTCACCCCAAACATTCATGTGATGTAATCAAAAATAAAAATATTTTTGCTGGTTCTTATGAGGATATATTACATGATTTTTTTTTTTTAATGTACAATGAACATTTAATAAAACATGTAATTGTGTGGCTGTTACAACCCATCATTAGAATGGTAGTCTTGCATTTGTTCAACATAAAAAGGACAACTTGATGAACAACATATACCGGTATATACAAAAAAAATGCTTTTTATATTTAAGACTCAGGAAAGTCATGACAACTACTGTTTTGGTTCAGTGATTGTATAGGCCTGTAGCCCTACAACCGCTGCTGGTCCTTCAACATGGAATTGCAGAAACATCTTACATTGAATTAACGTAAAACCAAAAGGCAAGAATGCTATACATTGAAATAGCCACTGGGTCTGGTGTTGGAGAGGCCACAATGCATTGAAATAGCCACTGGTTGTGTTTAAGGCGGAGGAGACCTAGAGCTGGCAGGCAGATGGGTGGTGTTTGAGGGCAGAGCGCTAGTGCACTGGAGGACACAGATGGTGAGCAGGTGGATGATGGGCACAGGGGGCCACTGATGCTGACATGATTTTTTTTTTTGTGTAGTACTCCCAATGTCCATGTGTTATTCCATTCACTGAGACATTGAATGGGTTGCCTTCCTCTTCCAGCTGCATGTGCCATGTCCATGCTCTCCTATGGAGCTCTTTGCGGGGCGTGCCCGTCCCCGGCTAAACTTTGATGTTGGTCCAGGGTTGGTTTTGCCAAAGTTTGATGGTGCGGCTATGAGTTCAGTCTGTTTGCATCTTCTTGAAGTTGGAAACGAAGGATGCTACTGCAGGCCTGAAACTCACAGGATCCTCCCTCATCTTCTTTTTGAGGTCTTCAAAGATCTCCATCCACTCTTCCTCTAACGTCGCCCCCTCAGCTGGTTTTCCAGATGTACCTTGGAGAGCATTACAACCACAGTATTATAATTACAACCATCATTCAGATGACTAAATGAGTTATAGGTATACAGTCTTCAATTGGAGCCCTTCACTTGATATCAGATATATTGTTGTGACATTGTAGATTTACCTGAGCCGTTTACATCAGAAGCTGGAGCACACTCGATTTCAACGGTGTCCTCAGACACGTTACTACAGTCTAATGTAGGAGGAGAGAATTACAACCATCAAACAACCAGATTGTTAGACTTCTATATTGCCTGTCAGGGATAATGTTGCACTTTTTTTTTTTATTCAGTTATTGAGGAACATACCGAAAACATAGCATTCTGGTGAACATTCTTCTTCATTGCAGTTATCCAGATGCTTGTTAGAATCATCATTCCTCTTCTCTACATACGATGCAACACATGCTTCTTTGAAAAGTTTGTGGTACAATCTGTAATGGACAAATGAGGGACACACCTAAAGCATACTATGTTCAAGTGTGTCAAGCCACTGACTTGTAGCAGAATTGAAGGTCAGGCAAATGGAGCGGTCCACAGAGGCATGCACATGGTTGTCTCCATACTCCACTTGCAACTCATATTTGATCGTTTTTAGAGCTGATGAAGGAGAGTGGCTTATTTCAAACAGCTTTGTCAATTTCTCAATGGTGTCCGCTGACACATCTCTCCTCTTCAGCACCTCAGCACTTGTCAGACTGTGATTGTAGTTGTTCCGTAGACAGACATGAAAGAGGTAACCTGCTTTCATATGGGGATCTGCAGACCTACAATGAATGGGATAAAAATAAGAGAATTTCAAGCTACTTTCCTGAAAACAGGAACTTCATAACTATTAGGCCTACTTAATAACTTTGTTTTGTCTTATGATAGTGTGGGTAAATTGTATTGCACTTGTATTACTAACCTTGATTCTCTTTGTTGGGTATGAATGGCCCTCTTCAGGATGAGGTACATTATTGCACCACAACAAGTGTTTTTGGTACTTCTGGCTGAAATGGAGCTTGTATTATGCTGGCATCTTAGGTCCACCTATAGAAGATGTAAATCAAATATTAATTTCAATTGATGTTTTTTTAACATGGGCCAACTTACTCTTTCTTACTCTGATTACGTTTTATTGTAAGTTGTATAGCCTTGGAAGCCCAGGCTTCTCATGTTTCAATAGTCAAGTGAACGATACGGGATTTGGAAGGATGGCCACACGAGGCTATAGGGCGATTCTTCACAAAACTAGAACAAAACAGGACCAAGATTTTTTGGATTTTCACAAAATGTAACCCATAGAAGGGTCCTTTGGAGGAAGGATTGTTGAGCTATATTTGACATGTGTATCTTAAAGCATAATTGAGAAATAATTAATTGAAGTTAGAACATTTGTGACATTTTGGCCTTACCCAGGCCCCCTTTAGGGTGGCAGGTAGCCTAGCGGTTTGAGCGTTGAGCCAGTAACCGAAAGGTTGCTGGTTTGAATACCTGAGCTGTCAAGGTGAAAACTCTGCCGATGTGTCCTTGAGCAAGGCACTTAACCCTAATTTGCCTAAATGTTGCTCCAGGGCCCCATCCTACTATGACCGACTGTAAAACAACACATTTCACTGCATTTAAGACCCCATCATGTTTAATCTGTATGTGATACAAAGGAAAGATTGGTGTCATATTAAGCTTTAACGCTTTCTCTGTAATATGAGTCGTTTTGAGATTTTAATAAAACATTTCTAACATGAATATTAAAAAATATCGATCTCTGCTAGTTTTAAAGTTATGGCCCATTTTATACAGAGAAATTGGCATAGTAGGCAATCACAGCCCTCCTTTTACTTGTATCATTGCACATCCTACAAATCACCGGCAGAGGGCGACATTTTTATCCACTTTCACATTCACTGTCAGTAACGCTTACAAATTGGAACACTACAACTAGCAGAGATCCCACTCTGGAACTTTGATTTGCCCGTAGAGTAGCCTATATTATGTTCAACGATATATTGAAAAATTAGCCAAATCTAAAATGGTAAATTTTCAATATTCTTGTTTATATTTGTCAATATTCAAAAATTAATGTAAGAATTTTTTTTATTGAAATCAAAATACTACTCACATTACATGAGCAAGCGGCAACGCTTCATTGATACACATTTTTGCTTTGTAGCACCTACAGACACATTATGGTGTCTTATGAGGCCTGGGTAAGACCAAAATGTCACAAATGTTCCAATTTCAATTAATTATTTCTCAATTATGCTTTAAGATACAAATGTCAAATATATGTCGAAAAAATCCTTCCTCCAAAGGACCCTTCTATGGATTACATTTCGTGAAAATCCCCCAAAATCATTGTCCTGTTTTGTTCTAGTTTCATGAGGAATCACCCTGCTATAAGCTGTATGATACATTAGAAGGGAGGAACTTGACTCTATTCTTGTTACTCCCGTCATCATTGGGATAGGTCTTTGACTTCCTCCAAGTCAAGCCTGATGTTCTCTGGAAGTCGTTCAACCACTTGTGGACCTCTTCCTCAGAGCACAGTTTCAACTTCAGGGAGGATCTGAAATGTGTTTCTCCCAGTGGTTGGTATGAGCACAAAGTGTGGTCATATTTATCAGGCAAGAGAGTCTGTTAGAAAAGATCAGCCAAGTTTGTTATCAAACTCTGGTCCACGCACATGCAACGGATATGCACTGCAAACTGCACGTACATCCAACACATGCGCATAGACCAGAGCTAGTCGTCTACTATGCATACCTTCATATACAGTCATTGATGCATTCAGAGAAAGATTTGCCTGCAATATAGCAACAACTTTACTTTGGTGAGTTACTTAAGTAAAGTATATTGATACCAGTCAGTAAACAACATCGGTAAAAAAAAAAAAAAAGAGACCAGATCTACTAGTTAGCTAGCTAACTTTAGCTGTAGCTATTATAAGTCTGTGAATACATCGTTTTTTACAGTGTATTGTTATATTTTTGCAATAGGGAGATAGGCCTAGATGTAACAAAGAAATGTTAACAGAGATATGTGGGCGGCAGGTAGCTTAGTGGTTAAGAGCGTTGTGCCAGTAACCGAAAGGTCGCTGGTTCTAATCCCAGAGCCGACTAGGTGAACAATCTGTCGATGTGCCCTTGAGCAAGACACTTAACCCTAATTGCTCCTGTAAATCGTTCTGGATAAGAGCGTCTGCTAAAATTATATGATGTTAACTAGCTACCGTTAGCTAACTAGTCAGGCTAACTTGATCCTACCTCCAAAGTGTGTGTGGTCTCCTCTGCGCGGTCACTGTCCACACAGCACAGTTGACACCAAGACAAGGTAATTTCGTGACAATTTTCATAAACTTTCAATATTTCCTCAAAGATCATTTAAGATACCTCTCAATGTATACAAACTAGTTAGCTCAAACCTCTGACTGGGGAATCACTTCTGGTGAAATGTATGTACGTTGAGCCTTCAAAATAAAGGTCCCCTGTACATCAACTTTGTAGCAGTTTTGATTCCAGTGTTATAAATTATAGTGTAGAAAGGACATACAGCATGTAAAAATACTTTAATATAAAGGAGTTACAGAAGTAGGCAACAGAAAAAACAATAATGAATAGAACCTTCATGGTTGAGTATATACATACAAATAAGTACAAACACAGACAACAGATTAGCGTTAAACTGCACTCAGGCAATTGGCCCCCAATTCCCACGCCACGTACCAGCTGTTAATAGCTGTCCTTTAGGGAGCTTTGTAGGCTCACACTTGATAATATTTTTTTTTAAGCAACCCACATGAAAAAATACCACAGTTCACTATAGATTACTACAGTACTTACTTACTATAGAATACTACAGTACTTGCAATATAATTATATAGGAAACTGTAGTATACTGTACTACACACTTTAGTATCCCTTGATCATGTGTAGAACTTACTATAGAATGTTGTAGTATACTGTAAAATACTACAGTAATGTATTCAAAAAACACTAGTCTGCAAAAACACTACACTTTTTGAACTACAGTAAATGCTACAGTATTTAAATTGCATATACCAATTCCCTTCCCCCATATCGCAATTTGTGTCACCCATAAATTAGAAACCTACATACCAAATATAGACCATATATTGTGTTCCCTACAGGTTACTATCCATTCAGATCCCAGTCCTACCTATCTATAGGTTATGGAAAATGTAGTAGTGCTCCAGCAGGTTTCCTGAAGGAGAAAGCCTCCGCTTCTTTGTAAAAGATAATACAAAATAAAAAAACACTATAGTAAATACTACAGTATACTACAGTCTGCAAAAACACTACATTAACTACTATATTATATACTACAAGATTTATACTATAGTTAACTGTAAATACTACAGTAAACACTACAGTGAATACTACAGTAAAGTCCTCAAAACGCTTGAGTGAATACCGTAGTATTTATAACATAGTATACTATAGTATGTTTTCATTTGGGAATGCCTACTTTCACTATGTCACATACAAACAAAGACATATACAGTTAACAGCCAAGCACAGTGCTCCCAGTCCCAAATTAATTTGGTGTATGCCATTGATAGTTAGGAGAGAGTTCTGAAATTATAGTCCTACTCTCTATATTTATCATATTATTTGACAGAATACACACAAACAAAGCAATCAGACAGCGCCCAACCTATAGACCTATTGTGTACAATACATGTACATTGAACGCTTTGAAATTACCCCAATCTCATGGTTCTCTGTGATTGAAACTTCTCAATGTTCCTTTCTTCTTGGTTGAGGAGTGGTAGTAGTGGCCTTGGAACACTACTGTGTCAACCACTCTATCAGTTGATCTCTGATCCATTCCTCAGAATTAGGCCACTGGGATCAAACATACTGTACTTTCTATTGGCACATTTACATCCATCACTCAACTTGGGCTCATACAGTAATACATCAGAAAATGACTGTAAACAAATCACGTAATAGTTTAAAAGCATAGTTTTAAAATAGTTTTGAAAGCATTTATATTCAAACCACAGTACACAATGACAGGACAAATATCAGTCTGTTCCATTTGGAAAGATCAAATCATAAGATTAAAAATAAAGCGCTTTTAGCAAAACTAAAACAATGTTTCAAATTAGTATTTTACAATCCACTGTACACTGAGTATACAAAACATTAAGAATACCTGCTCTTTCCATGACATAGACTGACCAGGTGAATCCAGGTGAAAGCTATGATCCCTTATTGATGTCACTTGTTAAATCCACTTCAATCAGTGTAGATGAAGGGGAGGAGACAGGTTAAAGAAGGATTTTTAAGCCTTGAGACAATTGAGACATGGATTGTGTATGTGTGCCATTCAGAGGGTGAATGGGCAAGACAAAACATTGAAGTGCCTTTGAAAGGGGTATGGTAGTAGGTGCCAGGCGCACCAGTTTGTGTCAAGAACTGCAACGCTGCTGGGTTTTTCACGCTCAACAGTTTCCAGTGTGTATCAAGAATGGTCCACCACCCAAAGGACATCCAGCCAACTTGACACAACTGTGGGAAGCATTGGAGTCAACATGGGCCAGCATCCCTGTGGAACGCTTTCGACACCTTGTGGAGTCCATGCCCCGACGACTTGAGGCTGTTCTGAGGGAAAAATATTAGGAAGGTGATCCTAATGTTTGGTACACTCAGTGTATGTTCTTATTGACATCAAAACAACTAACATTAAAAGTACAATTCTAGAAAATAACATTTTGGTCCAGAGCATTCAATCTTGTACACTATAAGGAATATGTCAGTCATAACACCATCAGTCCTGTTCCCAATAATGTCCACAAATCCAGACTTGCGCCCAGCCAGTGCATACTGAGATAGAGTTTCTCAATAAGAGTAGTGGTAGTGTTGAAGGCATCAGTCAGTAGTAATGCTGTATTTCAGTCCAGTTTGTGATCCAGTGCTTCTTTTTTTTATTGGGGTTTGGCTCCTCGATGAGGAATCCCTCGTTTACCTGGTAGCGCTCCTCTTTGCCAATCTTCACTCCCTGGTGTGTTGGCGTCATCTTGAAGTGGTTGGGCCGCTTGAAAAAGCCACACTGTGGGACGATGGTAGACGAAAAACAAAGTGAACATTTGAAAAGTGTAGACTTTGGTATTAGCATGTTCTTATTATAAGTATTTCTACATTGGTGCCACCAGTATCATTAATGGAGGCAATCTCAGTCCTGCTATTGTTTTGATACTTGACATCTTTCTAATGTAATCACGGGTATCATGATATATGTGAAATACATGATAAAATCACCACACAACCAATATACTCAAGCTCTGCAAAGCTGGTTAGGAGAAGAGACTAAATAGATAGCAATGGGAAAATAGTTGAAATAAACATAAAAGTCAATCAGAGAAGTCACAGCCTCTGAAATGCTGTTTCCCCTGTGGATAGATACTCTTGATTAAGAGAAACCCTTAAAACATGGATAATTTGACAGCAAGAAGGAAAGACTGAAGTTAAGGAAAGTCACTGCAAGCTGCAAAAAGCCATTGGAAGCTGCAAGGAGTCACAGACGGAAGGACTATTATTTTACCCAGGAAACCCAGTGCATTGTTCCAGAGGCCCACAGGGGGACCTCCCTCCCCCAGCCTCACTACTCTTCAGTCAGCCTCTCCACCTCCGACGGCTGGGTCTTCATCTCAGCTTTCTGGGCCTTGGCCTCGTACATCTCCCTGGTGCTGGCTCTCTTGAAGAAGCCACACTGAGGAGGGGAAGGCGGTCAGAATAACAAGTCAAACAGGATCCATTGTGGATCCAAAAAGGTGGACCTTTTGAACCAGTGGATAGTAGAAGTCTCGCGGTACCCGTGTCATCTAACAGTTTGCGTGGATTTGTTGTTGGAGGTGAAATTGAATCTCCATTCTCCTCTTGCTGCTAACGTCAGGGCAGGTTATTTGTTCAATTGGACCTAACTGGCAGACCATTATAATAACTAATGTACTGGATCGTTACCTTCCACATGAGGAGGATGATGAAGGCCAGAAGGAGGACCCCAGCGACAGCAGACACAATGATGATCCACAGGGGGACCTGGTACGGAGCCTCCTCCCCCAGCTCTGGGTCTATATCCAGGGTGAACTACACAGGGGATATCAAACAGAGGACATTAACTATGTCTGCATTTACGCTATATGTAAAAACGTATCCTCAATATCGTTATGTATATTCCTCCTCTATCATGTATCAACTATCATCATCGTCATCAAACAGCAATCATCATGGAAATGACCTTTAAATTAGTATGGATGTAGCCTAGCTTTTATTATAGTATGAATAGTATGGTGTTATTACCTCTGTGCTCTCAGTGTTCATCCTGATGGTGGGTTTGTCTGTGACCAGTTTCAGTGTGGCCTTGCCATTCACTGTCACCCGCCACGCTTCCCTGTAGTCCTATGGAAACACAACACATATACAGGACTTTATTGGTACACCCATTCCATTCACGTGGCTTCACTCTAATGAAGTTGAGGAGAAAGTTCACATTAAGACTAGACCACTGTGCTTTGGTGACTTTACCTCCAGCATGGTGCTGTTCCACACTCTGGCCCTGACAATTATTGTTGCTGTGTTGTTCATGTTGTGGAGAGGGCAGATGAATTTCACACAGTGAGCAGTGCCCGTGACACAGTCCTACAGACAACAGTTGAAAGGGAGTTAGCACCAGAACACCATTTGGGCATACATACAGTGGGGAGAACAAGTATTTGATACACTGCCAATTTTGCAGGTTTTCCTACTTACAAAGCATGTAGAGGTCTGTAATTTTTATCATAGGTACACTTCAACTGTGAGAGACGGAATCTAAAACAAAAATCCAGAAAATCACATTGTATGATTTTAAAGTAATTAATTTGCATTTTATTGCATGACATAAGTATTTGATACATCAGAAAAGCAGAACTTAATATTTGGTACAGAAACCTTTGTTTGCATTTACAGAGATCATACATTTACTGTAGGTCTTGACCAGGTTTGCACACACTGCAGCAGGGATTTTGGCCCACTCCTCCATACAGACCTTCTCCAGATCCTTCAGGTTTCGGGGCTGATGCTGGGCAATACGGACTTTCAGCTCCCTCCAAAGATTTTCTATTGGGTTCAGGTCTGGAGACTGGCTAGGCCACTCCAGGACCTTGAGATGCTTCTTACGGAGCCACTCCTTAGTTGCCCTGGCTGTGTGTTTCGGGTCGTTGTCATGCTGGAAGACCCAGCCACGACCTATCTTCAATGCTCTTACTGAGGGAAGGAGGTTGTTGGCCAAGATCTCGCGATACATGGCCCCATCCATCCTCCCCTCAATACGGTGCAGTCGTCCTGTCCCCTTTGCAGAAAAGCATCCCCAAAGAATGATGTTTCCATCTCCATGCTTCACGGTTGGGATGGTGTTCTTGGGGTTGTACTCATCCTTCTTCTTCCTCCAAACACGGCAAGTGGAGTTTAGACCAAAAAGCTCTATTTTTGTCTCATCAGACCACATGACCTTCTCCCATTCCTCCTCTGGATCATCCAGATGGTCATTGGCAAACTTCAGATGGGCCTGGACATGCGCTGGCTTGAGCAGGGGGACCTTGCGTGCGCTGCAGGATTTTAATCCATGACGGCGTAGTGTGTTACTAATGGTTTTCTTTGAGACTGTGGTCCCAGCTCTCTTCAGGTCATTGACCAGGTCCTTCCGTGTAGTTCTGGGCTGATTCCTCACCTTCCTCATGATCATTGATGCCCCACGAGGTGAGATCTTGCATGGAGCCCCAGACCAAGGGTGATTGACCGTCATCTTGAACTTCTTCCATTTTCGAATATTTGCGCCAACAGTTGTTGCCTTCTCACCAAGCTGCTTGCCTATTGTCATGTAGCCCATCCCAGCCTTGTGCAGGTCTACAATTTAATCCCTGATGTCCTTACACAGCTCTCTGGTCTTGGCCATTGTGGAGAGGTTGGAGTCTGTTTGATTGAGTGTGTGGACAGGTGTCTTTTATACAGGTAACGGGTTCAAATAGGTGCAGTTAATACAGGTAATGAGTGGAGAACAGGAGGGATTCTTAAAGAAAAACTAACAGGATGTGAGAGCCGGAATTCTTACTGGTTGGTGGTGATCAAATACTTATGTCATGCAATAAAATGCAAATTAATTACTTAAAAATCATACAATGTGATTTTCTGGATTTTTGTTTTAGATTCCGTCTCTCACAGTTGAAGTGTACCTATGATAAAAATTACAGACCTCTACGTGCTTTGTAAGTAGGAAAACCTGCAAAATCGGCAGTGTATCAAATACTTGTTCTCCCCACTGTATTTCAGTTGAGTGCATAATGTGACCGACGGGGTTCAAACCCAGGTCTCCTGCTCACCAGAGGAGAGCATTGGCCCACTAAGCCAAAGCCTGGGCGTAGGCTCAGGGAGACAATTCAATGCTTCAGGTCATAGGCTTATGTATAAGATGGTGGGGACGGCCCTCACCAGTTTAAAGGACTTCTTGCGAGTTCCCTTCAGATTGATGGAAGCCTTGGGTTCTCTTGGGTGCACCTCCTCTGTGGAGCCCTCCTCTCGCCTTCTCCTCCTCCTGGCTTTGCTCTCTGGTAACTATGAGAAAAAGGAGACCAGAGAAAAAGGCACAGACCTCATAACTCACAGTATTATAGTATTGACACTTAAAAGTAGCTGGTTTTTAGGTGTTATATTGACAACAACTTGATCAACTGTGGACTTGAAGTTGAGATTTCCATCTGGAACCATAACATTAGGAACACATGGTGTAATGAATACTCGGACAGAGTGGTAAGATCCAATCGCAGAATAGCGATGCTTTATTAGAGGACAGACAAGGGAATAGCTTAATCGTGGTCGGGCGGGCTGTGGTCAAAACCGGGCCAGGCATAGACAGGCAGAGGTACCAAGGGAGCGGGCTTAGTCGTAGTCGAGGGCACAGGCACAGGATCAGAGAACGGTAATCACTGGGGTAGACAAGCAGAGGATTAAGCAATACGGGGAGTCAAACAACAAGGCACAGGTCGGATACACGGGTAATCAAAAACAACAAACTCTCTCTCTCTCTCTCGGAACAAAACGCTTAGCAAGTCACAATGGAACAATACCTCGCACCGACTGAACTTCTGAGCACACCTTATATCCTACCCTAATTACGGACAGGTGTGCTCAGAACTCAGGTGAACCAGATCGAGTCTGATGACTCCCCCTCTCTGTAGATCGGGGAAGTGTCAGACTCTGTCTCCCAGACCTGCGCACTCCGACGGAACCACTCATCCACCGCCGGTACCATCCCTGATGCGGCATCCCACGGGAACAGGGGTGGTTGATACCCTATAACACACTGGAAGGGCGTTAGGCGTAGGGAGGTGTGAATGAGGGAGTTCTGAGCATACTCTACCCAAGGAAGGAATCTGCTCCAATATCCTCCGGGACACCAAACTGCCGGAACACCTGGGTAAACATAGTCTCAGCCATCTGAGTGGCGTTAGGCAAACGGGTCATGGGTACCAACCGGCACATCTTGGAGAAACGATCGATGACCACGAGAATTACAGTATGGCCCTCTGATTCTGGTAGGTCGGTAACAAAGTCCATTGCAATGTGCGACCAGGGTCGTTGAGGAGTTGGCAATGGCATCAGCTTACCCTCCGGTAGTGCACGAGGTACCTTGGACTGAGCACATACTGGACAGGATAAGACATAGTCTCTGACATCATCTGTGAGGGAATCCCACCAGTATTTTCGGCTGATGAGTCGTGTAGTTCGAGTGATTCCGGGATGACCAGATCCCAGCGACGTGTGGCACCATTCCATCAGTTGAGGTCGAAGCGGAGCTGGTACAAACACCTTGACACCGGGGTTTCTGGAGGAGCTGGTTCCGCTTGTAGGCTCTCCTGAATCGTGTCATCGATAGCCCACCTCACAGGACCAGCACGGCAACTCATGGGGAGGATAGGTTCTGGTTCCACCGGTCTTTCATCGCGCTCGAACCAACGGGAAAGCGCGTCCGCCTTACAATTCTTGGACCCGGGAATATAAGAGACAGTGAATTGGAAACGGGTGAAGAATAAAGACCACCTTGCCTGTCGGGAGTTCAGTCGCTTAGCACTGTGAAGATACTCCAGATTGCGGTGGTCCGTGAGCACTTGGAACGGATGAGCTGCTCCCTCCAGCCAATGTCTCCACTCCTCCAGTGCTAACTTCACCGCCAGTAGTTCACGATTTCCCACGTCGTAGTTCTGCTCGGCCGGATTCAGCTTCTTAGAAAAAAAAGCACAGGGTCGTGATTTGGGCGGCTCACCTTGGCGCTGGGATAGCACAGCTCCAACTCCAACCTCCGAGGCGTCCACCTCCACGATGAACGGCAAGGTAGGATCCGGCTGACATAAAATGGGAGCGGTGGTAAATCGTTGTTTCAATGTCTCAAAAGCCCGCACTGCCCCCTCCGTCCATTTCAGACCACGACCCTTGTAGCTGGTCATCGCCGACAGGGGAGCTGCGGTTGTGCTGAAATTACGCACGAACCGTCTATAGTAATTGGCAAACCCTAAGAATCTCTGGAGCTCTTTCACCGTCTGGGGTTGAGGCCAGTCTCGTACAGCTTGCACCTTGGATTCATCCAGTTTTACCCCGTCGGGAGTGAGTATGGCCCCAAGGAAGGAAATCGTCGTGACATGGAATTCACTCTTTTCGGCCTTCACGAACAGAGAGTGTTGTCGGATTCGGTCCAGAACCTGTCGTACATGGGACACATGTTCACGCAGCGAGTTAGAGTAGATTAGGATGTCATCAATGTACACTATGACAAAGCGATCAATCAAGTCCCTGAAAATGTCATTCATGAACGCCTGGAACACAGAGGGCGCGTTAGTAAGTCCATAGGGCATGACACAATATTCATAATGTCCTCAATGGGTGATGAAGGCGGTCTTCCATTCGTCCCCTTCTCTAATGCGCACCAGATTGTACGCACTCCTGAGGTCCAGTTTACTGTAGATGGATGCCTGCCCCACCTGCTCGAGGGCTGCTGGAATCAAAGGAAGGGGGTAACGATTTTTAACGGTAATATCGTTCAAACCTCGATAGTCTATACAAGGACGCAGTCCGCCATCCTTTTTCTTAACAAAGAAAAAACTGGATGCGGCGGGAGACGTAGATGGGCGAATGGCCCCTTGCTGTAGTGCCTCATCAATATACTTGCTCATTGATTCTCGTTCCGGCTGTGACAAAGGGTAGATTCGTCCGCGAGGAGGTGTAGCCCCGGATAGCAGATCAATTGCACAATCCCAGGCCCGATGCGGTGGTAACACGGTAGCCCTCTCCTTGGAGAACACCTGCGCGTAATCCTGGTACTCTGTCGGAACAACAGTAGACACCGCACCCTTCGCATCCTCCACAGTAGACGTTTTGCAAGGTAAAATGAGGCACTCTGCCCTACATACCTCACTCCAGGCCGTGATATCGCCAGATCTCCAGGAGATGACCGGATCATGGGTAACGAGCCAGGGGTGGCCGAGGACTAGCGGCTCCCGTGGAGCGGAGATGACGAACAGAATGATGTTCTCATGGTGCAGGGAGCCCACTTGTAATTTGATTTCCTCGGTACGGTGCGTAATGAACCCAGTGCCCATGGGCTCACCGTCTAGCGCGTTGACTCGCAGGGGAGGTTGAATTGGGATAAGTTGAACTCCCAACTCCTCAGCAAGACCCATATCCAGAAAGCTGGCAGCCGCTCCGGAATCAATAAGTCCTTCCAACCTGCGCACTTTCTCTCCGACAGATAAGGTGACTGGGACATACATTTGTTTGGATGTAATGTTCAAAACTGGAGTCTCACTCACCGGTTTGGCAGTTCCGAGGCGATATCCTGGGGTACGGTTTGGTCGTACCGGACATTGACGAACGAAATGACCCGACTGACCACAATACAGGCATAGTCCGTCTTGCCGACGTTGTTGTCTCACCGACCCTTGTAGAGGTGACCGTCCCAGTTGCATAGGTTCCTCCTCAGATTCCTTAGGACCAGTGATCGAGGGCTCCCGGACTGTGGAAACCTTGTGTTGCACTATCAGATTATCAATAGAGATGGCTATTTTGATAAAATCATGTAGCGCAGTGATATCTCCTCGACAAGCCAACTCAGTCTGTACGTCTTTGCGCAGCCCTCTTCGGAAAACGGTGAGCAAAGCAGTCTCGCTCCATCCGCTACCGGCTGCTATCGTACGGAACTCCAAAGCGTAGTCGGCTACTGTGCGACGGCCCTGCTGAAGTTCGCATAGTTGGTCTCCCACACTACGCCCAGATACTGGGTGGTCGAACACCTCTTGGAACAGTCTCTTGAACTGAACTTCCGCATTCAACTCGGGGACCTCAGCTGCCCAAAGCGCAGTAGCCCAATCCAGTGCTCTTCCCGTTAGCAGAGAAATCATGAAATCCACCCTGCTACGGTCATCGGGAAACATCGTACGATTATACGACATATACAGGGACGTCTGGAGTAGAAACCCCTGAGATTTGCCAGGTTCCCCGTCGTACCTTGTCGGTAGAGAAATCGGAGGTGTAGGACGAGGACTGACCGTGCTCGGGGTGGTGCCCTCAGCCGCACCAGCGTTGAGTAGCTGCAGGAGTTCATCCATCCGTTTCTCCTGTATCTCCCATCGCCTCTGTAATTCCGCTGGATCCATGGTAAGGGCGAGGTATTCTGTAATGAATACTCGGACAGAGTGGTAAGATCCAATCGCAGAATAGCGATGCTTTATTAGAGGACAGACAAGGGAATAGCTTAATCGTGGTCGGGCGGGCTGTGGTCAAAACCGGGCCAGGCATAGACAGGCAGAGGTACCAAGGGAGCGGGCTTAGTCGTAGTCGAGGGCACAGGCACAGGATCAGAGAACGGTAATCACTGGGGTAGACAAGCAGAGGATTAAGCAATACGGGGAGTCAAACAACAAGGCACAGGTCGGATACACGGGTAATCAAAAACAACAAACTCTCTCTCTCTCTCTCTCTCTCTCTCTCTCTCTCTCTCTCTCTCTCGGAACAAAACGCTTAGCAAGTCACAATGGAACAATACCTCGCACCGACTGAACTTCTGAGCACACCTTATATCCTACCCTAATTACGGACAGGTGTGCTCAGAACTCAGGTGAACCAGATCGAGTCTGATGACTCCCCCTCTCTGTAGATCGGGGAAGTGTCAGACTCTGTCTAGACCCAGCCAACCCCCGATCCCTTACACATGGACGCTAATATAGCAGCTACTGGGATTCTGAATAAACAAAACCCAACTGAAATAGCCCTGATAATACTCCAACAGGTTTACCGTGAGGTTGAGTGGGTTGACGATGTCTCCAGGAGGCACACAGTGAGAGTCTGACGTCCCTTTGGTCTGGATCTCCATCAGGTACAGCAGCCACTTGCCATTGGCTACCTCCCAGGGCCAATCAAACTCCACCTCCAGGTTTCCAAGGTTACCCAGTGGCTTCCCAAGAACATTCACCTATGAGGAGAGGAAGATGTTTATTAGGATCTTCAGAGACGCTAGCAAGGATTGATTTCTAAGTTTAAACAAACTATTTTTTACCTTAAATGTGAACTCCACAGGACTTCCGACGTCGCTGGCAGTCTTCATGCCCGATTCTCCCATGACCTCCCCACTGAAGTGAGTGTGACCTGTGTACTGGGCACTAGAAGAGAGGCAGTAACACTGAATCAGATCCATGTGACAAGGTAAACAATTGACCCTTTTCCCACATGAAGTATGGTGCTACCTAATGCCTATAATCAAAACATACCCTTAAAATGACTAGAAACCAATAACTTACAGTTCAAAAGACGTCTTTAGTGTATACTCCACCACCATGAGAAGAGGCAGCGGTTGTAGATTGCTCTGTTTACTCAATCTGAGAGAGGACAAAGGTAGAGAAGCAATTCAATGTCACAGATTATTGTAGTTGGGTATTGACCCACTCCAGAAGCAATGCTGTGATGAGGGATGATGTATGTAGGTAATGACAGTAGGTAGTGTACATAGAAGAGAGGGCCATTTACGTGGAGAGCTGCAGTGTAGACCGGATCTCTCTGGTGTCCAGATTGATCTTAGACGTCTCAAAGGTGATCAGGACCTGAGCCTGGAAAAGAGAAGGGGTGGTAGAAATCCACATTTAAAACCCTATATATGGTACCATGCTCGCATCCAGCTTGTATTCTATCCACTGTGGTCCAATAGAAGTAGTGGACAGTACCAGTTTAACTAGAACCTACCCTCTGGTTGCTGGTGAAAGGGTTCCCCAGCTCACACAGTAGAACCATGTCCTCTGCTGAACACTCAATGACTGGGTTGTTGCTCTGTGGAACATAGGCAACCATTTCATGAGGAGAGAGAAGCTGAAGAGGAACTAGTCATTTTTGGGACAACAAGCAAGTAATCGTATCTAAAAATCACCAATCAGAGTCAGGAACCAGAAATATGTGTTTGTTTACTTACCCATAGCTTAGCATTAGCATTGTCGCGTGCAAAACAATGGGAGTGATAGAAGTCCTGTTAGCCTTCTAGCTCCTCCCAGAGTGCAAAGAACCTTGGCGTGACTCTGGACAACACCCTGTCGTTCTCCGCTAACATCAAAGCGGTGACCCGATCCTGCAGGTTCATGCTCTAAAACATTTGCAGAGTACGACCCTGCCTTACACAGGAAGCAGCACAGGTCCTAATCCAGGCACTTGTCATCTCCCGTCTGGATTACTGCAACTCGCTGTTGGCTGGGCTCCCTGCCTGTGCCATTAAACCCCTACAATTTATCCAGAACGCTGCAGCCCGTCTGGTGTTCAACCTTCCCAAGTTCTCTCATGTCACCCCGCTCACACTCCACTGGCTTCCAGTTGAGGCTTGCATCTACTACAAGACCATGGTGCTTGCCTACGGAGCTGTGAGGGGAACGGCACCTCCTTACCTTCAGGCTCTGATCAGACCCTACACCCAAACAAGGGCACTACGTTCATCCACATCTGGCCTGGAAGCACAGTTCGCGCTCAGCCCAGTCAAAACTAGTCGCTGCTCTGGCACCCCAATGGTGGAACAAGCTCCCCCACGACACCAGGACAGCGGAGTCACTGACCACCTTCCGGAGACACTTGAAACCCTACCTCTTTAAGGAATACCTGGAATAGTATAAAAGTAATCCTTCTACCCCTCCCTCCCCCACCCCCCCATAAAAGAAAGAAAAAGAAAAAAACTAGGTTGTCCCACTGGCTATCATAAGTTGAATGCCCCAATTTGTAAGTCGCTCTGGATAAGAGTGTCTGCTAAATGATGTAAATGTAATTATCTCTGTTACACACCACAATAGAGGCTTCGGGGTTAAGTTTCCCCTAGGTACAGCTCTAGGATCAGTTTCCCCACCCTCAATCCTAACCTTAACCATTAATAGAGGATATGCTAAACTGACCCAAGATCAGCGTCTAGGGGCAATTTCACCCTATTACACCACAGGGAGACACCAGAGTAGCACAGCATAGCAGGCTTACCTTTGAGCGAACGCCAGAGTAGATCAGCGACGGGGGAATGGTGACATTGAGCATGGCGTTGTGAGCGTCCTCCGCCGGTTGCCCTGGCGACTGGAAGTTGGTCACATCCACGACCAACAGGACCTTCTTGACACTGGCGCTGTACTGGAGGATCTGGTGACCGTCATGGCTGTACAGGGAGATTCACAACAAACACAGGATTTGATGTCTTGGTCACAACAACTTGCATTATTCAATGTCAACCTCTATGGTTTACGTTCCTCTCAAGCCACCAATCATATAGCTGATGACACTTTGAACTATCCCTCCTATACCTCTAGTCATGACCTTTGATCCCTGACCTCTGATGACTGTACCTGGGGAAAGGTGTCTGCTCTTCATTGGTTTTGGCAAACTCTGCCTTCATCTGCAGGTTACTCTGGCACTTATTGTCCAGGCCACAGGCCTTCTGGAAGTGAATCTGTGGGAGGGAGGGAGGGAGGGGGATATAGTAAGAGGGGAGGGAGAGAGAGAAGTTAAAAGCAAGTATACTTATTCTCTACAGAGCTAATATTATTTTCATCCTGCACACTATCAACAAACCCCAGTGTACAAAGCGTGGGCAGTAACTGAAGACTCACACACACAAATAGTGAAGTGGAGATTCTGTGTCAAGGGGAACTTTCAAAACAGTATTATGAGTAGTCACACCTTGTTATCAATCATTAACTCAGTAAACATTAGGTCTAACCTCCTTTTTGACATGGCTGGCCTTTCCCTCACTTAGCACAGGGAAGGCATCCAGGCTCTGCAGGGACTGCCGGGCTTTGGGATGCCCCTCATGGAGAGACACGTTTAGGGAGAAGACTACGGGCTCCACCTTGTCTCGAATGGGACTCTACAGGACAGACAGCGAGACATGGTTAGAAAACATGGTTAGGGTAATACGCACACAAGTGCTAGCATACGCATTTTACACACACCTACATTGTAATATTGTTGTATGGTGGTATTATACACTGCTCAAAAAAATTAAGGGAACACTAAAATAACACATCCTAGATCTGAATGAATGAAATAATCGTATTAAATACTTTTTTCTTTACATCGTTGAATGTTCAATGGAAATCAAATTTATCAACCCATGGAGGTCTGGATTTGGAGTCACCCTCAAAATTAAAGTGGAAAACCACACTACAGGCTGATCCAACTTTGATGTAATGTCCTTAAAACAAGTCAAAATGAGGCTCAGTAGTGTGTGTGGCCTCCACGAGCATGTATGACCTCCCTACAACGCCTGGGCATGCTCCTGATGAGGTGGCGGATGGTCTCCTGAGGGATCTCCTCCCAGACCTGGACTAAAGCATCCGCAAACTCCTGGACAGTCTGTGGTGCAACATGGCGTTGGTGGATGGAGCGAGACATGATGTCCCAGATGTGCTCAATTGGAATCAGGTCTGGGGAACGGGCGGGCCAGTCCATAGCATCAATGCCTTCCTCTTGCAGGAACTGCTGACACACTCCAGCCACATGAGGTCTAGCATTGACTTGCATTAGGAGGAACCCAGGGCCAACCGCACCAGCATATGGTCTCACAAGGGGTCTGAGGATCTCATCTCGGTACCTAATGGCAGTCAGGCTACCTCTGGCGAGCACATGGAGGGCTGTGCGGCCCCCCAAAGAAATGCCACACCACACCATGACTGACCCACTGCCAAACCGATCATGCTGGAGGATGTTGCAGGCAGCAGAACGTTCTCCACGGCGTCTCCAGACTCTGTCACGTCTGTCACATGTGCTCAGTGTGAACCTGCTTTCATCTGTGAAGAGCACAGGGCGCCAGTGGCGAATTTGCCAATCTTGGTGTTCTCTGGCAAATGCCAAACGTCCTGCACGGTGTTGGGCTGTAAGCACAACCCCCAACTGTGGACTTCGGGCCCTCATACCACCCTCATGGAGTCTGTTTCTGACCGTTTGAGCAGACACATGCACATTTGTGGCCTGCTGGAGGTCATTTTGCAGGGCTCTGGCAGTGCTCCTCCTGCTCCTCCTTGCACAAAGGCGGAGGTAGCAGTCCTGCTGCTGGGTTGTTGCCCTCCTACGGCCTCCTCCACGTCTCCTGATGTACTGGCCTGTCTCCTGGTAGCGCCTCCATGCTCTGGACACTACGCTGACAGACACAGCAAACCTTCTTGCCACAGCTCGCATTGATGTGCCATCCTGGATGAGCTGCACTACTTGAGCCACTTGTGTGGGTTGTAGACTCCGTCTCATGCTACCACTAGAGCAGTGGCGGCTCCTGAAAAAATTCTCAGGAGGGGCAATTTTTCTGATGATTTAGGTGACCTACACACGTGCACGAGTCCGTGCACGCGATTCCAGATATCTTTACCTCTGAATAAACTGCCTTTATTATACCATATCCACCCTGTCCAAAGTCTCTACTTGGTCTCAGTTCTCCAGTAAACTTGTGATTATCAACAGTACACAACGGTAACAAACAATTGGGGGAACTCACGGGGCAGATAGTAACCACTTAAAAGGAAGCGATTCCCAAACCTTCCATAACAAAGCCATCACCTACAGAGAGATGAACTTGGAGAAGAGTCCCCTAAGTAAGCTTGTCCTGGGCCTCTGTTCACAAACACAAACAGACCCCACACAGCCCCAGGACAACAACAACAACAACAACAACAACAACAACACAATTAGACCCAACCAAATCATGAGAAAACAAAAAGAGAATTACTTGACACATTGGAAAGAACAAACAAAAAAACAGAGCAAACTAGAATGCTATTTGGCCCTAAACAGAGAGTACACAGTGGCAGAATACCTGACCACTGTGACTGACCCAAACTTAATGAAAGCTTTGACTATGTACAGACTCAGTGACCATAGCCTTGCTATTGAGAAAGGCCGCCGTAGGCAGACCTGGCTCTCAAGAGAAGACAGGCTATGTGCACACTGCCCACAAAATGAGGTGGAAACTGAGCTGCACTTCCTAACCTCCTGCCAAATGTATGACCATATTAGAGACACATATTTCCCTCAGATTACAGCGATCCACAAAGAATTCGAAAACAAACCCAATTTTGATAAACTCCCTTATCTACTGGGTGAAAAACCACAGTGTGCCATCACAGCTGCAAGATTTGTGACCTGTTGCCACAAGAAAACGGCAACCAGTGAAGAACAAACACCATTGTAAATACAACCCATATTTATGTTTATTTATTTTCCCATTTGTACTTTAACTATTTGCACATTGTAACAACACTGTATATATACATAATATGACATTTGAAATGTCTTTATTCTTTTGAAACTTCTGAGTGTAATGTTTACTGTTAATATTTATTGTTTATTTCACTTTTGTTTACTATCTACTTCCCTTGCTTTGGCAATGTTAACACACGTTTCCCATGCCAATAAAGCCCTTAAATTGAATTGAATTGATAGTAAGGTCGCAATGACACAGAAAGCAGTTCAATGTCGGGGTACAGAGTCGCTCTCTTACCAGGATCGCGGTCCGCTCTGACCAGGGTGAAGGTGGCCGGCTCCACTTCTCTGTCCGGGACTCATCCAGCCAAGTCTCCCAGCTGTATTGGGATTCAGCTGCCAGCAGCGTTTTCATTATTTAGTCCGTTCGTAGCGGGTATGTACACGATCAACAAGATCAGTCCAAAACCAACCACTGGAAATCCATGGTTGGCAGAATGTTTGTAAACTAAGTCTACAAATTAAAAACATAAAATAACGCCGCACTGCAGGTCGCAACAGAGACGCTTCTAGCCGCCATTGTCTTAGTTACGTTCAACGTTACGTCACGTATGACGAAAGCGCGTAAGTGCAAGCCCACAGACACCCATAGAGAATGTATTGAAAGCTTTGAAATGTGAAAAAAATAGATTTTACATGACAGGCTATGAGAGACTTCTGGGCGATTTTCAACTTGACTGAAATCGCCCCAAAAACGGGCGGGGCCATTTGAAGCACGACTTTAGCCTGATTTGACATTTAGTGGCTGGCAGATCAGACGTGAACACTGATAACTGCTGTTGCCGTGATATAATTGATTAGAAAAAAAATCCCTTCCTTTTCCCGTTTGGCAGTGCGTCGCCCATATCGCCCTATTGAACAAGCCGTCCCTGCACTAGAGTGAAAGCACCGCCAGCATTCAAAAGTGACCAAAACATCAGCCAGGAAGCATAGGAACTGAGAAGTGGTCTGTGGTCACCACCTGCAAAACCAGTCCTTTATTGGGGGTGTCTTGCTAATTGCGTATAATTTCCACCTGTTGTCTATTCCATTTGCACAACAGCATGTGAAATGTATTGTCAATCAGTGTTGCTTCCTAAGTGGACAGTTTGATTTCACAGAAGTGTGATTGACTTGGAGTTACATTGTGTTGTTTAAGTGTTCCCTTAATTTTTTTGAGCAGTGTACATTTTGCATTGTAGATATGTAGTGATGTAATAATGTTATATGATGTACTGTTTTATCTTTTGTTTTATATGTAATGTAAGTGCTTTAATGTGTTTGGACCCCAGGAAGAGTAGTTGGTGCCTTTGCAACAGCTAATGGTATCCCTAATATATACACTAGTAACCATACAGGGCTTTGACCCTGGAGGAGTAGAATGTAAAACCAAACCCAGTCCAAGGTCACAATAGGTTATGTCAGTGACAGTTCCTTACCACTAGTCCGAGCCTCAGCGTTTTGCATTTGGCAGATGGCATTGACAAGAAGCCAGTGTAGCTGTCCTGGCCGTTGTCTTGGAAACGGACCCGGTGGTTGTGCCGAGTCAGGTCGGCTTCCACAGTGTACTTCACAGCTGAGAGGACATGGGACAAAATGCTAGAATACATACTACAGGGAATATCAACAATTGTTTAATCTAATTCAATGAATTTATAATTGGACATTTATTCATTAATTTAGCAGCTTTTATCCCCATTGTTTGAATACAAATGTGGCTTCAATCAATAAAAACAATAAGCGCAAGTAGGCTTTGTGTACATTTGAAACCAACAGTTGTGGTTGCATACATATTGTATGCCAGACATAAGATTTATTTAGATAATACTATTAGGTATCTGTCATTTGATTTATGATTTTGGCGAAAAAAGAAAGGGGACCAAGCCAGTGATGTCATAAAAAATATAATTTTAGAGATGTTATGCGTGTGTTTCTTGACAAGCTCATAGGTTCAAGGGTAACAATGGTGGAGTTCGTTTTGCATGGCCCGGTTCCCCGGGTGGGTGGAGATTTCACTTAAGGACCAATGCCCCACCCAGGGCACGGGGCCATGCAAAGCGAACTCCACCAATGTCTTGCTAATTTACACCCTCCCCCTTTTGATGAACAACCTGCGCTAATTGGCTGGACCATCTTGCCAATCAATCACTTTCACCAATTAGTTAATAGCTAGGCACAAATGAAACCAACAGTCACCATGGCCATTTAGGACTCATGTTAACGCGATGCATCCTTGGCTTACAATTGTACCTTGGGGAGAAATAAACTTTATTGAATTGAAATCAATTGAACCAAATTGAATTGAATGGACTGAATTGAATTCCATTAGCTTAGGAAATGACATTCATACATGTTGGCAATCTTGTCGTAAGATCACTTGAATGACTAAAATAGCGGTGTTAGTGTTAGAGCAGTGGTCATCTAAGAACAATGTTGTTACAGAACCACACTCACTGACGTTCTTCCTGAAGTCCTTGTCCCCAGTACTCAGTGTGTAGGAGAAACAGACCTCCACCTCCACACTGCCAACATAGAAAAACATACTCAAATGATCAGGGATTCCCTATTCAGGGTCATAAGATGGGTTTAATCACTATTGCTGAAACATTGAGTATCCTCAAGCATTGAAAAGAGAATGATGTCCAAATCAATGTATACAAAACAAAATCTTACCAGTTGTCGCAGTCTTTAGGGTCCACAATCTCTGGCGTCACTTCAAGAGTTTTGATGAGGTGAATGACTGGGCGAGCCCTGATAAAATAGATAATAACATGACATCATGGATTTATGGTTGATACAATAGGTTTGCTGTGCATTAAACAATATGTCTGGTCGAGGGATGAGAACTGAGATGGCCGAAAACACAATATACATGTAAATGCAACAACAGATCCTTATTGTGATTAGCTACCTCAGTAAGGCTACGCGGTCGTCCAGTGAGCCGACCACCATGTCGGGGTAGCGGTTCCCATCCACATCCAGCCCTCCGTTGATGGAGTAGCCAAACGTCTTGAACCCACCTCCAGCTATATCCTCCCCCTCAATCACCTGAGAAGAGGGAAGTCAATACAACAACCAGATGTTGTAACAGAAATCGCTCCTCATCTGTTCAGCTCTGCATCTCTCCTCACCATGAGCCCCATAGGATGAAGTTACCCGTAGATGCTGATCTGACGTCAGTTTTACATTTAATACCCTTATGGCTAAGGTTAGGAGTTGGGCTCCCGAGTGGCGCAGCGGTCTAAGGCACTGCATCTCAGTGCTTGAGGCGTCACTACAGACCCCCTGGTTCGATTCCAGGCTGTATCACAACCGGCCGTGATTGGGAGTCCCATAGGGCGGCGCACAATTGGCCCAGCGTTGTCCGGGTTTGGCCGGTGTAGGCCGTCATTGTAAATAAGAATTTGTTCTTAACTGACTTGCCTAGTTAAATAAAGGTAAAAAAAAAAAAAAAAAGGAGTTAGGGAGGATCCTAGATCCTATGCCTAAGGGTGTGTTTCCATACCTGACTGGGCTCCTGAGAGATGCCCTGAGCACTGCCTGTCCAGATTAACACCCTGCCTGTTCCATGGAACGGAGCACCCACCGCAAAATCTAGGAGGGGAGGGGGAGAGAAAGAGAAAGAGATTATAGGCCCTTGTGTCTCCAACAAAGGTCTCCAAAAGCCTTGTTTAATGTCAGCACTCAGCACTGAGCCAATACTGAGTGAGAGTAAAATGTTTTCAAAATCCCATTCAAACAGCTTTGATTCATGTCAGAAAGGCACATGATAGATTTGCAATACCAGTGTCATAGACATTATGAGAGATTAAAGGTCCAATGCAGCCGTTTTCATCTCAATATCAAATCATTTCTGGGTAACAGTTAAGTACCTTACTGTGATTGTTTTTCATTTTGCTAGGACTGTCTAGGTGTGGTCTGAGTGGGGAGGGGAAAACTGAAAACTAGCTGTTATTGGCACTGAGGTTTGGAATGCTCTTTCTTAAGTAAGGGATAAACGCAGAGGTTCTGTACTTTACCTTGGAAATATGGATGACGCAGCGAAGTACATTTTTCCAAGATAATGTACAGAACGGAGGTGTTTATCCCGCTTATACCACAGTTGCCAAATAAAACAATACTAAAGCCCACATTTAACGGTAGAAATAAAAAAAATGTGTTGATATTTTCATCTTTATAAGAGAATTCATAATCTATCATCTTTTGGTTCATTCGATTAGTTCGATATTTATGGCCGCGACCCAGTTGTTTGTTCTATATGTTCCATTGTTGCCATGCTCGCTGGCAACGTTCTTGTCCCTTGCTTGCTAGCTACTGTAGCCAACTAGCTATGGCTAACACAGTCACAACCTCTGCAGCCAGAATAACAGCAAAGTAGCTGCATTTGCATTTGTTTAAGCTGTTTTCTATTGACATTAATTTGGATACATCCATAACGTTGAGCTGATGATGCCCGATTTTGCCTGGCATAGCTAGAAAAGTTTGCCTTCTCGTCAGGACACCTAATACTGTTCATTGCGGGAAGATCACATTGCATATCAAACACTAGGCTAGAAACGATCTAAATAGTTAGTTGCTAGCAAACCTGCCAATATGACAACCAAATTAAAAAATACCAGTTGCTGAAAACAGCTGGTCAAACTAGAAACATGTGGGAGGATTTGACAGCATAGCCCCACTTGCGTCGTGACTGCAACATAGGGACCGGAGAAATTCAAGTTCATCACTCACCACGTTAGGTTATCAGATGCTCCAAAAAAAGATGTTTCTGCAAAGACAAATCAATGCTTGCTAAGTTCTTCCTTGTTGGGCCTGCGTTTACAATGTATCCAATTTCGGTTTGTGTGGTTGTTTGTTTAGCTGTCTGTAACTTTGTAGTAAGTACGGTCTGCATGTGTAGACACATTTTGCGTCATGATTGCAAGGTGTCCCGATATATTTTCCAACTTTCCCGATATCTTTTCCAACTGTCCCGCTATCCGGTTTTAATGTCCATTCTAGAATGCCCTTCTAAGCAATCAGAAACTAGTATTCAACAATGCTGTGGTATAATGGTCTATTAACAAATTTACAGCCTGATGATGTCACCAGGCAGGTCTAAACTCCATCCCACCAAAACAGGCTGAAATTCCAGGCAGTCTTTCCAAACAGCTCCTACACTAAAAGTGCATTTTCATAATTTTCACAATTTCACAGTATTATTCCAATCTCATAGAGTGGAAGTATATATAAATCACGTTTTTGACTGCACTGGGCCTTTAACTACTTCCTATCCTAGGTACAGTATGTCTGCAGACATTATTAATAAGTGGAATTCAATTTCGTTTTTTACATTTAAGATCCTGTTAAAACCACAAGAGGGAGCCACCACCACATAACTTTTAAGGAACAGATTCAACCTCATTTTCTTTATAAGTGTGAGAAATTAAATAAAATAAAAAATGTTACCTTGAAAGCCATCTTGATTGACATCTCCAATGGCAGCCACAGCCATTCCAAACGCAGAGTCTCTAGGGCCTCGGAGTATGATGCTGGAGCGCTGCCGGAAGGAGCCGTTCTCGTTCATATAGACGTACACCGCTCCACCAAGCTCCTTCTTCCGATCAAAATAGAACGGGGCTCCAATGATCAGATCATTCCAACTACGAAAATGTGCAAACAAAGAAAGTGTGGTTTCATTGACAGGGTTAGTAACTAACAGGGTTCGGTCAATAATATTTCAATTAAGACAATTCAGGAAGAATTGATATTGCAGCTAAATTAATTCCAAAATAAGCGATATCAATGATTTAAAACAAGTTACTTATGTCCCATGGGGATTAAGAGGAGTAAGTAAGTAAGTAAGACGAAGTTGCAATCCATACTGTACCCATCATTGTTGAGGTCTGCCACGGCTAGGGAGTTCCCAAAGTAGGACCCCATCTGCTCGCCTCGCAGGGTGAGGTAGGGTTTCAGCTGGTCCCTGTCCCCTGAAGCCGACATCTTCTTCACAGTCAGAATGACCGAGCCTTTGGCATCATCCTTGTTATCCTTAGGAGCCCCTGTCACCACTGTGTCCTGGTCCTGGCTGAGGAGGCCTCGGCCCTCTGCCACCGAGTAGCCTGGGACACAACAACAACAAACAACATCCTATTACTAACTTACGTGATCTGATCTTAATCTTAAGAAATTGTTCGTAAAGTAGAGAATCATGCACATGCGCAGAAGGTACGGTTGTTTAGCTATCGGGAAGAGGCATCTAGGAAATCTGGCCATGCAGCCACTCTGTCCTAACTACTACATACTGACATACTAACAACATAGGTTAACTGACAACAGAAAACACACACGACATTTTCACTCTTTACTTAAAAACCCGGTTCAATTCAAATCTGTTTATAGAAGTTTCGTGGGTAACGCAAGACAAAATTGTACCTATGTAAATGTGCCGTCGATTATTAAAGTTGGGGAAGCTGCTTCTCTTGGTGTCATAGATGACCTTTGGGTTCATCCAGGAGACATGAACATTGCCTGAAAGAGAAGCAGAACAACACACTGACATTTTGGAACAAAATATGAAATAACCACAAAAACGGGCACAATTAGCATGACAATGACCATATGTGTTGACTATACCACACACACAGACCAGGCTAACATACAGTCATGACCAAAATTATTGGCACCCTTGATAAAGTATAATAAATAATACAGGATAATCCACTTGCGGCCAAGTTTCAGCCTCCTGGCAGAGGCAACCAGGTTTTTGGATAACAGTTATGTGGTACTGGGTAAAGGTCATGATGCCGTTGACCTTAACAAGGGCCCCAGGACCAGTATAACCCCATAACATCAAAGATCCATCACCATATTTTACAGTAGGTTTGGGGTTCTGGTCTGTATATGCATCTTTCTTTCAACGATAAACACACCACTGGTGTGTGTGGCCAAAGAGCTCTATTTTCATGTCATCTGACCATAGCACCGGTTCCAATCCAAGTGCCAATGCAGTTTAGCAAACTCCAGGGGTCCATACTTGCGAACATGAGAAAAAATTAAAGTTTTAGTTTAAGCATCAGCCAGTTAAAATCATTGACGTATTTGCATGTGATCAAAGGCTACATGTTAGCTGTTTCCATCACATAACCTGGTACATTTAGCCCAAAGCTAACCCTCACCAGGTGGCCAGGATTATTTATTGTAACAAATTTCGAATCAGCCTATCAAAGATCTTTAACTTTTTCTCCACACACCAATGGCATTTCTTAAAATAGGTTAACTTGGCCACCAGAGGAATATATTCAAACCTGTAAATTCAAGGTTTACTTTTGTTCCCCTTCACTTGGTCTGTCTCAAGTGTAGCGTACCAATATTGCATGATCATCGCATCTATGACTAGGGTACTTCCTAATGTTACCAATTCATAAGACTCACTTTCGCATCTACACCGAGTGTACAAAACATTAAGGACACCTTCCTAATATTGAGTAGCAACCCCCCCCCCCCCCCCCCCCCCCCTTTCACCTGGTCAGTCTACACTACATGACCAAAACTATGTGGACACCTGCTTGTCGAACATCTCATTCCAAAATCATGGGCATTAATATGGAGTTGGTCCCCCTTTGCTGCTATAACAGCCTCCACTCTTCTGGGAAGGTTTTCCACTAGATGTTGTAACATTGCTGCAGGGACTTGCTTCCATTCAGCCACAAGAGCATTAGTGAGGTCGGACACTGATGTCGGGCGATTAAGCCTGGTTCGCAGTCTGCATTCCAATTCATCCCAAAGGTGTTCGATGGGGTTGAGGTCAGGGCTCTTTGCAGGCCAGTTAAGTTCTTCCACACCGATCTCGACAAACCATTTCTGTATGGACCTTGCTTTGTGCACAGGGGCATTGTCATGCTGAAACAGGAAAGGGCCTTCCCCAAACTGTTGCCACAAAGTTGGAAGAACAGAATCTTCTAGAATGTCATTGTATGCTGTAGCGTTAAGATTTCCCTTCACTGGAACTAAGGGGCCGAGCCCAAACCATTATTCCTCCTCCACCAAACTTTACAGTTGGCACTATGCATACGGGCAGGTAGCATTCTCCTGGCATCCGCCAAACTCAGATTCGTCCTGCCAGATGGTGAAGCGTGATTCATCACTCCAGAGAACGCGTTTCCACTGCTCCAGAGTCCAATGGCGGCGAGCTTTATACCACTTCCAGCCAACGCTTGGCATTGCGCATGGTGATCTTAGGCTTGTGTGCGGCTTCTAGGCCATGGAAACCCATTTCATGAAGCTCCTGACTAACAGTTATTGTGCTGATATTGCTTCCAGAGGCAGTTTGGAACTCGGTAGTGAGCATTGCAACTGAGGACAGTCCATTTTTACGAGCTACGCGCTTCAGCACTCGGTGGTCCCGTTCTGTGAGCTCGTGTGGCCTACCACTTCGCGGCTGAGCCGTTGTTGCTCCTAGACGTTTCCACTTCACAATAACAGCACGTACAGTTGATCGGGGCAGCTCTAGCAGGGCAAAAAGTTGATGAACTGACTTGTTGGAAAGGTGGCATCTTATGACAGTGCCGCGTTGAAAGTCACTGAGCTCTTCAGTAAGGCCATTCTACTGCTGATGTTTGTCTATGGAGATTGCATGACTGTGTGGCACACACTGCTAAAGCAGTTCACTCGAAAACAACAGTGCTCATTCACTGTGGGTTTGAGCCCCCTTTGCTTCAAGCACTGTTCACTGTTCTCTGTTCACTGTTCTCGGCTGGTCGGGTGATAATAATAATGCATATAAAACATTGTACATGTAAGTGTAGGCCTACACGTCTATGTAATATAGCCTATACTATAGTATGTGTCGGTCTGCAAAAGGAACTCCAACAAGAAGCTCCTCATTAAATGTATTCGTAATCTTCATTTAAAAGGTTTTGGCTGCACTTCTCTTCACAACATGCTAACACAATCAATTTTAATATACATTTCAAGGGAAAAAAATATATCTCAAACTTGCTGCAAACGGCGATAATCACCAGGATCCAGGCTTGCAACAATGTGAGCTAATCGTCCAGTTGAAAATTGATGCGTGTTTTAGTAACTTTAATTAGCAGATGGTGCAGCGTGCTGTTAAGGACGCTCTCATGGAAAAGTGTTGTATCACATCCAACTAGGAAGATGATTTTAATTAGCTGATACGAAATTTGAACCGGATATAATCATAGCCATCTGGTGAGATTAGCATAGGGCTTTTTTTTGTACCAGATTTTTGTGATGGGGACAGCTAAAGCAATTTCTGTTGCAGATGCAAGTTGCAAGTGGCATCATTTTAAGCAACTTTGCTGATACACGAAGCAATTCAAACGTAATTGAAATTGCATACAACATCCAATGCTGTCATACATCAGATCATGGTTTCATAAATTACTTGTTTATCCAAACGTTTGGTAATTGTAACAGCATCGATATAGACAAAATGCTGGCTGTACATTTAGCTACATTTGCAAACCATGTTTTATCAAGCTAGCTAGCTAACCAAGCTAGCGACGAGCTAAGCCAGCTAGCTATATAGTGCAGTTCATGTTGGACAATTTCAGTTGAAACTGGACAAAAAAAGGTCTGGGGGGGTGACACACGGAGAAACCCAGATGCAACTTTGTTGCAAGCAACATAAATTGCGTCCAGATTACTTCGTTTGACATCGGCTTAACATGTAGCCTTTGATCACATGCAACTGCGTCAACGATTTTAATTGGCTGATTCTTAAACTTTTTCTAATGTTTGCAAGAATGGCCCCCAGGTTTTTACATTTGTTATATTAAATGAAAATAGAGCTATTTGGGCACAAGTGGATCTTCCAGCAAGACAATAACCCCAAGCATACATCAAAATCCACAAAGAAATTGTTAATTGACCACAAAATCCATATTTCCGGACTTGAACCCCATTGAAAACCTGTGGTTTGAATGGAAGAGGGCAGTACATAAGTGCAGACTAATTATATTAATGATCTGGAAGGATTCTGTATGGAGGAATGGCCTGAGATCCCTCCCAATGTGTTCTCCAATCTCATAAAACATTTTACAAAAAGGCTCAGTGCCGTTATCCTCGCAAGGGGAAGGTGCCGGAGTATTGAAAACATGGGTGCCAATAATTTTGTACCCCTATCTTTGTGATACAAATCATTTTCTCTGAAAAAATATATGAATATAAAATACGTTCATATAGTAGTCTTTTTTGCTCATCTTTATCAAGGGTGCCAATAATTTCGGTCATGACTGTACTTAACTTTACTGACTGTATTGTCCCTGTGGGATGTATTTTTTGCAGTCTCAAACAAATCTATGCCTACCTTGCCACTCAAAGCTGCCAGGGGCGCCCACGATGACCTCTGTGTCAGTGATTGCAGCAGAGATGCCCATGTTGCACATGACCTCGCCTGTGATGTCTTTAGTGTGGCTGCACACCTGATCAGGGTTCTGCCAGTGCATGTCTGTTTCATTATAGTTCAGGTCGTTACCACGGATATAACACTTCCCAATCATCTGACGCAGCTTCAATACGCCGTATAACTTCACAAAGCGATGGCCACAGGTCTGAGAGAGAGAGAGAGAGAGAGAGAGAGAGAGAGAGAGAGAGAGAGAGAGAGAGAGAGAGAGAGAGAGAGAGAGAGAGAGAGAGAGAATCATTCATATCAATCTTTAATGCATTTTAACATTCTTTGCTGTAATTTACACTAATCTGTTCTGTAAACTCAGAAAGGAGATCCAACTTGCTGGTCTGGAGGGTCACGAGAGGAGAGTGACTGATGGCCTTTTGAACCAATTAAGCTTTAATAAGCAGACAAGAAGTTACTCACCAGAATTCGCCCCCCTGGCTGTCTCTGGCTGGCCACAGTCACCCCCAGCCACATATCCTCAACTCTGTCCTCACCCTCAATGAGGTCAGGGTCTGAAAGGTCGAAGGTCACAGTATATCACAACACTCATCATCACTGTGCTTTGGGTTTCATAAAATACAACAATAAGGCATTTGTTTTAGGAACCAGAACCAATTACTTCCTTATGTTCCTCTTCACATCCCTTATTTCAGTTGATTTGTTATTAACATTTCCTCTGTGACGATATTAATGTTTTCCATGGATAGTACCTTTTGTAGAGCAATCAGTAATCTATTCTTAGTCCAAATGTTCTATAATATTTCCTTACATTTTTAAAGCAGAATTAGAAACTCTGAGCAACAAGTGCAAAAACACAATGCCTACCTGAGCCAATCAGGTTCATCCTGGTGCAATCTGATTGGGCAACATTTACAGGGCAGGTATACACATCTCCTGTTTCACTGGCCTTCACGCCGGACTCTGCCTTCTCCTTGGGCGCTCCAACAAGGAGTCTGTGGATCCAAACAAGACAAAACAAATCTGCGTTTACATTTCAACCCATAGATTAGCCATCTATAGTCTATAGCTCACTGACAATAAGGCCCCACACGCATGTCTGCAGGAGATCAGATGATACCCAGTGGTGTAGTGGCAGGTATACGCCTTATACCCACTTTTTCAGTAGTTTAGTCGAGGTATACGCGGTATCAATTAGTAAGGGTGATTTAACAGATCAGAATGTTTCGGTTAAAATGTCGATAAACTATAATTTTTTCACATTTTAAGCGCAGCAATGTGCACACGGCGTTAGAGATCTAAAGATGCAACAACTATTATGGGTTGCTAATATGACTAGGATAATGCCTTTGGCTGCTAAACAATGAAAGAAAGTTGATTTGAAAAATAGTCCTATAGAACAGGAGAGCGCATATGAGGTTTATAAAATATTTCCCTCAACATTTCTATGGTCTTATTTTGGCTAGGCTACTTTAAAGCAAGGTAAGACATGCCTCATAATATGTAGTAAAACATCCAGGTTTCAAACAATTAAGGAACAGGAAAAATATAGAGATGCTAATGATAGGCCTAACCGTCTTCTGGTAGATGGAAAGGCTTTCCCAAAAACCTTCTCAATTAAATATTAAAGCAGCCTATGTCTACCGGGCAGAATGAGATCATGATTATTTGCATCAATCCAGTGGCCATTTGTTTTGCAAACTCCATCCCATGGCCGCTACAGAAACACTGCTAACCAAATAACAGTGCTAAGTGCCTCCACACTTGAATTAAAGGGTAACTACGACTCAACAGTGGTCTCCTGATGTGGTTTAAGCATTGTTGTTGACTTAGAACATCCAATGTTTTTTTTGTTTTTTTTCAATTAAAAAGGTGTGAATTTGAAAGCTAAAACCTAAAAGAAATGGGGAAAATCAGAAACCTTTCAATTTCTGACTCAGTTGACATCCTCATTTATCTATTTCAATAGTAGGCCTACTATTAGACTACTTGCGCAGTACATATTGGGTTGTCCTGACTGTGAAAGACCAATATGGGATTAATCATTTTAGGTCATTCAGAGTACGTCACTGTTTCTCAGAGGGCGCCTATCCTTCGCCGGGCGGGCTGTTTGGGAAAATGTTAGAAAAATTGGAGTATATCGACTTCTCCGGGCACCACTGATGATACCATGTCAACCATGCGTATCCACTGACCCTTGATAACTGGCACCTAATTGGCTACTTGATCAGAAGTCTTTCACCATACAGACATGTGGCATTGTGTAGCAGAGAGAGTAGTAATTCAAAATGTCTTGTTTCCTTTAGAGAGTCAAATGTATGTATTTGGATTAAAGGGTGTAATAACCAAACAATTTGAGCTGTCCTCCCTTGCTTCAATAAAATATAATAGATAGGCATGCAGCCAAACCAGGATGTGCAGATTTTTCCCTATCTCGCTCGCTTTCTCTTTCTCGTTGATATGCTGTACACACTGCAATGAGGTGGGTACTGATGAGGAGGAGTCGGGGAGAGGTCAGACACAGAAAAGTCAGACTGGAGAGAGGTAGAACGAGTAAACAGAGGAGAGACTGGGGAGGAGGGGCGCGGAGGGAGAGGGCAATGCGAGGCGGCAGTCAGACAATGACAGACGGAAGAGAGGGAGGACCAGGGAGGAGTGCTGAACTGAAGGGCACCTTTCTCCTGCCATCCGTCCCTCTGAGCTGTCTCATCCAGTTTGTGGGGGGGGGGTCTAATTTAATTTGGTTGCCCCCCTCCCCTCACCCAGGACCCGGGTTGGGTTGTGTCATGTGACTCTAAATCAGGTTTGGCTGAGCAGGAACGAGGAAATGAGGATGTCAAGTAAAGGGTGAGTGAGCTGTGGTATACAAGGACACGACGGTATCCAAACAACCAAAGTCAATCAGTCTCTTCTCCTCTAATTCATAATTCCTTTCTCTCTTTCTCTCTCTCTCTCCAACTCATGTCTCATTCATAAGTATTTGGGATGTGGAGGGGACAATGGAGAAAGAAACATCAAGCAATTCCACGCAATATTCATTAATAACAAGAATGCATTATAGTGAAGACACTACCGTGGCACGGAATTATTCTATAAGGAGTCCAGAAATGGGAGCGCTCCTCTGGGTTAAGAAGATCTGTACATTTGTAGCAACAAAGACAGATATTTCAGCTTTGACTGTAATATCTAGACCCAGGCAGACACAAATGTTCAGAGCTCATCAGTCAAGTTTAATAAATGCCAGTCGTCACCAAGGCGATGACAGAGATAATAGGGAGGACATTTACTGACATCCACCAATAAGGCTGACTAGTTACACAGATAATGTTATCACAAATACCACTGGCCCACTGGAGAGAAGGAGGAGGAGAAAAGGAGTAGAGATAAACATACCAGAGAGTAGACAGGGATCACTACTGATCAGTGTGTGTGTGTGTTTGTGTGTGTACTTACATGCATGTGTGTGTGTGTTTTGTGTACGTGCGTGCGTATGTGCCTGCTTGTGTAACAAACACAAGGTAATTGTTCCACTCATCTGGCATCTGACCTGGGAGTGCTGTCCCGCTACTTCAGCAAAAGGAGCTCCAGTACTGGCAGCTGTGGTATGTCATACAGGTGGCAGGGGGTACTAGGAAGGAATGCAACACTACCAGCACACAGGCTAATGATGTCCATGCCGGCGTGCTCTGCATGCTCTCCATTATCACTGTACTGTAAGACATAACAGAACGAGTCAGAGTCCTTCAAATACTTTGAGCGTTTACTTGAGCCTGCATTGAGTGCCTGATGGGTTTGCGTTTTTTAAAATAATCTATTGGTTCAATAAACCAGGCAAGCTCAATCGAGCACAGATCAAGTTTTTGAAATACTATTTTAACCCAGGTTTGAAAAGAGCACATGACATTAGAGCTAATCGAGGCCTGATGTGTCTTCCCTTACGGAAACACCACATGAATTTCACACGTGACCACGTGTTTCACATATGATCACGTGATCTCATGTGATCTTATGTGAAGTTGATGTGATTACATGACAACTTGTAAAAGCAACATGTGATAACATCTGAGCACATGTGAAAACATGATCTCATGTGAAATAAATGTGACAACATGGGGATGCAAAATTTCAACATGATAGATACTATGAAACTACACGTGACAACATTTCAAAGTTGTCAAAATGCAATTGCACATGTGAGAGTTAGATTTTAGAAAGTGCAATTCACATGTGAGGTAAAAACATGTTATTCTCACATGTTAACATTTTTAAGCACTGAGTGTACTGTTATGGAATTTTTTATGTTTGTGCTTTTCTAATAACAGATTTCTGTGTTCTGTTTGTGCTTTTCTATAAACCAATTTCTGTGTTCATGCAAGTGACTGATTGAACGAATCCTCACTATCAGTATCTGCAATTTGGCAATACGCCCAGAACCTTGTTTAGAGAAAGGGATATCTCACTTTCAAGGTCTCAGTTTAGAGAGAAGAAGCCTCATGAGGGATTGGTCTGTCACATACATGACCCAGTATTGGTCGTCACATGAATGAAGCAAACATTAATTATGAATGATGAATGCAAATATAAGTTGTCAGTATATAAGGGAACTAACGGGACTGCCCCTTTGGAGCTCACTACAGACCGGTACTTTATGCATCTAAGTTTGACTTTGACCTCTCCAGCTTGCTGACAATAAACTATTATTAATTTAAGATTGACTTTAAGTGTCCCTGTGTAAGAATTTCCACAACAGTACAAAACAGGAACAGCTGCTCTTTCCATGACATAGACTGACCAGGTGAATCCAGGTGAAAGCAATGATCCCTTATTGATGTCACGTGTTAAATCCACTTGTATCAGTGTAGATGAACGGGAGGAGACAGGTTGAAGAAGGATTTTTAAGCAGTGCAGATCGCACTCTTTTCTATTTTAGTTATCAGTTAATCTGACTATTCTCTCATCATTGAATTAATTTACTTATCTCAACAATTTGAAGGTTTTCTGTATACTTGTCTAATGTTGGTGGGGCATATTATTCTGTTTTAATGTTACTCCTGATTCACTATGATAAATTTGAATGCTGTGAAGAAAGAGGTTGAGAGTTCAAATCCCAGGTGAGGACATGTTGAATAATAATTACTGTATAAATAAACATACACAATGTAATCATGTACTTTAAATACGTAAGTGGAAAACACTGTGGCTATTTCGTAATGTTCCAGGGACATCCTAACAACTTTTTGTTTGCAGGGCATCATGTGAAAGTTTCAATCCACATGTGAAAAGTTATGTGAAATATCATCATATGTGAAGTGTTCCAAAACCACATGGTTTCACATGTGAAATCATGTGGTTTTTCCGTAAAGGTTATGCCCAATTGCCCACTGAACATACCTTGTATGCAATTACATAGGCAGCCTGCCTTCTTCCCTGCTATATGATATTACACACGTGGTCAGGCTGCTTTGCTTGCTTGGATTATTAGGATGTTTTTCTTCACTTCAAAGTATTTTCTAATGTCTTGCACCTTTGTTCTTAGCTACTGCCACTGTGATACACAATATAGTGGGCTGGCTTTGAATTATCTGCTTTGATTCTGATAGCATTACAATTGTTTAAGTAGAGCTCTTATCAACATACTACTATTTGAGTACACCGGATTTAAACCTATTCAAGTCAGTGCGAATGATTGAGCCTTTGTGGGTTGGGTTGGGTAAAAACAACAACATGAGCCTTGTTTGAAAAGACTGAAAGCCAAAGGCACTCAAATCCTTTAATTCGTATAGCCTAACCTTTTTAACGATGCCATTGTCATAAGCAGTTAACAAAAGACACATTACCAAACCCCTTAAGCAAACACACTCATTCATGTAATAGAAACAGCGAGAGCACATTCACTTGTGCTACTGCAGGCAACGTTGTGGGCGACTGAACTGAGAGAAGCATAAAGGTCTCTGATTGAGCTGCTTTGGCTCAGCTGCATGGGAACTCATGCTAAGA